CTTCAGCATTCTCTACTTTCGACGAGAGGCAGGCCCTTTCGCGCTATGCCTGACTATCAGACAAGAGGGACCAAGATGACCTGACAAAAAAAGGCAAGCATTATCACGGTGAATTCGCAATACCGGACGTAAAGTTTTCCAGTCGGACGAGCTACCACAAACTGGCAAGAGATATTAGGGAAGGAGAAGGGGGGAAAAGGCAGGGGACCAGGCGAGCTAGGACTGTCACTCTTATATGAGGAGCTCTAGGCAAAGAGAAAAGAAGCTCTGGAGCCGAAGAATAATAACCAGATTTTCAAAAGCCATGGTTGATCTGGGAGGCAGTCTCTTGAACTCGTGAGCACTTCTTACAGCCGCGAAACTGCTCTATTTGCTCAAAAGGAACCCCCCACTTTTCTTCCTGCTTCCTCAAGAACTTCAGGTGCATGCACGGGTATCCACACACTCCGCGCTTCACACCAGAAGCTTTGCGGTACCAGTCACCACTGCAACTCTCTAACCAATACCAAAGTACCTCGGGGCACTAGGTCCACCAAAAGATCGAAGCTACCCATCTACTGAACAAGAACAGAAGCTCTTTCACGATCAACGACAAAGCACAAAGCACAAAGCACCAAGCACAAGTACAAAACGCGCGCACTTCGCGTTCATTCCGCAGCGCCGACCTCGAACGCATCTATCTTGTACATCTCAGCCGTACAAGACCTTCCCGGTTCACCTGCGTGGACGATCAACCCATCACTGACGCAGAGGAGGATGCTACCACCGCAATAAACACATTGGACGCCATGGCCGAAGCCAACGCCCTGGAAGCCTTGCAGGCTCTCCATACCAACTTGGTCGCGCTCGCTGAACACCGAATCATCGACCTCGAGATTTTGCGGCAATTGCTAGATTTGCAGGGCCCCTCCTTCAAGGACCTGCTCGATAAACCCGCGAGGCGGAAAGAAAGCCGGGATGCAGTCCAGTCAGGTATGTCACCTCTCACCACTGCCTGGCGTCTCAACTGCTAAACGAACTGACTGTATTTTAGGCAAGATCAAGGTCTTCGACGAAGAATACTCCATCAACAAGGAGTTCCAGGAGAGCATTCTACAACTTGCCGACGAGCTCGACCTCGATGAACTCGAAGCGGCGAAACTCATTCTCGAGTCGCAATCGGATCGCGCCGTCTTGGGCCGATCCCTCGTGGAATGCGCATTGATCCGGTTTCACCAGCAGCGGAAATACCTGTTAGACTGCATGCGCCTCTGCATTGAGCTCAGCGACGACGATGAACTGGAAGAGGTCCAACAAGCCTTTGGCGAGTTTGCGGGGCAGTATATCTTTGGAGTCGCTGAACCCGGTGCAGGCCCTACGCCTGTCGGCAAGAAATTTGTACCTCGGTGCATGGCTGCTATGCAAGACATAAAAAACTGGTTACAGAAGCTGTCCGACCGTATCACGAGCCTCTCCGTCATGTACCAAGGGACTTCATCGCAACCACCCGAGCTCCAGGAGGCTATGGAGTTCTCTCGTCTCAGCCTTCTCCAGCAACATGAGACTCTCGCCGTTCTATTCTGTGCAGCCATCGATAAGCGGCATGCGGAGGTGAGGGACTTCGAGAATTTCCTTCAATACCTGAAGAAAGTGGACCGCTATGACCATTTACTGGCTCACCTCGTCTCCATCTTGGGCGTCTACATTCGAGTGTTCGGTTCGACCGAGGGCATTGGCGATCTAGTTGTTGCACGACAGCTCAATGGGATCGTCTGCAAGCAGGATGACGTCTGGTCATTCCCGCTATTACACGCTGCAGTGCGGACGTGGTGGATTGCAGAATATGGTGGATGGTATGTCGATGATCAAATGGGGCCGACCCTGGATGATATCGACGTCGACAAAGAAGATGAAGAGAGAGCGAAGGATTTTGCAGAAGCTCTCAAAGAGGGTGCTTTTGACTTTCTCTTGGCAGTCATTGCCGATGTGAGGACAAAGGAGTGGCAAGATCCCTCCCGCGTTGGTGTTCAACAATGGCTTCAGAGAAAGTCCCCCCCTCTTGGCACCGAGCCGGTCGCATTCTCAGACTTCTACCAGATATGCCTGGCCACGCAGTATGAAAACTTTATCGACGCCTTCATCTCAAACCTGCCAGATGTCTTGCGGAAGATGCGCGTGGAAGAAGACGAGCAACGCCAATTAAGCCAGACGCATGAGCAAGATCTGGACCTGGAGAGGTTCTTGCTTATGATCTCATACTCCTATGACGGGCGTCCCGAGGCCGCCGAGGCGTTTTGGTCGGACCCAGAGAGCAACCTAGCTGGTTTCGTGCAATGGGCTTCTCGAAGAGCATCTACACCCCTGGTGAGTGCGTTCTGCGAGATGTTGCAGGCCATCTCGGAGAATGAGGCCTGCGCCGATGCAGCACATGCCTTCCTGCTGGACGAAGGCCACCAGTCCTCTGCCAAGATGCGCAAATCTCAGTCTCTCAGCTGGAACCAGATATTCAGGGAGCTTGATTTCTTCTCAGACAAGATTCGAGACAGGCCCACAGTCCAGCAGTCTCAGGTCTATCGCACAGGCAAGCCCAGCAGTGAGCAAGCCGAGACAGAGCCCGAGTCTGCAATGATGCTCGAATGCTATCTGCGCCTCATATCCAAGCTCGCATCAAACAGCGAGGAGGCTAGACAATTCCTGCTCAAGCACCAGGAATTCAGTTTAGTCACTGTTATTTTCCATCTTTCGAGCAGCATGATACCCAGGCGCCTCAGAGCATGTGGCTTCTACGCCTTGAAGGCTTTGCTGTGTCGCAAATCGACACACGAGGGCTATATAATGTGGGAGTGCCTCGATCGGTTCGTCACAGGTCAATACGCCCAGGTCGCCCTCCAAGCACACCACGTTGCAGCTTCCGGAAAGCCAGTGATCTCCGCTGCGGACATCGAAGTTCTCTTCAACGAGCTAGGCAGTGGCTTCGAGCAATCGAACGCCTTCATCCAGCTTATCCTCTCTCTCACCTCTCCAAACCCTAGCGAGGACTCCGTGAATGACACCCTGCCCTTCCCCGAGAACCTCGGTTCTGCTGTTCGTATGCCTGGCATCGAGCCGTACGTTGATTTTGTTCTCGGTACCGTACTCGCCAAAAGCTCAAAGGATGTACAAGAGGTGGCACAATTGCGTGTTTTGCGACTCACATGCCTGGAATTTGCCCTGGTCTGTCTCGAGACATTCAACGAAAACTTAATCCTCATCGGCAACGAGACGAACATCGCCGTGGACAGTGCGATATCGACGACTGACTTGGCTACATATGTGCGGCTACATCCATTCGCCCGTGTGATGGAGTGGATGTTCAACGGAAAGGTCATGGAAGCCATTTTCAGCACCATTCACCAGGAATCAGCAGACATCGGGAGTGCAGGGCCGGACTCGCCGCTGATTCAGGGTATCATTCGCGCCGTGGAGGTTATATTGAAGGTTCTTGAGCTTCAGGACACCTACCTAGACCTTGTTCGCCAAGTCATCCGGCTTCAGTCAAGTCAAAGACAGTCGCCTGTGACCCATTCCGCGTACGCTTCTTTTGAAGAAGGGATCATGAACCACTTGGATCTCATTACAGACCTCGGACGATGCTGTGGTCTTGGACATCCGGCGTTGACATTGGCATGCCTGAAACTGTTGGAGAAGTTGTCCACCTCATCAAAGGTCATCTCCGGATGGAATCCGGGTGCTGGTCGCCAAGCTCATCGCAATAAAGCCATAGTGGCGCTCGAGAAGAATGACGAGGCGACTTCGATATCAGGGGCGCTCGTTTCCGAACTTATGGCGGTTCTGAATCCTGCAAGGGGACCAGATTCGCCAAACTTCATGATCAAGATCTTCATCCTCGACTTTTTGGGCGGCTGCCTTCAAGCGTCCCCCGACCAACCTACGATCGCCCATCTTCTGCTCGGATTCCGTTGCGGAGCCAATACTCTTTCAGTGCAGCCAGACAGCCCCTTTGAGAGCGGAGATTCGCTCTTTCACAACATCCTCAGGATTGTTGTCAACACGTCTCTAGCTTTTGATGATTCTGGCATTCAGTCATGGCTGGTCCTCCTCAAGTCCAAGGCAATGCGCGTCATCCAGATTCTATGGAACTCACCACTCTCGTCTGCCTTAGTTGTGGACGAGCTCCGGGTGAATGACTTCTTGTTCCTCCTTCTCCAGCAAGAAGTGGCCCTGCAGCCAGATATTACGTGGGACGGACAGTCCATGGCTGGACCTGAATTTCTGTTGACTGACGCCTCTCTGGGCTTTGTTGAGTTCCTGGCACTGAGGTCGATGGTACTGGAGTACGCCGCGCTGGAGCTCTGCAGTGTTTCGCAGGGCCGCCACCCTAAGCTGAAGCGACGTATATTCGACGCTTTGAATGGCCGTGTTGTTGACGAAGGAAGCGAGCCTAACGTCGTGCCAACGGTTTTTGACCTGTACGACTTCCTGCCAACCGACGGACAGTGGGATATACCACCTCCCGAGTTCGTCATCTACAAAGACCTTGATCTGAGGACCTGCATTGAGCAGGATGCCAACGACAATACCCTGTATGATGTGGCAAAGGTCCGAGAAATCCTCTACCTGAAGCGCCAAGAGGTGAGCAAGGCAGGTCAGCTGGTGCGGAGAACTCAAGATGCGGAACCCAATCCCGAAATTGTCAGGGAGGAAACACTGCTTGTCGAGTACTTGGTGTTCTCAAATAGGCAGAAGCAGCTGGCCTCGAGCCGGCTCAGAGTCCTTAGATCGTGGACGAAACTCCTCCTGATCATGTTCGAGGCCAATGAATTCAGAGGGACGGCAAAGACCTCATTCCTCCTTCAGGCGCTGCAGTCTATCCTGCCCAACTTGGAGGTCTTCGGGTCTGAGCAACCAGAAGAGGCACAAGAGTTGGCGCGCCTGGCACAAGTTCTTCTCTTTAAGATCGACCTGAGCTCAAATACGGATGCAAAGGAGAACAACAGCCACAACATCGGCAATCTTGTCAGCGACAAGCTCTTCCAGCTCTTCCAGACTTGTCTTTACGCCATTGGCAAGTGGGCCGGCAACTCGGACCTGCGAGCCACGTACTACAGCATCTGCTATAGGTATTTGACCGGCATCGTCGACGAGGGCCAAGGATTCCTTCCCGGGCGGCAAAAGACGATCAAGGCCATCCAGATGTACGGCGAGAGGCTACTCAACGTCGTCTGCGATGACGCTTGCGGTAGCGACCTCAAGTGCCAGACTGCGGCGCTCATCCTCCTCGGTGCTTTTGTCAACCTCGGCAAGCAGGAGGACGACACGCAGATCGTGGAGACGCTCAACCGCCTCAACTTCATCGGAGTGCTCGTCGACTCGCTCAAGACGCTCATGAGCGAGGCGCTCGAGGTCGCCCAGTCGACCGATAAAGAGCAGATGCACTGCCTCGACGCTAAGCTCGCTCTGCTTTTGCAGCTGTGCCAGACGCGCGACGGCGCCAAGTTCGTGCTGCAGGCGAACCTCTTCCGCTCCATCGAGCTGTCCGGTCTCTTCTCTGCCGACCCAGAGCTGCAGATAGGTATGCATTTCCTTCCCTCTCGCCCCCAACCTCCCCTGGACTCGGAAAAAGTTAACTTGTTTCTGCGCCTTCATAGACCCGTCCAAGCCAGCCGCCCTCGCGCAGCACTACGCCATGCTGGTCAAGATCTGCCGCATCATCGGCGCCGCCGTGCTCTCGCGCGGCTCGCACAACGTCATCCAGGGCCGCCGCTTCCTGACCGAGCATAGGATGCTGGTGGCCCACGTGCTCAAGCGGTCGGCGGGCATCGGCGCGACGCCGCGCGGCCTCGAGGAGCGGATCGAGGACCTGGCCGATGCGTTCATGGTGCTCATCACGGCGACGGGGTTCCTAGAGGTAAGCATCCCCCCTTTTCACTCGGTCAGAGATACCACCCCCGAGATTGTTCTTTTTTTGCTAATAATTGATACAACAGTTTGAGGATCAGGCTCCGGTGCCGCAGAAAAAGACGCCCGTTCTCTTCCACTGACCAACAGAAGTGGTATGTGAAAAGATGGCCATGGACGAGACCTACATTTTGGGATTAGATTATTGCGCGCTGGAATAGACCACTCGGAGCCTTCAGGCGGGGAACAGGCGTTGTTGACATGCTTCATGTTGGAACTTTTAGGGAGCGGGGAAAATTGGTTCCTTTGTTGAGATGTAGAGCACCTAGTTGATGCTGGTCTAGAAATACCACACCGAATACTTTGCAGAGAATAGCCACGAGCATTCATAAACAGTTCGGAGACAAGATTTGGTCGTGGATACACATGACCGACCGATGAGAAGGTTTGATTAGTGAGGAAGACCGAGAAAGGACATGCCAGAGATGTGTATTGTATAAGAAAAAGAGAAAAATAGCTGCCGTGTATAGCTAGCCTCGCAATGCAAGTAGGGGGTATCAGACGTAATCGCACCGTATGCCATGCCATGGAAAATGCAGAACAACCAGCGTTCCTTCGCCCCGCGCGTCCTATCCCATGAATATCCCGTGAATATCCCGCGTTCCTTCGCTTCAAATACGTCCCCGGGCCACCTGGCCAGAACCAGTCCCCAAACCCAGGAGCAGTGCCCCTATCACGAAGTGCGTGGCTTCCGCGACATGATCCGGACTATTATGATGCGGCCGAACGCTTTCCCTTCCGCGTGGTCGTCATGAGCTTCAATTCCAAGGGCCAGTAGGTCTTGCCGGTTTTGACTCCTCGGGTATTGGCCTTGGGGTCGATTTTTTGTCGGCATATAGGGCAGATCTTCTTGGAAGGGTCGATATTGAGCGATGAGTGGAGGCACTCACTGCAGAAGAGATGCCCTGCACGGAAGATTACATTAGCTGAAGGTTGGGGAGGGGACAGTCTGGGAACGGGCCCGGTACTAACCACAATATGTCACCGAAAGGGCAGTGACATCGTCCATGCAGATGACACACTGGAAGCCGCCGAGCTTAACGTTGTTATCCTCCTTGGGTTCCAGGACTGGTTTCTGCGGTATCTCCTCTATGCCTGCCAAGTCCACAATCTCGATACCGGCCTCGCAGTCGGAGTCGTCGTCGAGAGTCTCTGCGAAGATAGACGCGCTACTGGTAGCAGTCGCGGGGAGACGTTTCGTCGATATAGTCGGTCTGGCGGGCGTCCGAGATGACCGTCGCCGCTTCGCTGGATAGGTCTCGGAAGCGTCAGCGATGGACGCCTCTCGAGTGCGCTTGGCACGGGTGGAAGGCATGTTGGCTATCGGGCTGAGCGATGGCGGCGGTGAGCTACTTGTGTGGTCGAGATCGATGTGGATAGGGTTGTGTGACGCTCCGCTACTGTTGATGCCGTTGGTGGTATTTGTGGGAGTTGGTAGATCCCCTATGAGTCCCACTTCTGCCTGCCGCTGCAAGGCCCTTCTGTAGTCAGAGTGAGGGCGGAGCAGACGTGGGCTCAGCGGGGGTAGTGAAGGGGAGCTGAAGTCGTTAGTCACCAAAGCGTGCAAATAGTCGTCACTATTCGGCTCGGTTTGGCGTGGCAAGGGCAGGCCGGAGTAGTCCCAGCTGGAGTTGGACATGCGCGACAAGTCCAGGCGGTCGTTTGGTGAAAGATCGGACGGTGAGAATGCGGATATTGCGCCCGAAGACTCTGAGGGAGGGAGGCACTCTATAAAAGGATTTTGAAAGAGTGAAGGGGGCGGGTCGATGGGTGTTGGGAGTTGAGGATATTCACGGCAGAGGTTCGAGGCGGGGCCGGGCTGACAAAGATGTTGGTCGTCAATTGGCTGGCGGTTCCCGAGCAACCCAGTATTATTTGAGTCGAAGGGGAAGGGCGGGGGCAAGTGAGGGCAGTTCTCGGGCGCAAGACAGAAACAGTGATCGAGCGGTGCGAGGTTCGGCGACGGCAACTGTTGTTGGAACGAGAAATCGAGGCAAAACGGGTTGGCCCAGAGAGAGCGAGTGGTCGGCACCAGCAGAGGTTGTGCGGCGGCGGCGGTGGGGAAGGCGAGACTCGGTGTGGGCCACACCTGGCTCGGCGCCTCTTTGTTGTTTCATCGGATACCATTAATTGCCATCTCTCTACGGTTGCGCAGTGAAGCATATCGAGCATGGACTCTACTCACCAGGTTCTGACAACCCGAACCCAACAGGGACCAACTCTCCTGCCATGACACCGGGCTGCGCAACGTGCGGAGGAGTGCGCTGCGAAGCCGCGGACCAGAAGACCACGCGGAATGCAGTCGGTTTATAAGGCTGCTGGTCGGTGGCAAATAGGAACGAATTCGGCTTTACGGAGTATTTGGCTCTCTGCGAATTATGGATATTGTCCGTGATGACAATCAAAGAGCATGATGCATGGTGGGAGCTGGACCCCTTTCCGCTCAGGTCGAGCAGTTTGTGTGTGATTAATGCGATGGTCAGTTATCTGCAGTTGAGGGGAAGTCGCATCCATGGGTTTTAGTCCCCTCTGTCATCATCATGAACCTTGCCTGCCTCTCTGCGAACGTGAGCTCAAGGCCAAGTGCCTTACCATTATTACTCAGCACATGGATGGCCGCCATCCCTCCTCCACGTTGGTCGTTGTGCAGAGTAGCCTCCAGACGAACTGAGCATTGCATTCTGTATCAAAAATGACCGTGAACCTATGACCACTCCGACTACCTCATTCTGCAGGGAGGATATGTCGATTTTGCTCTTCACGTCGCTTGGAAAAGAAAGACGCTTATCATCAAGGGAGGAGTCTCCAGTTCGTGCTTGAGGGCTCCCCTCTGGACCGGATAGGCTTGCCATGTCGAAAAGAGATAGTGGAACAGGTGGTACGGCGCTACAACTGCAGGGCACTGGACCCCCTTGCCTTAGGTACTACGGGTGGATCCCCGTCACCCCTGCGAGTGTATGACGCGCCCCAGGCAGGAAGGAACCCCTTTGCCAGATTGGAACAGCGTCTTAGATTAGATTTAATGGTCCCGCCATTTGTGGTCGAGTCACGATGCCAGCTTCTGGAGCTTATTATTTCCTCGAATCTCCCACCATTCTACCCTTCGCGCACGCACATCGCAGAAAACACGTCGCCTAGCATCTCTCCTTCCAGCATGATGCGTCTGAACAGGTCGCTTACGAGGTAGAATGCTCAGACCGGTCGCCCGCCCTGCGAGGTCGACGAGCGCAACTGCGATCACGACAGCAAGCTTCGTGCGCCTCGCGAAACATCGAGCTCATCGGCCTCAACGACTATGGCTTGCATATCATGTCAGGTGGCAGTCTGCCACGGCAGACCCCCCGCCGTCTTCACCAATTGAAAATACGAAGAGTTTAGCTAGTGCGGCAGCCTTTCTCTCCTGCTTTCCTATGCGTATTCGGGACTAACCTGAGGTGGCAGTTTCGTCGCAACCACGATACAACGAGATTGGGGTGCAACAACTCAGTAAACATGTATACGACCAGGTGTTCAAAGAGCCAGGCGAGGCCCCGCCTCAAGAACTGGTCGAGCTTGCGAAGGACCATCTGCGCCGGCACGATTTGCTGGGAAAGAACACCGATAATGCCGAGCCGATCGCATTCGACCTACCCCAGCTCAAGGGTCGCACTCTCGACGAGCATTTCCACAAGCTGGGGCTTGACGCCTCCGAGCCGTTTCTAACTCACGCGAAACAATTTGCACGAGCCAGCACCCCACCCAAGCCTCGGAAATGGCTGCGGCGCAGTGGCTGGACCAAGTACTACCCAGACGGCAAGACTGAGGCAGTCGATGCGCCGGACGCTACGATGGTGTGCTTTGATACTGAGGTCATGTGGAAGGAGCACCCTTTCGCGGTCATGGCCTGCGCTGCCAGTCCGACAGCATGGTACGCCTGGCTCTCGCCTTGGTTGCTGGGAGAAACGGAGGAACAACGGCACCTCATCCCCCTCGGTGACCCGACCAGCGAGCGCATCATAGTCGGCCACAATATCGGATACGATCGAGCGCGAATTCTGGAAGAATACGATCTCAACCAGACCCGCAACTGCTATCTGGACACCATGTCGCTACATGTGGCCGTTAACGGCATGTGCTCCCAACAACGTCCCACCTGGATGAAGCACAAGAAAAACAGGGAGCTCCGCGACAAGATCGCCCAAGAGACTGCCAGCACCGAACTGGCTGGGCTTCTCAATAATCATGCATTCCGTGCCGAAGAGGAGGAGCTCTGGGTGGAACGAAGCTCTGTCAACTCCTTGAGGGACGTTGCCAAATTCCACCTCAATATCACCATCGACAAGGCTGTGCGAGATGATTTCGGGGAACTCGACCGGGATGGCGTGTTAGGGAAGTTGGACGAGTTGTTGGACTATTGCGCCGCCGACGTCGCAGTGACGCACCGCGTCTATCAGATCGTTTTTCCAAACTTTTTGGAAACTTGTCCTCATCCCGTGAGCTTTGCTGCGTTGCGCCATCTATCAACACAAATATTGCCTGTCGATAAATCCTGGGACTCATACATAGCGAACGCGGAGGCAACATATCATGAACTCTCTGATGCGGTTCAGCAGCGACTTATTGCCCTGACAGAAAAGGCCCTCGAGATCAAGGATGACCCGGAAAAGTGGCAGCAAGATCCTTGGCTGAGCCAGCTCGACTGGTCAGGCCAAGAGATCAAGATGGTGAAGGGCAAGAAGAAGAACGACCCTCCCCGTCCTGCTGCACGACAGAAGAAGCCCGGTATGCCGAAATGGTACAAGGACTTGTTCCCGAAGAACGACGCCCCTATCAACCTCACAGTGCGCACCCGGGTAGCGCCCCTGCTTCTTCGACTGGCGTGGGAGGGCAACCCGCTCTTCTGGTCAGACAAGTATGGTTGGACATTCCGTGTAGCTCGATCGGACGCAACCAGATATACAGACCAGCAAATGATACCCTGCGATTTTGGCGATACGACCGAACCTCTGGGACAGGATCACCGCCATGTCTACTACAAGTTGCCCCATAAGGATGGGCCAACTGCTCGTTGCGTCAATCCCATGGCCAAGGGCTATCTTCCATATTTTGAGAAGGGAACCCTCTCGTCCGAATACTCGTACGCTAAAGAAGCGCTTGAGATGAATGCCTCTTGTTCCTATTGGATCAGCGCACGGGACAGGATCAGGTCTCAATTGGTCGTTTATAACGAGGAGCTTCCTAGCCACCAGAAACGTGGCCGAAGGAAGGCTGATGCAGACCAGGGCTTTATTCTCCCACAGGTCATCCCTATGGGTACGATTACCAGGAGAGCAGTCGAGAACACGTGGTTGACGGCCAGCAACGCAAAGAAGAATCGTGTTGGGTCGGAGTTGAAATCAATGGTGAAAGCCCCGCCAGGCTATCGCTTTGTCGGTGCAGATGTCGACTCTGAGGAGTTGTGGATCGCGAGTGTCGTCGGCGATGCAACCTTTAAGCTCCATGGCGGGAATGCGATTGGCTTCATGACCTTGGAGGGCACGAAAGCTGCCGGCACAGACCTCCACTCCCGAACAGCCTCCATCCTCGGCATCACTCGCAATGACGCCAAAGTGTTCAATTATGGCCGGATATATGGAGCTGGCTTGAAGTTTGCGGCTCAGCTACTACGCCAGTTCAACCCCAGCATGTCTGAGAAAGAAACCCTGGCCGTGGCAACAAAGCTATATGCCGCCACCAAGGGCACAAAGACCAACAGGAAACTGCTCTATAAGCGCCCATTTTGGCGTGGAGGGACAGAGTCGTTCGTCTTCAACCGCCTGGAGGATTTCGCCGAGCAGGAACGCCCACGCACTCCTGTCCTCGGCGCTGGCATTACCGAGGCGTTGATGGGTCGCTTCATTAGCAAGGGAGGCTATTTGACGTCTCGTATCAATTGGGCTATTCAATCGTCCGGCGTGGACTACCTGCACCTCCTTATCGTCTCGATGGATTACCTCATCCGCCGATACAACATTAATGCGCGTCTGGCCATCACTGTACATGACGAGATCCGATACTTGGTCAAGGAGGAGGACAAGTACAGAGCCGCCATGGCCCTGCAGGTTGCCAACCTGTGGACGAGAGCCATGTTTGCCGAACAGGTCGGCATCAAGGACTTGCCGCAGTCGGTCGCATACTTTAGCGCTGTCGACATCGACCACGTGCTGCGGAAGGAAGTGGATATGGACTGCATCACTCCGAGCCACAAGGAAGCCATACCCCACGGCGAAAGCCTCGATATACAGACCCTTCTATCGCGAGGCGACGAGGCACGACTCGACGACTCCATCGTGCCGAATCCGGCGCACGCGCCCAATCCCGAGGCCGTGGCTTACACGCCGCGGAAGCCGGTCATGGAGTCGCTGCGAGACGAGAGCGGCGGCCAGGACCTCTCCTTCATCAAGGCCCAGATCACGGCCGACGAGAAGGAGCTGCGGGCTCTGCTGGCCGAGAAGAAGAAGGCGACCTCGCCGCCGCCGGCCAAGAAGGCCAGCGCCGCCGGCAGGAACAGTGCGATCATGTACCAGGCGCAGCCGCATCTCATCCCCACCATGAACGAGCCGATCTCGGTGTCGGACGCAATGGGCACGGTGAGGTACGGGTCGCGGTCCGGCAGTCACGCGGCGCATGGCCGGCCGCCGGCGTGGACGCACTGGCCCAAGCCCGCTGCTGGCAAGGGCGGCGGGAGGGGTGCAGCGTCGTGGAGGCTGTAGGACTAACCTCAAGGAGCGGTGCTCCTGTGAGAGCTTTTTGATTGACACCCATCCCTCCCCTTTGTCAGCTGCTGGATGTGTTGGATTATGTATATCATTTTGCTGTATTGTACCTGTAGTAGGAGTTTGGGAAGCACGCTGGCTCATCCCCGAATGGCTTATTCTAGCATGTTTTGGAGTTTAGTAGGGTATATATCTTGAACAATAATTTTATGTGCACCTCGTGGGAAGGAGTCCGTTCATGTGGTTCAAAATGTTCTAATTCAATCTACCCAGGATCCGGGCATCTTGCAAACTTTGCTAGTTCGCCCTGCCTTCCTGTCTTTCTTTGCTTGGCGCCGTGCAAACCTTGCGTCACGGAGCTGTCTAGCTTCACGTATCTCAGTATAGGAACCCCTGGTGGTATCCATGACCTGTTCCCACATTTCAAGAGTTGTCGGCCAAATGACGCCGTCAGTGGCTCGAGGAGCAAAGTCGTTCAACCTTCCTCCATTCCATGATAATATGTTCTTCCAAGACACAATGGCCACATCAAAACATTGGAACTCTTGCAGAACAAGGCCTGCTGGGCTGTCAGGATCAACCCACCATGTCCATCCAGGTCCCATAACTGATCCGTACGTCACATCGTACCTCACATGGATGAATTGTTGCAAGCGAGCATTGTCACCGTTGCCTATCAGATCCCCATCTTCCATGTAATCGGCAAACCAAGGCATAAGATGTTCCAGATAGGTTCGCTGGTCGAGACCGCACGACTCGACTATTGACAGCCACTCTTGGAAGGTCTCAGCGAATTCGAATTGGTCAAGACGCGCGCGATCATCCGAATAGACGGGTCGGTTCGTATTTTTCTGAGAAAACAGTGCGCAATATATCAAAAGGCTGCTATCCGGATGAAGTATGGTGCTGCTGAAAGGTCCGTATTTAGACATCAGTCTGAAGACGTCTGCAACGGTTCCATGTGAGGAGCTTTGACGATGGAAACCGCTACACGGATTCCCATATTTGAATAAGCATTTCCCCCAGGCGGCACATAGGTATGTTGGGAGCTCCTCATGATCACAGGAGTCTAGAGCTTCACATAGGATTGCAAGCTCATCCGGTGAATATGCCATGTCAAGCACAAGCTGCCACTCAGACAGACTGCTGATCCGGTGTTGCTTTGCAACATAGAAAGAAAATAAGTCTTTGCCTCTTCGGTACGCCACTACACCAAACGTCCGACACTTCCTAGTCATTGGGACATTCGTCAGTATCTGCCTCTAACAGTCTATGGAGTGAAATATACTGACATGCTCCAAATTTTCCCTGTACTGTCAAGTTTGGAAATAAAATCACAAATAGGTACGTTTCCGTGGGACGCAGCCAACTAAAATAGGGGTTAGACAACATACTGGGAAATATAGTGATTCAGCTACTCACATGGAGAAGGGATGCACCATATTCATTTTCGCTATACAATGACAAAGCGCCACTTGAGAGCATGTCTTGAATATGGGATAGATCTGAGCGCTTCACAGCCCTGATATACTCGAGTTGGAGGTGAGCAGGCATGATGTGAGTTACATTGCAAGCAAATGTACACGGCCTTCCAACTTCGAGATTCAGTCGGTATGGGATAATTTTGAGATACAGCTGCAGTTCGTGACGCTCATCGACGACTTGCCAGTCCTTGTCGTCAGCGATCTGCCAGCGCGTCTTGCTTGTTGTTCGATAGACGTTCATCACACTCCTCCAGAGAAAGAGTACTTCCCGTTCCGCTCGCTGTCGAATCACTGTAGTAGGTGACACATTACATTGAGCTGGCGAACAGAGTATGAGGCTTGAATTTTCCTCGCGTGGAGGATCGACGTCGGGCACTGTCTCACAGCAAGATGGTTGAGATTGGCTTGGCTGAATGGCCATACACCTTTGACGGTTTAGCTGACCCATGTTCCGCTGCCGATGTTTGGGCAGAACGTACCAAGTATGCACAAGGATGAAGTCTCTTACGTTTCCTAGACAAGATCCCAGCTCTTCCTGTGCACCATCAAACATCTTCTTTCTCAGCTGGCCTGAGAGAGCCTCAGCTACACGCTGAGACCGCGACATGCTCCCTACCCGGGACACTTCTCCATGAATCCTTTGGAGAACCCCGACGCATACTCTGAGAGAGGTTTCGATCCCATGGACGATCTCCTTTTCATACGCTTTCGCGCTCTCCTGGTCAAGGGTGTTCAAGATGAGCTGGATCTTGGTGCACATTTCTGATACTTGAGCCAGGGTTCTCTCCAACTGCCGAAACTCCCTGCTCGTTCTGTTTGACGCCTTGATTCCCACTCTGATGTTGCGAGCGAGCCGAGAAGCCTCAATAGCAAGCGATATCAGGCCTGCAACCCCGACGGTGAGAGAAAAGGGATCCATGGAATGGTGATGTGCCTAGCGAATGTGCACAAGTGGCAGTTCTGAAGATAGATCAAGACTCCTGCGATATTTGAGGGTGAAACTTCTTGAAATAATGGGAATCACACATGAAGCTGATGAAAAATCTTTTGTATGAATCGGGTTGCGGTGGGATTTTATCAGGCTCAGCCACCCCGCCATATCATCCTCTGCATGCATGCATGGACGACAAGTCAGCCTTGCGATCTGCCAGTCATTGCCAGACATGATTTGGTGCAACTTCGACCATTGGTTGGTAGACCACTTTGCCTTGGGCCATATGTCAAACAAGGTATCACATTATTGTGAGCTGACTTTCTCCGGAAACTTGAATTCTACTACACACATGTTTTGGGCATCGGATTGCATAGGGAAAGCGCAGATGGATATCATTCACACGCTGTCTCGGAAATGCCTATGAAGTGTTGCATATGGGAATTTGAGGTAGTTAGTTTGTCACGAATGCTCGCATCGTGAGCATAACTTCCTCGGTAAAAAGCCAAAGTCACCGCATACCGCCCGCGTTTTCTGACTGGCAGAATAAAACTTAATCATCTCAGGGCAACTGTTGAGCGCATATTGGGGTTTCAGGTTACGCTGAGGCCACCGCCAGGTCAGGTTGACGTGTAGTCAGTTGAGTTAACGCCTAAAAGCAACACTTCCCAATCTCTGGATATAAGCTTTCTTGAGTGTTTGAGATCGATCGCCTTGGGTTATCCGGGTATGCGGATCCAAACTAGACAACCGAGTCACAATGAGCTTATTCTAAAGGCGCCATACCACCATAGAAACCATGGCCAGAATGTGGGCAGAGAGACAATGCTTTCGGCTGCAAGGGCATGATCGTCTTCAAGGACTTACACCGGCTTGTCGTCTCATTCGCCCCTAGTGGTGCCTTTTCTAATTAGGCTAAGGTCAGCACTTTCTCCTCTTTCTCTCGCTCTTCCCCGAACCGCGCTCGCGGGGCACAACTCCAGGAAAGTGGTGGGCATCCTGCCATGTGCACCTCCAACCTACTTGTCTCTGGGCTGAAGAACTAGCTCACATATAAGGTGCGGAAAGTACAGTACCGTGATATCGGACTCTATGGCAGCATCGTGTTGAGGGGTAGCTGCCAGAGTTTCAGGATGTCGACGTGTGATGGGGGTGCACCGGAGAAGGGGCCGGCCCTTTTCGATAGACGAGGGAAGGCTTGATTGCATTGGGAGGTGCCCAGAGAAAAGTATTTAAGTCGAGGCAGATCGCCCAGGTTCTGCTGTCTGCTGTTCTCATCATCTCCAACTTTCTCCTGGAGACCAGTGAGACCATTATCTTCTCTGCTTTGTTCAAGGCAGTAGTCTTCCTTGCTTCAGTCGTCTCGGCAACTCTCTCTGCGTCTTGAACAGCTTTTCTCCATTCTTCTACGAGCCTATCCACGTCCAAGCTTGAACGGCGGTTTCATCATGCTTTCTCTATTCAAGACAGTAGCCTTCCTTGCCACGGTGGTCTCGGCAACGCTGTCTACGTCAAGCTTGAATACCGATTTGACCATCCTGATTAACAATGATCTTCAAGGTATGGAGGTTTCGAAATAAGTGTGAGAGCACCAGCTGACTGGAGAACCAGGAGCGGACAGTAAACATGCCGATTCCGGATTCATCCTCCTGAGCAAGCGCACCTTTGCCGAGGCAGTCGAGACGTGCGAGGCTCTGGGCGAGCAACTGTGGGCTCCGGAGCTGAATCTCGGGGACATCAGGCCCAACCTGGACTACTTGATATTCCAGGGGGCAACAAGTGAGTCGACGACCTTCTGGATTGGGGCTAAGGATGGCAAAGCGCGAGCAGCCACGTCGCGCGGCATGATGGCTACGATGGATCCGGACGAGCGAATGAAGGCCCTCTGCACCCATTCGGCGCCGTACTCGACAGCCGCAGTGGCCGACACGAGCGAGAAGTGGCAGCTCACGGTCACATCGAGCCACCAAGATATCACGGGCTTTCGGGACCGGCACAGTTTCCGCTTCCTCGGCGTCCGGTATGCCCCGCAGCCCGACCGCTTCGCGTACTCTGTCCCCTTCAAGGGCAATGGCAGCGCGGCTTCGGCCACGGGGTTTGCTCCTCAGTGTGTCCAGAGCGGCAGTGGCGGCTCTGAGGACTGCCTGTTTCTGAACATCTGGACGCCATACGTCCCGCGCCCGGAGAGTGCCGCCAAGAAAAACAAGCAGAAGCCTGTCATGTTCTGGATCCACGGGGGGGCCTTCACGGGCGGTACCGGAAGCGACCCGACGTTTGACGGAGGGAACCTTGCCTCCCGCGGCGCCGTTGTGGTGGTGACGATCAACTACAGGCTGAGCACGCTAGGCTTCCTGGCTCTGGATGACGGCGTGACGAAGGGCAACTACGGGCTGGCGGACCAGATAAACGCCCTGGACTGGGTGAGGGCGCACATCCAGGACTTTGGTGGCAACCCTGATAAGCTCACCGTATTTGGGCAGTCTGCGGGTGCCGGCTCAGTCCGCGCGTTGATGGCATCCCCCATGGCCGTTGGGAAATTTGCCGGGGCCATTATGCTGAGCAACCTGGGCGGGATCAACTATGGGACTACGTATTCCAAGTATTACACCATCCCGGAGGAGGTCGAGGTCGCAGCAAAGCCGATTCTCAAGGCGACCAACTGCACCGATGCCCCGTCCCAAGTCGAGTGCCTCCGCGCGGTCCCTGCCGCCACATTGGCTGAACTCGACACTGTCGCTCGGTACATCGTTGTGGACGGCAAGTACATCTTGCAGGACCAGCTGAGGATGGCCGGCCCGCGCCAGCCCTATGAGCTCATGATGGGCATCACGGCGGAGGACGGTGCTCCCTTCATCAGCTATCCCAAGACAGCGGATAGAGCCGCGTACCTCGAGGCTGCCGGCTTCCCCAACCTACCCGAACACGTGTTCCCGGTGCCCGAAGGACCCGACCCGCTCGCCAACCTGTTCAACATGAGCTCGCGCCTGGCCACGGACGGCATCTTCCGGTGCGTCGACCAGGACACGGCCTACTCCGGGCTCAAGAAGGGCAAGTTCGGCCCGGTGTACTACTACGAGTTCGACCGCACATATCAGCCGGCGGGCTGGCCCGACCTGGCGGCCTGCGAGCCTCCCAAGAGCACCTCTCACCCGCACGGCGATCCCAGCCTGCCGTACCTGCGGTGCCACTCTGGCGAGCTGTACTACGTGTTCGGCAACCTGGCGCGGCAGGGCCTGCCCGTGCGCGACGAGGCGGACCTGCCGTTCGAGCAGTTCGTCGTCGACTCGTTCTCGTCGTTCGCGCGGACGTTCAACCCGAACCCGGAGCGCGGCCTGCTGTCGGCCCGGCGGTACGAGGAGACGCTGCAAGAGATCGAGAAATACGGGCTGTGGATGCCGGCGACGCCGGACGACATGACGTTGCGGGTTCTGCAGTGGCCGACGTCACGGAGGGACTTTGGCGAGCTGGAGCAGTGCGACGCTCTGGGTCTCGGGTATGATTATTATGGCTAGGTGTTGAGGGTTCTGCCCGTTGAGAGGTTGTAGGGTCTTGGGAAGGTGCTTGGGAAGGTACTTGGGATGGGGTGGTTCCATGCTGCGAAAGAAGGAGCTATGTGCTGGTTCTGTTCTGCGACTGGAGTAGCTCTTAGTTAGCTGGTTCTGCTTCTGCGACTTGAAATAGCTCTTGGCCGGAATAAAACCTTTTGAACTCTGGAAAAGCCATGGAGAGTCATGCCTGGAGCCTTTCTAATTGTGCCGGTGTATGCTCTTGGATGTATCCGCCCCTGGATCCAGGTCTATGTGTGGGGGATGTAAAGAGGCCGCAATAAAGGGGCAATGTCATTCCTGTCTTGCATGAGTCCATCTTTTGGTTGTGCACACTGTTGAATAGATTCAAATGACTGCTGCAGGATGCAAATAGCACGGCTGGCAAGGCATTGACAGACAATGACCGGAGGGCGGACCCGCTTAGCAGCACCTCTTCACGACAACCAGTCGCCAGCACCTGTAGATAGCAGCAGCTTCTAGCTGAAAAGGGCACACAGTGGGCTTCATCACGATCTGAGAGTGAGATGTTGTGAAAGAGATATCCTCAGAGCTTCATTGTCATTTGCAAAGATACCAACCTCGTAGCTCGAGTCAAAGAGCACGCCCTGCCCAGCGAGTACCCCGACCATTGCCATCACTTGTAAGATACTGACACCCCTTTTGCCCTTGATATTTCGAGTCCAACTTGAAGAAAGCGGTTACTCCACAGCGAAGACCAAAGAAGAGGCATTATTGACAGCATCACCAGACCCCGACTTCGCCAACGAACAAGATGGCTTCGATGGCCACCCCGACCGGCACCGCCATTTATACCAGCGAGGTGTTCATCACCCCCGAGCACGCCCAGGCCGTCGCCAAAGCGGTCGTCAAAGCCGGCAGGCGCACCGCCCGCGCCCTGAAGGAGGGCTGCCGCCGAGCCCGGCAGGCCTTGCGCCACCTGCCGAGCAAGACCGAGGCCCGTCTCCGAAACGCGCGCAACGACCGGTTCCCGCCGAGCGGCCAGCCGGCGGCCAGGGGCCTGATCGACGGGGCCATGGCCGAGGGCGCCAAGCCCCGGCTTCCGCTGGAGAGCCGGCCGAGGGGCAACCTCGTCACCATCCAGGGCGGCCGAGACAACGTCCCGGGCCTCAGGGGCAACGAGAAGGCCCCGCCCGCGGAGGGCGCCATCGTGGTCCGCCAGGACGTGGTTGTGTCCTCGAACCCGATGCCGCAAGGCGCAGCGCCGTCGCCGGCCTGGATCCAGGCGCGTCAGCAGGCCTCTGACCCGGCCTGGACGTCGCGCTGGTCCGCCGCGTCGTCTTCGGAAGAGGGAGCGGAGGAGGAGCCGTCCCGTCTCTCTGTGGTCTGGAACGCCGCTCTGGAGGGCCTCGGCGCCATGGTGCCTGCTGCTGGCGTGCGCCAGAGGTGAAAAGGCCAAGACGACCGAAGAGGGAAGGCACATATCTGGAGCCGCAACTTGGGCTTTCCAGGATGAGCAGGACCCCAAAGTGCTCTTGGAGTCACCAGGCAAATCCCGCAGGGAGGAGCTTCGGTTTGTGGAGGGTCATGGTAAAAGCAAACTTCCCCCATCCACTCCAAACACAAACAACAAACAAGCCACGATACTGACCGCGTTTTGTGTAACAGGAAAATCGAAGATAGAAAAGGAACGAGTGCCAGAAGCACCAGCATATCAATAGTGACGAGATGAGATACCCCCAAATGGAGTCAGGCACAATGCCTTGAAGCGCCTTGTCCGGAATTGAAAAGGCGGCACGGCGATACCAGAAGCCTGGGAGAAGCAATGTGCTACAATGTCTGTGAAGAGTGGGCTCTCTGCCGTCTCGAGGCTGGTCTGGCCTCGTGTGCCCAGACAAACACACAAGACACACTCTCGAGAGACCCGCCTTTAGCCAGCCCAAGCAAGCCACACCCGCGCCCAAGAGTCATGGAGTGCCGACTGTCCTGTCTGGCCTCCCAGCGATCCATCGGGCAGAAGATGCCTCACGATGCGTAGGTCATTCGGGCGCCCATCTCTTACGGAATACTGCATCGATGAAGTCATCTGTGTTCCTTGTCGGCCAAGTGGCCAATCACGACTGCGTTACCTACTCTGTCTCGACACTCGCCTTACCTGAGCGATTGACGTTCGGGATGGGCTGTTGGACAAGTGCCATTAGTAAAACCCACCGTGAAGCTAATTTACAGCCCAGCCCCCCACTTTGTGTCTCTGCCTCCCCCCCGGCGTGTCAAACAGAGACTGGTTGGCCCTGTCTCGACAGGGGAAACCCGGCGGCATGTCTCTAGCTAGCTGTCTCAATTACGAACCAGCTGTGGGCGGCGGGTGTCGGGGTTCCGAGTGCCTGCTCAGCTCGGTGTGCGATCACGACGCTGCTCCGTACGTTGCAGCAGACTCGGGCACGATGATCATGGTAGACGAAGGAGTTCCAGAGATGCGCCACGGCAAGAAAATAGTTACAAGGGGAGTCCCGTGGGTAAGTACAGTGTCGCCTGGTCTGGTGACGGGTTTCCCGGAGTCGCCAGTCGTCCGGGTTGTTGCACACTCCATCCATGTGCCATCACCTCTGGTGCATGTGCTTGAATCGTACAATGTGCTCCCCGACCACGAGCCTTGTCGAGTAGTGCCCGACCGCGCGCGATTAAAGGGGACTGCGAGCGAGAGGATGGAGAGCGACAAGGGAATGGGATCTCCATCCCCATCGCTAGGTGCGTAGATGAGTGAGATGTAGCAATTGAGACGCCAGCAACGGAGAAAAGGAAACACCGCGAGGAGCGAGCAGGAGGATGACGAGGCTTGAGGGGCCGTCGTCGATATAAGAACTGGGCGGGTGGAGTGATCTGGGCTGATCTACCGACTATCTCTCGCATGGATCAGAACTGCGCAACCCGTCTGTTCCCGTCCCCGCCCGCCTCGCCGCCTCGCCCAAAAAAAAACACCCCAATCCCAGGTAGCAGAGCCGGCACGAGCAAACGCCTCTCTCCCAAAGGGTTGCATGCAGATCCTGGTCTGTTTGTCTCGGTCTGCTCGCTGAATGTACTTGTAGCCTCTCCCGCCGGCAGCCGACTCTCCAAACATTTCTCTCCCGGTCCGATCCCCCTTGCCGATTGACTTCTTTCGGCCTCGTCTGTGCCAGCAATTCCTCATAAACGGCACCGAGTCAGTCAGTCACCAAAAGATCATTTCGCCAGTCCCTTTTCAAAGCCATTAATCGAACGTTGCGGCTGTCCCCGCTATTCCGGCCCTTCCAGCCTCTAGCATACGCATCGCATACACATCCATACATACCTTACTTACCAGACGTTTTCTGTCACTCATTCACTCACGCACTCACTCGCTCCCTCACTCGCCCATACTCGTGCTCATACATACATACATCCATGTCTGGGCGGCCCTGACCTGGCCCTTAATCCCATCCATCCATAGCCGCATCCCCGATGCTGACAGGCCCTCCCCTTCTTCCAACCCGGCGCTCCTCGTCCTCTCACCCTCCATTTCAAGCGAAGCAAGATGGATCCCTTCCCCCCTGACGCCCCGCAATCCTTGTCCAGCGGCGGCACCTCCCCAGAGCAGCCCAATGATGGCTCGGCCATGGCCGCCTCCCTGACTGGCGCCGCCTCCTCGTCGGCGAGCACCTCGCAGGCCCCAGCTGCGGCCGCCGGCCCTACTGTCCCTGCTGCATGTCTAGCCTGTGTAAGTTTGCCATCCATCCCAGATGCCTGCCGTGATGCAATGGCAATGGTCGCCGAACACCTCGTACGGCGTCCACTCTTTCGGGCTCGGCCCTGGCTGACTTGGCGCCATCTTTTCGCGGTTGTCTATTTAGCGAAGCAAGCATCTCAAATGCGACGGCTTCACGCCCTGCTCCCGCTGCACCAGCTCCAACCAGGAGTGCATCTACGTGGCGTCGCGTCGTGGCTACAAGGGCCCTAGGAGGAACACGGCCCAGAACCCCAACAAGAGACATGCCTCCTCGTCGCCGCCCTCGTCCACTGGTGTGTCCGACGCAGCGTCGTGTCCCATGATGCTCGGCGCCCCGCCCGTCTCCCTCCCGACGACCGGCTTCAATCCGGCCGTCGTCCTGCCCGGAACGCCCGCCACCACTGCCTACGCCCAGACGCCCGCGCCTCTCTCGCAGATGGCCCTCTTCCGCAATCCCTTTGGCAGCAGCATCGACCAGACCAGCATGGCCCTCGCCGCCGCGTCCACGGGCGCACCGCCGCCCCCGACCTCGAGCGTCGGTGAGCGGTGTCTTGACGCCTACTACCACTACTTCTTCTCTGCGCACCCCAACGTGCTCCCCAAGGAGCACCTCTTACGGTTCATAAAGGACCACCCGGGACGACTCGATCATCTCGTTGCGGCTATGCGATACATAGGCTCGCTATTCCTCGACGTCGGCCCGGCGCGCGCCATGTACTTTGACGAGGCTATCCGCCTTGCCTACTTACCCACCTGCCCCAAGGACGGATTCCTGGTCCAGACCTTGCTGATGCTCATTGTCGCCCTCGACGGTAGCTGCAACCAGGAGCGGGCTCGGCAGCTGCTGGGCGACTGTGAGAGGATAGCCGTAGAGATTGGTCTCAACACCCGGCATTTCGCCACCGAGCACGGCCACGGCAATCGCGTGCTGGAGGAGAGCTGGCGACGCACCTGGTGGGACCTCTTTGTCGTGGACGGCATGGTTGCCGGCGTGCACCGCATGACCAACTTTTTGCTGTTCGACGTGCCTGCCGATGTCGCCCTGCCGTGCGAGGAGCACGAGTACATCTCAGGGGTAAGACCACACACCTTTTTGCGGCTTGCAGAAACGCTTTCGTCGTTGAGCAGATTGGCTAACAGTGCTTTTCCTCGAAGGAGATACCCACCCCCATGTACATTGAGGACTTTGACGACCAGCTCTTCTCGGGCGAAGACCGCGAGTTCTCGTCGTTTGCCTACCGCGTCGCGGCGGCGCGCAACCTCGGCCGCTTCATGCGGTGCCCGCCCATCCTCTTCCCGGAGGACGAGAACCTCGCTAAGATCGAGTCTCTCCTCACGAACTGGAGGATGCACCTGCCGCAGGCCAAGAGGGACGACCTGACCAAGGGCTGCCAGCTCGACGAGATGATGTTCCAGGCCCACTTCATCACTCACGCGTAAGTTTTGCCGCTCCAAGCTGTTCTCAATAGGTGCGTGAGCGGGCACACTCAATTAACATGGTACTCTCTTTTTTTCCCCCCCAGATGCTCGATCCTCCTCCACCAGCCGCACTCGCAGCTCGACTCGTCGCCGGCGCGCAGCGTCAACTCGTGCGCGCCGCACAGCGTCGTGCCCACGGGCGACGCCTTCAACTCGCACACGCGCCACACCATCACGGCGGCCTGCGAGATCAGCAAGATGGTGACGCAGGCGGTGCCCCTGCTGTCGCACACGCACTTCTTCACCTGCGTCATCACGCTCTCGTCCATCGTGCACCTGAGCAAGTGGGCGCTCTTCTACATCCAGGACGAGGAGGACCTGCGGCAGCAGATCCGGCTCAACATCGGCGCGCTCGGCAAGCTCAGCGACGTGTGGAAGGCGGCCGGCACGGCGGCCGGCCAGGTGAAAGGCGTCGCGCAGGAGATCTACCGCGCCAAGAAGGCGCAGCAGATCAACCCGGCCTTCTGGGTCGGCTTCACCCAGGAGGAGATGATCAGCAGCCTCAACGCCGACGAGGGCATCATGGCCGAGTTCGACTCGATGCTCCAGGTCGTGCCGCAGGTGACCCAGCCGCCGACGACGCAGTAGTCTTGTTTGTTTGTTTCGTTTGTTCGGGTTGGTACCAACGTTGCCCGTTGCGGGGATGGTTTTTCTCGTTAGTGTATCTTCTCTTAGCACTCTCCTTTTTTGATTGTCCCTGGGGATTTGGGGCCGGGTGTTCGCGCGTTTTTTTTTTTTTTTTTTTTTTTTTTTTTTTTTTTTTTTCCATTCAAAATGACAGGTTCGGGGGGAGCTTATGGTTGGCCTTTGGGATTGCGAAAGCCGTGAACGGTGCAGCAAGCACCGCTTGCAAGTTTCGGCCGGGAGGGGTATATCGGGGCTGTTATCCGTTTACTTGTGACTTTTGGGGCGCGTGGTTCAAAGAGGGGGGGTTTGAGGAGTTCTACGTTTTGGATATAACTATGTTGTTTGCTGGGAATTGTCTGATTTTAAGGTCAAGATACACATTCCTCTTTGCTGTATTGCTCTGGATATCAATGAACACTTTACTTTGTCGCTCATCATCAGGCTTCCATTTCTTTTGGGATACGTGACGTGACGTGTTCACGCCTTTTACAAAGTATTATGGTACAGGGTAAGATATTTAAACCCAATCGGCGACGCTGTCGGATCCCAGCCGTGTCGGCGATGTGACTATGCAGGGAAGAGGTGCGTCGGGGGCATGCCGGCGCTTCGGCACGACTGTCTTTACAGAGCCATACTACAGTCTCCACGGCAATGTCCTTCTCTTCTCTTTTTTCTTCTTCTCTTTTTTCCCCTTTATTTTTTTAAAAAAAATAATAATCATAAGACATCCCTCATATCCTACAATCCTCTGAGTAGTACGAGTACGTTCAATCGACTCAGGCTTGATCATGGCTGGTCAAGCCGGTGGAAAGAACGGCCCGGGCGCAAAGTCGGGCAACACTGGATCAAGCTCGTCCAAGGCTGTACAGCTCCTAACAGTCAACATCCACAGTGAACAACCTGAGAGCAAGGAGGAACTCGCTGCTTGGGTGCTTGCATACCTTTATGTATTAAAGTATAATGATGTTATCGACATCATTAAGTCTAGAGATATAAGTTCTATCTTATATACACCTATTCAGATCTATACAAACTTTATAGGGTCCGATACACTACTTAGAGCTAAAGCTCTTTTACTCTAAGGGTAAATAAGTCTGTCCTGACTTAAGTATCTCTCGACAGCAGACCCTGTCAGGCCTTGCTGGTTACCTGTACTTCGATCAAGTTTCTACAGAGCCGTGCAACTCATGTGCATCCGAGCAGAGCCATGGTCCAGACATGCTATGCATTATAGGATCTGAGAACGAGTTCAATCAGGCTTGTACAAACTATCAGGCCTCGTCTCAAGCAGCCTGATGCTCATTCTATACTGGTACGTATCAGTACAACGCTGTTCAGAGCTGTACTAATAAATATCAGGTAAAGCAAAGGGCAAGGGCGTACAAGGTTCTACAGACGATGATGACGACCGTTTGAGTTTCTCTAGCATTGAGTCCGCTGCGTCCAATGTCCCAAAGAAGTGCTGGCCATGTTCGAACTCAAATTTGCAAAGGGAATCCGTGCTTGCTCTCCTGCGCAGGACACAGTGAGGAGACAGTCTGGTCACCGTTCATGTACTTGCCAGGACCTTGGATGTTGCAAGGATGGCTGAGATCCTGTAGGTGAGGAGGACTCTGGTACGAGTTATCGCGAGGGACGACTAGATCAACAGATAGCGGTTCATAGCATCCCCCCATGGATATATCCATCAAGCTCATTGGTTTTAGGTAGTGGGATAACCCTCGCGGCGAGTAGCTTCACGCTTGTTGGCCATCCTCGCATGTCCTGTATTCGAACCGTGAAAAGAAGAGCGCCGGACACCGCCGCCACTTTTAGACTAGCATTATGTTTTTTTTTGTGTAATAGAGCCGGGAGTTATAACTCATCTTGTAGTGCAAGAGGGAAGTTTACGCTAAGTATCTTCCGGACACGGGATGCCAAGTTTACGCCAAGGTCGGGGCCGGTACCGAAGATCGACATCGCCGGCCGATTTCTTAGCTCCGAAATGCTGCGGGATAATTCCGCCTTCGTGCCCGAACTCCGGTGCGGCTGAGGATTTGGGGCCTCGTCTCGTAACCTGCTTGCACAGCCGACTTCGCTTCTGAATTTCGGGTTATGTGATCCCTCCCTCAATAAAGAGTAGTCTTGGTCTCCCCCTCTCTTGACACTCTATGACTCCAAGAAGCCTAAATAGAGAGGAAAAGCATCGTCCGCCTCCGTCATGTCCGGCGTCCAAGTCGTCCCCATCCCGGCCTGCCCCAAGGGGCAACTGTGCGCCAGCGAGCGATTTTGGTACAAGCTCCCGGCCGCTCCGAATGCCGACGTCTGCTCGCGGTGCTACCATGACCACCTGAGCCAGACGCCCTTTGCGGGCTCCTTCAAGCTTGACTACGATGACTCCATGACCGGCCGGTCTTGCGACTTTAGCACCCCGCACGTGCTCGCCGTGCTCCGGCAGGCCCTCGAGCAGGGCGACTTGGCCCCTCTGCGAGACTACATCGTGCGGCGCAGCGGGATCAAGCCGTGCAAGGGCGGCGGCATCGGGGCCAAGGCCGAGGAGGGCTACACGTGGAGGCAGCTCCGGGACCCGAGCATGGCGGGCAAGTTTGCCGCCTGCGCCGCGTGCTACGAAGACTACGTCGTACCCGCCGGCTTCTCGCCGCACTTTGAGGACGCTCCCGTCGCCCAGCCGCCCGACAGCCTCTGGAGCTGCGACATCGGCTTCCCGTTCATGGTGCGGCTCACGGAGCAGTGCCGGGACTGGAAGCAGGCGCTGGCGTGGGGCCTGCACCGCCTGCAGCTGCCCGTGTGCGGCGGCATGAGCGAGGTCGACGGCGCCTCGAGGGCGTGGTACCAGCTGCGGGACCCCAATCTAAATTTACTGTGGGTGTGCGAGGCGTGCTTCCTCGACATCGCCTCCATGACCTTTGCAGACGGGCAGTTCTACCGGGTCCAGCACGCCCTGCCGCAGGGCACCAACATCACCTGCTTCGCGGGCGGCCACGTGCCGCTGCGCATCGCCCTCAACGTGGCGATGGAGAGGCGGGACTTCAACATCTTCCTCCGCGCCGCCTCGGCCATCGTGCGCAGCCCGCCCTGCCGCCCGGGCGGCTTCCAGAGCACGTGGTACTCGCTGGTCCCGCCGGCGGAGGAGGTCGACGTCTGCGCCACGTGCTACGCGGGGCTCTTCGAGGCGACGGGCTTCGGCGGCGTGCTGGCGCCCAAGCCCGTCCCGGCCGCCGAGCCGAGGGCGTGCAACATGCACGTCAGCACGCCCGGGTCCGCGGCCCTCCTCAAGCGGCTCGACGCCGCCATCGACCGGCGCGAGCCGGCCGTCTTTGTCGACTTTGCCCGGCGCTTCTCCGAGGTGCCCGGCTGCCCCGGGGCGGCCGTCGTGACGGGCCGCCGCTGGTACCGGCACGACATGTTCTCGTGCTGCCCGGCGTGCTGGCTCGAGGCGCCCATCGAGGGCACGGCGCTGGCGGGCGCCGCCTTCCCCGTGCGCGACGCCCTCGAGCCGGGCCACCTGCGGTGCGACTTCTACTCGGCCCGGGTGCGCGGCCTGTGGCGCTCGGCCTGCGCCCAGGACGACCTCCCCGGCTTCGTGGCCTTCATGGCGCGCCGCCTCGAGGTCTGGAAGCAGACGTACCCGGCGATCCAGCGCGCGCTGGCGCAGATGCGCCTCAACGCCGAGCGGCAGGCGACGCTGCTCATGAGCTCGACCATCCTCCACGGCGCCAACAACATCTCGGCGCTGGCGGGCGCGCACGGCAACTACGGCGGCGCGGGCGTCGGGTGGGGGTACGAGACGGTCGCCGGGGCGCAGGGGGCGGCGGACTGGAACCAGGCCATGGGCATGTACTCGGCCAGCGCCGGGCCGGCGGCGGTGATTGCGCAGATGACGGGGCTCTGGGAGAGCGTTGAGTGAGGGGGGGCGGGCTTGCGTTTGGCAGGCTTGGAGGATCTTCTTTCTTTTCACGTGTTGATGAGCCGCGAGCCAAGGTTAGTTTGTACTGTTTTTTTTTGTCGAGCATAGCGATGCGGATGGGAGATGTCGGAGTTGCTAGATAGGGGAAAGTCTCACTCAGCTTTCGCAAGGTAGGCAAATGGGGATCTCTTGAAGATAGCCTATTCTGTGGATCAAACAACTTCTCACAATAAAGCCGGCCAGTTCAGCTGCCGGGTCTTGAGCAAGGGTTCGAGGCGTGTCTGGGCTGGCCGGGTATTTTCGCATGCAGTGATAGTGATGGATCTCGATACCAAAGAGATGCAGCCTTAATAGAGGCCTGCACATATACATCGCCGACTCCTCCTTCGAAAAGTGATAATTCGTGATAATACAGGGTTGCATTCGGGCTCCGGGCGCCTCACCAATTGGTCCAAAATGTAAGAGGGTGCTGACCGTCCCCGAGTGGCCGGGGTCATTTGGTTGAGTAGTGGAGGCCGGCGATTCTTCAACGTCGGCGATCTGACTTCATGCACGACCATCCCGGGCGATGCACACATGCACTAAATTCTTATTTATTAAAAGATAGTCGTGCCACATATCCACCATGCAGCTGAGCTTGCCAGCATGTATGTGACAAGCCAAGCAAGCCTGCCAAAAGGATCCTGGCTGCTGACGTTGGACGTCCTACCTTGAAAGCCTTGAACGGCCATTGCAGTCCTGTCTGGCCACTCCAGCCCTGGCTAGCATCACGGTGAGACGGCGACAGCCGCGTTAGTCGATCTTGTCTTGCTCCATCACAATTCACACCGGTCTCTTTTCTGAGGTAAGTTTAAACGAGCCCGGGATGGACGATGAATCTTGGTTTCGAGCTGAGGCGGCCAAGCCATGGCCGGCGGAGTTCGATGGCTGAGCGAGGCCCTATCCGGTCCGCGCCCTCCCAGTAGGATAATTTCCATGCAGAAAAACCCGGCGTATATGCTGCTGACCACTCGCATCGTGAGAGGAGCAGCCGAGGGGCTTCTCGCACTGCAGCCCACATGAGTGTGGTTACAGGCTCCTGGAGGGAGGCCTGGCTGGCTGGCCTCCGGGGATTTGGTATAAGATCTGACACCCCTGGAATCCTCCCGATGGATGCATGAAGCATGTACGTAGATCCTACAGCAGTTTATTTGGAAACGCCCAATTTTCCAAACGCCAGTTTTCTTCTTGCTTTTGCATTTTGCATTCTTTGACATCGTTGTTGCGCGGAGATTCTACTGTATCTGTTTGTTGGCGAAGAAGCGCTTCCTTGAGAGATTACGATGGCCCCTACCAGCGTTGCCTCGAGCGTGGAAAGAAGAAGAGAGGAGAAGCCATACAACGGAAACGCGGAAACTGACGTTGAACAAGGCACCGTGGCGGACGCACACCTGCGGAACACGACAGTCCAGACCGTTACCTGGAGTGGTGTAACCGTCACCGTCAAGGATCGGGAGACCAAAGAGCCAAAGAAGATCGTCGACAATGTCGAGGGACTGGTAGAGGCCGGTACGTCTTGGGTCACACAGCAGCGAGCAACACATATTGGAATGGGCCGTGACTAACATCGTATGTTCCTGCAGGGGAGATTTGCGCCCTCATGGGGCCGTCGGGATGCGGCAAGACGACCCTCCTGAACGTCCTTGCCTCTCGTCCTACCGGAGCTCAGAATGTGGACGCCAACGTCCTCGTCAACGGGTGCAAGCCTACCCGAGCACAGTTCCGACAGATGACGTGCTTCGTGGAGCAGGAGGACGCATTGATCGGGTCCCTGACAGTAAAGGAGACACTAACCTTTGCCTCGCGGCTGGCCAGCTCCGGGTAGGTTACCCAGAGAGAACCCGCGATCCCGCCTCTGCTTCAGCCACCTGTGACTAACATGCTGTGTGAAGCTCCATATCCAAGAGGAACAGGCTGGCCCGCATTGACGCTTTGCTCGAGGCTTTCGGTCTCCGCGACCAGGCAAACACTCTGATCGGCACCGCGATCAGAAAGGGCATCAGCGGCGGCCAGAAGCGAAGGGTCGGGGTGGCGAGCCAGCTCATCACGAGCCCCAAGATTCTCTTCTTGGATGAGCCGACCAGTGGTCTCGACTCGGTCGCGAGCTTTGAGGTGATCAACTACTTGAGGACTGTGGCGAAGAGGAACAACGTAAGATGCGATGCGAGAACGATAGGCTCTTTTTCTGATGGGATCCTGACTGACGGAAACGCCTTTTTGTAGCTGATCGTCATCGCAAGCATCCATCAGCCTTCGACCTCGACGTTCAACCTCTTCGACAAGCTGTTGTTGATGTCAGCCGGCAAGACGCACTACTTTGGCCCCGTCGCCGATATCGACAGCCACTACGAGTCCATCGGCCTCCCGATCCCGCTCCATGTCAACCCAGCCGAGTACCTCCTGGAGCTGGTCAATGTCGACTTCGCGCCGCACCGTGGCGCGGCCCAGCAGAACCTGGAAGAGTTGTCCCTGGCTTGGTCTATCTCCCCGCGAGCCAAGGCTGCGACAGGCGCAATCCGGGGTGTGGAGCAGAGCGGCGCTGGGTCAGGCCTGACTGTCGAGCAAGAAAAGCGTCCTAATTCTCTGAGTCTGACAATGACCCTGCTCCATCGTTCCTTTGTCAAGAGCTACCGCGATGTGGTGGCATATGGTATTCGAATCGCCATGTACACGGGCCTAGCGATTCTCCTGGGAACCGTCTGGGTGCGGCTGTCGACAAACCAAGAGTCCATCATCCCCTTCACAAACGCCATCTGTAAGCCGATCTCTCATTACCTGGCCCCTTGAATCTAATAAGATACTGACCGGCCGGCCTCGACTATCCCAGTCTATGGCTCGGCCTTCATGTCCTTCATGGCCGTCGCCTACGTGCCCTCCTTCATCGAGGACCGCCAGCAGTACGTCAAGGAGCACCACAACGGCCTCTACGGCGCCGCCGAGCTGGTCATCTCCAACTTCCTGATCGGGCTGCCCTATCTGTTCTTCATCGCCGTGCTCTTCTCCGCCATCTCGTACTGGCTGTCCAACTTTCAGCCCACGGCGACGGCCTTCTTCACCTGGGTCATGTGGGTGTTCTTTGACCTGCTGGCCGCCGAGGGTCTCGTCGTGTTCATGACGGCGCTGTTCCCGAGCTTTGTCATCTCGTTGGCGCTTGTGGCATTTGCCAATGGGCTGTGGATGTCTGTCAACGGGTTTATGGGTATGTGGGATGGCTAATCCCTGACCTAGTAGTCCCCATGCTCTAGGTAGTTTGCTGACTTGTGCTAGTGCAACCGACGATTCTCAATGTCTTTTACAAATACGTGTTTCACTACTGGGACTACCAGAAGTATGTGTTCGAGGGCATGATGATCAACGAGTTCAGCGGCCGGACGTACAGCTGCGGGGAGTCGTGCCAGTGCATGTACCAGTCCGAGCTGGCGGACCAGTGCATGATTGCCGGCCAGGGAGTCCTCGACCAGTATGGCTACAAGACAGGCTCCTTTGGCAAGAACGTCGGCATCATGATTGCCATTATCGCGGGTTACAGAATAGCAGGATGGATCGTCTTGATGCTTAGAAAGTAGGATTGGGATAAGGGTATATTCGAGAAAGGTGCAAACAACGCACTGTATAGAGTGGTCAGGACTCCGGCAGGGTGCGTGAAGAGGAGGATGTTCGATGTACAAGGGCCAGTTTTGTAGAAATAGACATATCCAAAGACATAACAATAGACTTGTGTGTAGCACGCCCGCTACCTTGAACCGGTAGACTGCTCGGGAGGACGCTGGTATACTCACATGTACATCTGGATATCCTAATGAATATGTGGAGAGAACAGCCCTCACTTCGTACACACATGCTCGCCTTTCAAAAAACTGCCCGTGGTGAACCTACAACGCTTCGCGATCTGGCATCATTGCAAACTTCATCTTCCTGTGGACTGTCATGTTGCATGAATATAACGTGCCTTGGAAGTCAAAGTTGAAGCTTTCCAAGTCCCGGTAACAAGGACAAGGAGCCCGCGCTGATAGGGAGTCAATGCACTAGACTAGGTATGCGTAGATACCCGCTGCCGGTCTCCACAGCACTAAATTGGGCCATGATCCAGGCACTAAATCCATTAAACTTTTGGCGTTTCGCGTGTTTGGCGCGCCCCGACTGCCCGACGGGTTCGCGTTAGCGTACGAGATTCTTTGGAAGCTCGTCTCTGTTGCATCATCCATGGATTTTTCTCACCCCGTCCGTTCATACTTGACGAATTCGCCTGCTGTACGATTGTCGCCGCGTCCGCTCCAAGACCTCGAGCTGTGCCAACGCGACCCTTGACGTCCTGCCGCCGCGCTTGCAGAGATGTCTACCTCCCCGCTCACGGCGCTCCCGTCTTCGTCATCGCCGGCCTCGTTCTACACGCCCGTGGGCGGCTCGCCAGCCACGGCGGGGGACTGCACCAACCTGAGCACGCCCGCGACGGAGCCAGCGTCCTCGCCTTATCGCGACGCGCGACCGCTGCCCCGCGAACTGAAGGAGCACTGCCAGATCTTTTTCGAGGAGCAGATGTGTATGTTCTATCACGAAAGAGCTGTCTTGTTTTACACGCTGCTGCTGCCGCTGGAGCTGGGACATATTCTCTAACAACACGCCGATGTTGGTGTTACAGACAATGCGGGCATCCAGCTTCTAGACAGCCTTCTCTGCGCGGGTGCTGGCGCTCGGCCAGGCCACGGCAAGCCAGCGTGCGTCCCACCGCCGCCACAGATCGCCCTCCTCGCGACATTGGCGATACACCCGACGCACACGACCCGGGTGGCAGAGCGCGCACAGTTGCTCGTCGCGTCCGAGGCGCTACAGTACCTGCGCAACCTGCTCGCCATCGCCGGCCCCGTCAACGCAAACCTGCGCGCGGCGTTCGAGTTCCGTGTCAGCTCCAGGGGGGGACGCCGTCACTACGGCCTCGATGCGACCAGCGACGAAGACGACGTCGACGAGGAGCACATACACGGGAGGTTTGCCAACGAGAGCAGCCTGTGGACAAGGGGCCAAGACCTGTGGAAGGTTCTGGGCTGGGCTTTCAATTGCAGTGCGGTGCACCCACACAGATGGCGCTATTGGCGGCCCTGGTTGGAGTTTCTCATGGACGCCCTAGAGGCAGACTTTGACGAGCGCCAGCGGCTCGACCTCGAGGCGCACGAGCGATCTGCACGCGACGGAGAAGACTGCAAGTTCCCGCTGCTGCGAGAGTCGCTGTTGATGTCGCACATCAACACTGGCAACAGGTTGGGCCTGAAGACCATCATGAAGTCGCTCTGTGCGGAGGGGAGTCAGGCCTCGTTGACGGTGTTCCAGGAGGTTTTCGAGAAGGAGTCGAAAAGCGCGGCGCAGGCCAGCAACAAGCGGAAACGAGAGCAGATTCTGGATCTGGACAACGACAAGTTTGGCGACTACTACGACGACGGGGCCTCCATGTACTCCTCGCAGGAGTCGGAGCCGCCCACGCCAGAGAAGATGGCGAGGGGCCCAGGTCGACCCAGCGCGCAGGCGACCCGTTCACCACCCCCGAGCGCGGGATTCATCGAGTCCATCCCGCTCCGCCTGCGTATGTTCTATCTGGTATGCTGCCTCTCCTCTCTTACCCTACGTACTACCAAAAGACTGTGCGACTGACCTCTTCCCTTCCTTCCTACAGCTGGCCCGGGCGAGTCTGGAGCTGCCGAAGCCCTTTGCGGCCCTGCACGAAGTTTACGGGGCGTTCGCCGACGCCGTGAGGGAGCTGCGCGCGCCGCTCTTCGCCCCGTTCGTGTCGACGCGCGCGTCGCCGCTGCCCGTGGCGTCGCAGGTGTCGCTGCTGCGGGCGCTGCTGGAGCCCTTCCTGCCGCGCGCGTCGCCCTACCCGGGCGACGTCGACGCCGAGGCCGACGAGGAGAACGGCGTGTCGCTGGCCATCCTGCGCGAGTGCTACCTGCCCTTCGCGGCCAACAACAACGCCGTCGAGGCCAACGCCAAGTACTCCCTCGTCGCCGAGAACCTGGTGCGGCTCGTGTGGGCCGAGTCCGAGGTGCGGCACGCGCCGGAGCTGCAGAGGGCCGTCGAGAAGGGGGTGCGGGCGCGCGGGGAGAAGGCGCGGGCCAGGGGCCGCGGGCGCCCGCCTAGGGGGCCTGCGGCCTCGGAGGGCGGCGGCGGCGACGAGGGCGTGGCGCGCGAGGCGCTGGACAGGTCTGGGGAGCGGCTGCTGACGATGATGCGCGTTCTCGAGATCGACTCGGCTGGGGCGAGCGACTGAGGTGCCGTGTCTGTTTGATGGTTGATGTGTGGTACGTGGGATGTCTTGATGAACTGTGTCTCCACGGATGTTATCTTTTGGGAACGTATGGCTTTGGGGGATTTTGACGAGTCAGTCGGCTGCATTGCAAGGCGTTATTTTCAGGGGGGGATTTGGCAGGCAAACTGTCGGAAGACGGAAGGCGAAAAAAGCATGGCGTTAGGGGGCAACATTGCTTGGTTTGATACTCTGGATGGCGACGAGTGGGATGTAGCTCTATGTGGGCTTTAAAAGAAGAACAGGTGCCGAACGCTGCTTTCGGGCGTTCCAGCAAAGATAGTGATACAGAGGTATAATGCATACAGTAAAAAAATACACTCAGATGTATCGTAACAAACGTGCCCCGGCCATCCTCGGACTATTCACCGTTTTGCAGTGGGCGTCCACGACTGCGGCTGCCACTCCTCGCTCGGCCCGCCTTTGCTGGCCGTCTTCCACGGATCCGGCGTTTCTGGACCTCGCTTGCCTGCCGTCCCATCGTCTCCCGCCTGTGGCCTCGTACCATCCCCCATTGGGGCTGCCGCCGTCGTCCGCTGACCCTCACCTCCTTCCGGCCCTTCTCCTGCGCCGCTCTCTTGCTGCTGTTGTATTTGTTGTAGACCCGCCGCCGCCGGCGCGTCCATGACGCCCGGCTTGGCGGCCCAGCGGGCGTCGGCCTCGGCGGCGAGGCGGCGCATCTGGGCCTGGCGGGCGAGGTCGCGGGCCTGCTCGTCGAGGGAGGGCGGGTCGGCGCGCGTGTGGCGCAGCCACGAGTGCCACTGGGGCGAGACCTTGACGTCGGCGTAGTGCGTCGAGCGCGGGTACTGGACGATGCGGCGCCAGCGCTGCGGGGTGCCCGGGGCGGCCTCGGCGCCGCGGACGTCGCGGAACTCCCAGAAGGTGTTGCCGTTGAGGTCGAGGCCTGGGGACTTGGTTAGACGGTGGGGGAGTGGTTAGAGGGAGGGTGGGAGGAGCCTGGGACGCACCGACGAGGAAGCGCTTGCGCCAGGGGAGGCGGAGGGCTTTCCAGTTATACCATGCTTTCCGGATGGGGCCTATGGACTTTGGGGAGGACATGTGGAGGAAGGGAGCTGGAAGGTTTGTGGCGATGGGATGGGGTTCGGTTCTGTCGGGCAGGGCTATGCCAGTCGTTTGAGAGGGGCGAAGTCTAACCAAGGGGATCAATTGTTACGCCTTGTTTATCATGATAAGTGTGTTGGAATGGTTTATACGAAATTGTGGTGTAGAGATGGCAGACTGGGGGATCAAGGAAGAGATGACGAAGGTGGTCGTGACTTTTTTGATATCAGGTCAATCGATAAGCTCATCCAGTGATCCACTTCAGCACCATACCGAGCTCCCTCCACCAATGATGCCCACTGTTTTACTCAATTCTATGGATGTTTTCGCTGACTGACCCTTCAGCGTCATCGCTCCTATTGGAAGCAGCACGACAACTTGGATGAAAGCATCCACGGGTCTCGTCATATAATTCACTGGGTGTAAGAGTATTCAGTGTCATCCCAACTAGTATCTGTGAGATGCAGGTAGTGTTCTTGCAATTACACGCTTGTTCTTATTATATATATATTTATTTTATGATTATGTATTATGCATCTCTTAGTTCTTCAAATCTCCTATAGAATTTTTGCATGGACCACCCAGAGCAAGACTCTTGTCCCCGAATGGTCCCCTGCGACGCCACTTTCCAGGGGACGAGGCTCTACGTCACCCTCCCCCGTTCCCCGTACGGAGTAGGTTTGCAGGTGTTTCTGTGGCCGAAACAAACATCACCCGCACTGGAATGTTGGATTTTTACACACACACAAGGCATGAGACTCAACAACGCTCATTCTTGTCGTGGCCGGCACCTCCACTGCTGGAACTTGGCAAGAACAATAAGATTGTCACCTAAGTACCTAGGTAGGTAGTCTCTGAAAATACAACCTGGTTTGCAGTTGTCGTTGCCGTCGCGCGTACGAAATACAGCTTAAACTTGGTCAGCAACCCTGCAGACACCCACAACCCACCCACACCCCACTGAAGGGCCCCACGCCAGCCCGAACAACAAAAAGCACCCGCCTACACACGTACCGTACCCGTACTCGCTCACCTAATAACACCACCTACCTACCCAACCGCCGATCCCGCTTGCACCACCACATCGGCTTCCTCGCTCGCTACCCAAAACACCTCTTGCTCTCCAGGCCATTGTGTGTAGCGATAGAACCCCCCATCTCTCACCCAGAAACGGCCCAGGAACGAGCAGATACCACATCTGTACCGCGATCAAAAGAGCGTCTCTTGCCGGCCAAGTGGGGGGATTGTCTGATTGGGCGCATTCATCATGGCTTCCGTGTCGTCCCTCGACAAGGACTTGCGCAAGATGCGCCTCGACAAGTACACGCCCGCCGCCGCCAACGAGGCTCGTGCCTGGATCGAAAACATCCTCGGCGACCGCTTGGCTCCCGGCGATCTCCTCGAGGCGCTCAAAGATGGCGTCGCACTGTGCCAGTACGTAACCCCGCAGTGCCTCCCTCTCCTTTCTCTCTCGCCCTCGAGACATGGCTGACGCAGAGACACGCACATCACAGACTAGTCAACCTCGCCGTACCGCCGCCCGGGGTCCGCTTCAAGCAGTCCGCCATGCCCTTCGTCCAGATGGAGAACATCTCCATGTTCCTGCGCGCCTGCCAGGAGCCGCCTCTCAACCTGCAGCAGCACGACATGTTCCTGACCGTCGACCTCTACGAGTCCAAGGACCCGGCCCAGGTCCTGCAGTGTCTCGGCGCCTTCAGCCGCGCCGCCCACGCCGCCAACCCCTCCGCCTTCCCCTCCGCCATCGGGCCCAAGAGCGGCAACCGCAACAGCGTCCTCAGCCCCCAGAGCACCGGCTCCGCCACCCCCGTCATGAGCCCTCGCGGCCGCGGCATCTCCAACGCCAGCAACGGCTCCTCCGTCTACGGCAACCGCACCGTCCTGACCCCGACCAAGACCGGCGACTCCAGCTCCGGCCGCTGGAGCCCGACCAAGAGCCCCACTTCGGTTAGCAGCTGGAGCAAGAGGGAGCACGAGGGCGCGACCGCGCCCGCTTGGAACATCGCTCAGTACGGCTACATGGGCGGCGCCAGCCAGGGAAACCTCGGCATCTCCTTCGGGGGCAGGCGACAGATCACTAGTGCCGGTCCGACCGTCCCGAGCTTGGCTGAGAAGGAGCGTCTGCGCAAGGAGAAGGCCGCCGAGGAGGAGCGCCAGAGGCAGCAAATGGAAGAGGAGGAGGCCCGCCGGAGAGCCGAGATCGAGGCCGAGGAGCAGCGCGCGAGGGAGGAAGAGGAGCGGCGGTGGGAGGAAGAGACGCGACGCGCCAGGGAGGAGGGGAAGCGCAGGGCAGAAGAGGAACGGAGGCGCTGGGAGGAAGAGGAACGGCAGTGGAAGCTCACCGAGGAGAAGCGCCGGCAGGAGGAGCAGGAAGCAGAGGCCCGTCTCGCAGAGGAGCGCTCGCGGTCTAGGAGCAAGAGCGACGCCCGCCTGCGCGGTCAGTTCCTGAGCCAGTACCAAGCAGAGGAGAAGGAGGAGAAATACAGCAGCAGGGTCAAGGAGCTCGAGGCGGAGCTGGAGAAAGCCCGCCAGCGCGAACAGGAGTACGAGAGGGAGCGGCAGGAAAGGCATACCCGGCCCGCCGACCCCAAAACCCGGGCTCGATCCCGCAGCCGCCCGAACATGCCGGCGAAGCAACCCAGCCGAACCGATTCATGGTCCAGGAACGAACGAGAGTTTCTGCAGACGCAATGGAATGATCAACAGCAGCAGCAACAGGCCCCCGAACCCGTGGGACCCAAGTCGCCACCCCAACAGGTGCGGTCGCCGAGACCTCTTCCCACTCCCACGGCGGCGCCGACACCCCCGCCGCAGATGATTAAGACTCACCGCACGGGCGAATCGCTGCCGCAGCCGCCGCAGGTCAAGAAACACCACACGGGGTCGAGACCACTGCCGGATCCTACTGCCTACGCCTCTCCACCACCTGCTGCCGCCTCCTCGAAGCCGTCGCGAAGCGATAACGGCCGTTTCGCCGGCTCAAGTCCAGGCCCGGGGCCAGGGGTGTCCTCGCCGCCGAACCCGGCCGCCGCCAGGTCCTCGCCCTTTGCCGTCCCCTCGTCCGCCTCCTCGCCCAACATGAGCCGCACCGACCGCTTCCTGGCCAGCAACCCGGCGCCGCAGGCCCAGGCCCCGCCGCCGACGTACTCGCGCGAGCTGGGCGCCACGGCCGAGCGCGACGCCGAGGACCGCCGCCGCGCCCAGTCGCAGCAGAAGACGCGCGCCGGCGGCTGGGCCGGCAAGTCCCTGCTCGAGCGCGAGATGGAGATGGAGCGCCAGCGCCAGCGCGAGTGGGAGGAGGCCCAGCGCGAGACGGCCGCCGCCGCCGTGCCGCCGAACAAGCAGGACGGCGGCGCCGGCGGCGAGAGGTGGGACGTCAACCAGTGGACCGGGTACACGGGCGGGGACAGCCAGAACCGCGGCGGGCAGGGGATCGGGGCCGGGCGGAGGCAGATTGTGGGGCCGAGGCCGTTGCCCGGGAGTCGGTCTGGGGGGTTCTGATCTTCGGTCAGGGGGGTTTGAGTTGAGTTGAGTTGAGTTGAGTTGAGTGACTTGTGTGTGTGTGTTTTGGGAGTCTGGCGGGAGGGTTGCTTTTTCTTGACGACTTGTGTCTTTTTTAGCCCATGGGAAAACGTAGTATTCTAGATGCCCACCCCCCCTTTTTTGTGTGTGTGTGTGGCTGGCGATTTACATGATAAGACTTTTTTTATGTTTGTGTGTGTCGAGACAAGACAGGACCTCTGTGTATAAGATTATGCCATGTGAACAAGAACAAGAACGTCTATCTGATTTGGGGACACAAGAGGAGGAAAGAAGACAGGCATCCTCCCATGACAATACCTTTATCTTATGAGACTAGGGCAATTCTGATCATGATATATGTGCTTTCATTTATCTATGGTGCCTTGAGACTCAGCGGACAATAATGTATCACAAACCAACAGCATTCAAAGAGGATGGGGGTATCCATGTTCGTTAGTCCATACATATCTCGTAACTCAAAAACGAAAAAGGCCATCGCTACCTCAAAACACCCGCTTGCTGCCCATAAAACATACCATCAGGACAAACTACCCTTGGAAGCAGACATTTCAGGATGGGCGGCAGACGTCCCTCTAGGCCGCCTTGCCGTTCACCTCCTTCCCACCCTGCTGCTCCTCCTCCTCCTGCTCAGCAATGGGCTCGGTGACAGAAGGCCCCTTGCCCTTCCCGCGCGCATCATCCGGGTCTCTCCCCATGTCGTGACTGCTCTGGCTCTGGCTCTGGCCCTGGCTGTGCTTCCTCGAAGCGTCAACAGACCTCCTGCTCCTCGCGCCTGCGTCCTCGCTCCGCCGCGCCTTCACGACGCCGTCGATGCTCTCGCCCCTCCGCACGGCGGCCAGCGCCTCCTCGGCCAGCCCGACGCTCTCGACCGCCTGCCCGACGCCTCTCTTCCTGTGGCCCCTCGTCACCGTCCTCATGATCGATCTTCCGCCGCTGGCGCCAGCACCAGCACCAGGACCAGCACCAGCACCGTCGTCCTCGACCGCCTCCGCGAGCTCCCTCATGACCCCCCACCCCCTCTCCACCTCGGCCACGACGGCCGCGCGCTCCTCCCGCGGCAGGAGCCTCAGCTCCCGCTGGCCCTGCAGGATGCGCGCCCGGCGCACGTGCCGCGCGCCCTGCCGGCCCCGGCGCCCGACCTGCTTGGCGCACCCCTTGAGCGTGTACCCGACGGGCCCGACCAGCGCCGCGATGTCCTTGAGCACGAACCCCGTGACGCCCATGCCCACGCCCTTGGCGAACCCGCGCACGCCGCCGCCGCCGCGCGCGCCCCGCACGGGCAGCCGCACGAGCCCCGTCCAGCCGTCGTAGACGCCGTACACGAACTCGTACCGCGCCGCCTTCAGCCCGCTGCGGATGCCCGTCACGCGCGGCGGCCGCCGCACCGTGTCGTCGCCGTAGAGCCGCGGCGCGTTGTGGAACCCCTGCGCCACGGCGAGGGAGAGGTCCACGGGCGCCCGCGCCAGGGCCTGCGCCGACTTGCCCACGCCCTTGCCCACGTGCGCGACGAACTCCTCGGCCGGGTTCTCCTCCTCCGTCTCGGCCGTGTCCGTGGTGGAGGTGGTGTGGATCGAGGCCGTCTCCGCCTCGTCGTTCTGAAGGGCGCCTTCCGTCGTCTGCTGCTGCTGCTGGCCCCTTGGCAGCTTGTCCGCAGAGGCAAAGTCCTTGGCCTCGGGGGGTTTCCCGTTGGCGACGGCGGGTTGCAAGGGCTGGCCATTCTGTTTGGCTCTTGCCTCATCTTTTGACTTCTGAGCAGCCGCTCGCGCCTCTTTTTTCTTCTGGGCCCTGACCTCGCGGGCCTTCCTCTTCTTCTCCTTGCGCTCCTTTCTCTCGTTGGAGCTCTTGGCCAACCGGTATGGCACGCCTCCGATCCCGCCAAAGACGTTGCCTAGAGAGGTAGCAATCGAGCCTGCGATGCCGGTCACCGGCTCTCCGGGGCCCTCAAAGTCGTTCCACTCGCAATGCCGGATCAGCCGGAGCTTCTTCCACGAGATGTGGCCCTTCTCCACGATAGCATCGGCAGCTATGGCGCTGAGACGCAGGCGAGTGCCCTTTAGATGCCAATGGGCTACATGGTCCTCCAGGATAGAACACCTCATCGAGTTCTTCCCAGTAAGCATGAGATGCTTGTGAAAGGCCTTGCAAGCATTCTCAGCCCCATCGCCCTCCTCCTCGATGTCATGAGCGATGCCCTCGGCGGCCTCCTTGGCCTCGTCACTGAGACAGTACTCGATGCCCTCGGCGAGCGTCTCGGCCGTCAGCTGCTTGTACGGGATTGGCTCGGGCCCTGCGCCAGCGTTGCTGATCATGCTGCCCCAGAAGTGCTGGTCGCCAAAGAAGGGGACCACCATCGTGGGTTTGCCGCACTTCAGAGCAATGGCGGTAGTACCAGCTCCGCCGTGTATGACGCAGGCCTTGACCTTCGGGAAGAGCCAGTCGTGAGGCGTGTTCTCGAGCATGAAGATGTTTTCCGGGACATTCTCTCCGCCCAGTCCTCCCCAGCCCTTGGAGACTAGAGCCCGCACGCCTGCCATCTCGACTGCCTCAAAGATCATCTCCGTGAAGCGGTCGGCGTCATCTACGACGATGGAGCCGAATCCTATGTATATGGGTGTCTCTCCTGCAGCAAGGAACTTCTCCAGGTCGCTCGGCGGCTCAAAGGTTGACGCTAGATCGAGGAAAACGAAGCCAGAGACGTCGATCTCCGACCCCCAATCCTCAGGCTTGGGCACCAGACCTGGGCTCCACATGTATGTGAATGGTACATGAAGTCTGTAAGTTGCTCCTGGAGCCCAGAGCGTCGAGACCGGATCAAGGCCCAATGTCTTCTCGCGAAACTCGTTCACCAGGTCGCCCAAGCCCTGCCACACCATCATCTCAACCAGCGGGTATGAGATGAAATTGGTGTATCCCGGATCAACATTGGACTTCTTGATACTCGCTAGCGGGTGTGGGAAAGCCTGTGTAGGCGTGTAGGGAAAAGTGAACATCAGGTGCAGAGGGATGCCCAGAGCCTCGGCGCAGTGGATGTGCGCGAAACTGGGGGGATTCGCGATGATGGCATCAGCGATGAAGGGGTCCTTTTCGCCCATCATCTTAAGGTTGTGCGTGTCCTTCTCATCGTCTGTAGCGTTGACGCAGGCTCTCCAGAAGCCTTCGAACATCTCGGCCATGGCAGCTCGTCGCCGCCCAATGTCTCCGGCCTTGACCGTCTCGAGCGTCGGTATCATGCCGGGGTTCTTGACCATGAAGGCCATGAGCTCCGAGGGATCGCCTCCGACCGAGAAGAAATCGAGTCCAGAGTCCTTCTCGACAAACTCGCGGAACGCAGGGTGAGTAGCGATCCGCACACGGTGGCCATATTGCTCCTTTAGCACTTTGCCGATCTTGAGGAATGGCTGCGCGTCTCCGCGAGACCCGATAACCATAATGACAATGTTCAGTCTGGGACAGGGACGGGTGTCCAAGTCTTCGACCTCTGTAGAAGGCTTCGTGGAGGCATCGGCCGTCTTTCCGCCCTGGACCGCCTCAGCCTCGCTGTCCTCCTTGAGCGGCACGACCTTCCTAACAGCCGCGCCCAGAGCCTTGGCCAGATACCCAGTGTTGCTCATATCCTTGACAGAGATGGCCAGGCGGCCATCGCGCTTGGAGACCTTGCCTTTCGTGCGGTAGTGCTCGTTGCCCACCTTAAACTTCGAGAACTTGTCTTCCAGCACGCCAGACTTGGTCCGCTCCTTCTTCTGGCCCGCAGGGGGGCCTTTCTTCGCGTCGCCCTCGCCCTCATCTTCTGACGACGACGACGACGATGACGACGAAGAGGTGCTACTATCATCACCACCCTCGCCGTATTTCGTCCACAGCGCCTGCTGAAGCTGCGATGCATTCGTGCCCGCCCTCTTGATAGCGGGAAACGCGACCGACGAGCCGCGGGACCGGCGCCGGGGTCTCGGGGCGTCCGTGGCAAACTTCTTCTCGTACTTGGGCCGAGGCGTGGGACCTGCCTTGTGCAGCTTGTCGAGCTCCGTCTCGAGCTTGGCCGGGTCGGAGATCGCCTTCCGGGGACCCTTGTCTGGCAGCGGAGGACCGGCGGTCAGCGGGCTCGGCGACTTGGCGTCGGGCGACTGGGTCTCGGGAGGAATGTAGGCTGGGTAGGCGACCTTGCCTTCGGCATCGCGGGCCACGGTGAGCTTTTGGCCGCGCCGCGTCGAGTTTTCAAAGTGCACGGGGACAGCAGGCTCCTCGCCGCTGGCGGGCTCGTGGAGGGCCTCGGTCTGCAGCTCGGGCATGGCTGCTTGTGACCTGCCGGTATGCTGGCCAGAGGTAGGGCCTATGAGGCTGGAGAATAGCTCGAGGTTGGTGAGCTTTGGGGGTGTGGCTGACGGAGACCAGTCTGGAGATGCGGTTCGACAAGAATATGGTAATGTATGTGTGTGTGTCTTGCCGAAGCTATGGCAAGGAGACAGAAAGACAGATAGGTAAATAGAAAGTGTGTTGAAAGTCTGCAAGCCACAGGAATGCAGACCAGCAAAGATAGAAAAGCAGTGACAGCTACTGCCCCTGGTGAGTGGCAGATGGCTGGCGATTTGACCTAGTCCTCCTAGTGCTGGCCTCTAATGCAGGAGGTTACGTCGCGTGGTGCGAAGGGCAAAGCATGTTTTCGGGCATTTCTTGGCGGCTCTTCTTTCCCACGGAACTCTTCCTTGGGGGAACCCCTGCTCGTAATCTACTCGTCACGAACTAAACCAACCGGGCCCCGTTGAGTTTTGCTGGCTGGATTGGATGGATGGATGGGATGTCGCGAAACCCGCAAAACCGGCACGGGGCGTTGTCATGACATCACCGTCCGCGGCTTTGCTGCTCTCGCGCCCACGCTGCCCTACGAGTGGGTGGTCCGCTCATGTTCTAGCGTCTCGGTGCCTGTACATTAGCGCCTCGGCTTCTGAACCGATGGCCTAGAAGCGGCCTACGATCGCGGTTCCCCACAATTTGCTCAGGGCGCAGGTGCTGTTTTCGCCGCTAAAGGTTACGCCTCCCGAACTGGTCGAATTCTCGGTCAGTTGCAACCACCTGGCCGGACCTTTTGGCCCGCTCCCAATCATCACCACCGCCGGACCTGGGTCGATATGCCGGCAAGTGATGGCCAAATTAGTTAACGGACTGCTAAAAGAAGTACTTCACTACCTTATCCATCGAGCCCATCGGGGTTAGGTAGTGGGATAGCCCTTCCGAGTTCTAGGGCATGGATGTGACAAGGATATTGCTTGTGAAGATTGAGGTAGCTCCTGATGAACTTCAGTCAACCATTCAGGCGCCCACTTGGCCGGCAGCTATGGCATCTCCCTACCTACCAATCCTACCAGTCAAAATCAAGCGATGTTTTACTTTCGATTGTATTTGCCTCTGGAGAAAGCACATTTACTTACAAAAATCGAGACCGGAAGTCATCATATCATATCTGTTGTGTGTGAGAGAGAAACGAGAGGCACATTCAGCACCCCTGGTGCCACGCTGAGAAGTTGGATCGAGATTTGGCACACATTGCTTTGTTCAAATCCGGGCATCGATCCTTGTCACACACAAAACCGCATGCACTCCTCTTCCTCTCATTGCCAGTCTCTCGACGATTGCTACCAAATGCCATTCTTTGCGTAACGCCGTTGTCTCACATGCTAGATCATAAGGCTCCTCATACGGTACCACCACCAACCTTGCCTGGGCTACACCCGGCCCCCCTCCCCAGACCAGACCCGAAGCCCTATCCAGATGATCCTCTGCAGGACAAGGACCTGCTTGCCGTTGCAACCCATGATCCCAGGTGAGAGAAAGAAGAACCGTTGTACAAACTCATGAACTCGTGATATCCAGCCATCAGACCCCCCTCCTCATTGCAGATCTAGTCTCTTCAACCGGTCGATCAGAATGCTCGTGTCCAATGCAATGTGCTCGGCGCCTTCGCTGACCTCCTCGCCCTTCGAGATGGCCGACTCTAGTCCCACCGTCGCCTGCAGCAGGGGCTCGACGTATCGCTGTCCAACGGCAGCTCCCATTCCTGCCGGTACTACCGAACTGTAGTCCTTGGAGTTGAGAAGCAGGTAGGCAAAGTTGGCCGCCTGGAGGAGGAAGGGAGAGTTCTGCGCCCAATACTCGACAAAGCCCTGTTGATCCAGATCTCTCAAGAACTCCATATCCGGGAAGATCACGTATTGCAGCTGGTCAACGGCATCTGGGCCAGAGAACTGGCTGGTGAGCTGCTTCTCCCGCGCCGCAATGATCTCTTCCCGCAACCAGGTCACGGCACACGCCTTGAGAGACGCAAACATGCAGTTCTCGAGCAAGTCCTCCAGGATCTTGACGCGGTCATCCTCGTCGGGGTTGTCGTGCAATACTCGTCCTGCCAGCGTGATTGCTGCATTCCTGGCTTGAATCGACGGGTGATAGACACCACAGAGCGTCAAAAGGTGATGGTACGGCATGAAGTTGGCCTCATCCTCGCCCGTGGTGACAAGACCGTTCTGCTGCAACCATAACCCTATCGAGATTATGGCCTCGATGGTGCCCGGTGTGCTCATGATTTGCGCATGCGCATCATCCTCCATGAACTGTTGCATTATACGGAAGTGGTCGGGGAAGATGTGCATGTCTGGCTTTGGGGAGTTGGCACCAAAAACCGTAGCGGAGAAGAGCCAATAGGCAACAATGCAGATAGAACCACCGGTGCTGAGCGGCACGTCATCTGGCTTGGATGGGCTCTCGGCCTCTGACAGAGGGTCTCTATGAATAGGGCCATCGTATAGCCCGCTACCAAGGGTCTTGGAGGCGCTGGAGAAGCCAAGATCCCGTGCCAGTGCCTTTTCGGAGTTATACTCGTTAGCTTCTCTCCCTCCCAATGTACGATGCGAAAACATACCTCGAGTTTACCGACCATGGTATCCCTAGACAGCAAGTCTTCCTCTTCCTTGAACCGGTCGAGGAGTGACTTCCTGCCCGGCACCACTCTCTCGGGCGCATAGAACTCCAACAGTCGAGACGACCACTCCATGCTGTGACCATTGACGTAGCTCTCAACGATGCATGTTACAAAGGACAACAGCAGCTTCTGCTGTATCGCCCCTTCTATCGGATCTTCCGTCTCCGCTTCCGGGTCAGGTGCGTTCTTGGTCGCATCTCCCTCCTCGTCTGGGTTCGCGACATTGACGCTTGACTTCCGAGACGGGAGGAGTGGTCGCTTCTTTGCCGACAGAGAGCGGACGAGGTTGATCACGGAGGCCGTCATCTCCTGGTTGGGCAGATACGTCCTGTAGACGGTGGAGAGGGTCGAGGCGAGGAATCTGGAAGGGTACTTGGTCTTGATGCGCTTGTGCAGGATGGCCAACATTCCTAGCAGCGTGATGAAGCTCTGGACTGCCGCCGGGCTCGCCTCCTCGGCCTCGTAGCTCTCTTGCAGACCCTCCAGCACCTCTAGGACCTTCAATATGACCTCGCGCGGGTTGCCGAGGCGCGCAATCGTCTCGAGGCAGGGTTCGCAGCCGGGAAGCGACACCAGCATGTCGACCAGGTCCCAGCCGATGTCCTGGGTGAGCTGCGCATCCTGGAGGATCTCGTTGAGCGCGGGCAGGATCTCGGGAGAGAGGAACTGCTCGATGATGGTGAGGTAGGTGAAACGGTCGGTCGCGGGAGGTCGCGACTCCTTGAGGGCCTCGATGGCCTTGGCGGGGTCCGACATGCTGCAAGGGACGCGATATGGGCGGTTGGGCGCGTCGCTTCCGGAGGGAGTCGTCTGAAAGTCGATGTTGGAAAATGAGGAGGACTATTGGGATGGGGGGTGTCAAGTGAAAGTGCGAATGTTGAACTTATCCAGCTGGGTGCGAACCCCGCTCCCCTCACTGCCTTGCAGGTACGTCAGTTCAGTTGGAGGAGTCACAGGAGCCGGGGCAGCTTTGCTGCACCGGGCGGGATCCGCTGCAGGCACTAAAGCGGTATCACTGAGACAAGCTCCACATGAGCTTCTTGAAAGCTTCAATGTTGAAAGTTGCTTTAATGTTCGTTGAAAACAATTGTTCTTCAGATAATGTTTGTAATCCAAAATCCCGGGTTTGCTTGCCAGCCCTTTGATGATAAACGCCCAGATCCCCAGTGGCCAACCACGCCTATAGTGTACAGTTTCTCTCCCATCCCATCCCATCCGCCCGACAGGATTACTGCCACACCAAAACCTTCGCTCAATCCTCCTCCTCCTCGTCGTCGCTCTCCTCCCGCCTCCCCCAGCCCATCCGCCTCTTCGTCCTCGACATCCAGCTCCAGTGCGACCAGGGGTCCTCGGCGAGCGCCTGCATCTCCACGACGTCCGAGTTGCGCGGCCCCACGCTCGCGAGCCCGTGCTCGATGGCGAGGCGCGCGTGCTTGGTCGCCAGCCACGGCTCGCCGACGCCGTTCCACTCGAGCGCCGCGTGCGTGTGCGCCTCGTACGCCATCGACTCGAGCCGCTCCTGCTCGAACAGCGAGACGAAGAGCTCGGCCATCTGGGGGGTCGCGCGCGAGCCGCCGCTGTGGTCCTGCAGGTCCGCGCGCAGCGCCTGGATCTGCCGCACGCGGTCGTCCGAGTCCCGGCTGATGAGCCGCGGCTTGGTGCACTGCGAGCAGCTGCACTTGAAGCCCCAGACGTGGTGCAGCTTGTGCATGCGGTTCTTGCGCGTGTTGACGGGGCTGGACAACCGGGTCAGTCTTGACACTGGAAAAGCGCCGAGGGGCTCGGGTATGTTCTTGTGAAGGCTTGTTCACTCACTCCATATATGATATCGTGATCTCCTCCCCAGCAGCAATGGGCCGTACGGCATGGATGTACTGCGTCAGGGTCTCGGGGTCAAACCAGTAGTCTGCGTTCGGGCGGCAGTCGTGGTTGAACCGCGCAACTACACACATAGGTATCGTATTAGCCTCTTGTATTCGCCGATGAGTTAGGGGGGCTCGTGAAAACTCACTCTCGGGGAACACGACGAAGAACTCGGTCTCTCCACCGTCGTCCACATCAATGTCAAACGCGTTCGTCGCGAGGAGCTTCTCGACTCTCTGGTAGTAGCCCTCGGTCGGGTTGTGCGTTGACAGGTTGAGGAACCTGGCACGGTGCGCAGTCGGCAGGGCGTCGACGCCGGCCGCCTGGATCTTCTGCAGGTCCGCGTGGGGAAGCGTCTCAAAGGCGGCGTAGTCGATCATCATTGACGCCGTGTTGCTCATGATGAGATCGCCCCTGTTCAGAGGCTGCTTGGCCGTGACACCCATATCCTTTCCCGGGATCGGGACCACGTTATATCTCGCGGGAAGCGTCCTGACTATGTCCTGGTTGACATCTTTGATAGACTTGGGATCCGTGAAGGCCCGCAGCTTCGAGAACTTGGCCACCCGTTCCGGTGTCGTCAGGATGGAGATGCCCCTGTTCTCGGCGAACGTCGTGCTCGTGTACATGCAGAACTCGTCGGTGCCATTGCGATAGCAACGCGAATGAGACCAAGGCCCCGTGCTGGTCGAGTGTCCTTCGTCTCGGCGGTTGTCTAGCGCGCCGCCGTACGGCGAGCATATTCTCTTCTCGAACAGGAAATCGAGAGATGAAAGCAAGGGCGAGCGGCAGATGCCGACATGTGAGTGGTCAAGGATCGAGTTTTGGGCAAGGACCGTAGCCGTGCAGACGGACAGGAAAAGGGTGCTCCTCATGGTGCCTGGACAAAACAATACAACGGCTTAGGCTTCTTTTCGGAAGGGGAATTTGGATTAATTAGAAGCGAATTGAAAGCCCAGCTTTCTCGATGGTAAAAACAAGAACGAAGAAAACAAAAAAAGAGAGAGGCACCGAGAGTGCGGTTAGAAGCCAATTGGAGATGTGTTTGGAAACAGAAAAGCCGAGACGATTTATCCGTTGCAGACACTCTCGTTCTTATTTACCATGTTAACTGGCCTACCTCTGTTTGTGACCCTTCTCCCCTACCGTCCGAGACGAGGCGCCGTGACATCGAGACCAGGGTCTGCAAGGGATTCTGCACCACGATGCGTGATACAAACGAGTGCTGTGACCACGGCCAAGGCGCCTAGGTAGTCCAGCGCAAAGACGTTGCTGCGGTCGCCGAAACATGTTTGCCCCCTTGGGAAATGTCTACTCTGGAATAGGCAGAAGAATCTCGCCTCCAATTGCAAGGATCCGCAAAAGAGCTACCATCGACACCAGGGTCTCGCCAGCCGAGCAAGTGCAACATGGGCCTCCGGCTTCTTGCTTTCTTTTTTCATCAAGTAGAGGCACGAGAGGATGGGAATAAGTGGATCGATTCATCTCGTGTCTCCAGGATTCCAGGGTTCAAGGGTCGGTGCCAAGGTTTTACGACTGTCTCAGGATTGCCCGAAACTGCGCCTCAGCTCCTGGAAACGGTCTGGGCCTCGGACCCCCCCCTGCGATCGACATGCGGGCCAATTACTGATCAGTGCGGATCACAGTGAGGCAGCAGAGCAGGTATTGGGCTGGGCCCGGACACAACGTCTCAACTCTACACTTCGGAGTGCAGCATTTCGCATCTCATCATTTAGAGTAATGGGGTATGTGATAATTATAACTTTATCTGCTCTCTTTCTCAGGTCTGAACTCTGCGGTAGGGAAACCGTGCGTGCAGGGGTATTGAAGGTGGTCTCTATGTCTGTCTATATGCAGCCTCAACGTAGACAATATCTCTAGTTGAGCATACAACAATCACCCAGAGACGAGCTCGCTCTGCTCGAAATCCGTCGTCTTCTCCAACTCCTGAACAGCTTCAGTCTTTGCCGGCTGCTGCTGCCCTTTCCGGGTCTCCTTCTCTCCTCCCGCGGCGGCGCCATTGCCATTGGTCTTACATGTAGCCTCCTCCGCCGCCGCCATCCTCTTCTTGTCCTTCTTGCTCAGCTGTATCGCCCCCTTGGCCTCGGCCTCCTTGGGCAGCGGCCGCACGATCGGCTGCGCGACCCACCACGGCCGCTTGCACTTGCGCACCGTCCGCACCGAGCTCTCGTAGTCCAGCTCGTCTTCCCGATTCTCTTCCCCTTCCTCCTGCTCTGTGGTAGTAGTAGCGCTAGCCCCATGATCCGTGACCTCTCCCGCCTCCTCCACGCTCTTGCCCCCAGTCTGCTCGTACTCGATCAGGCCCCGCGCGACCTTGCGCTCCACCATGTCCAGCACCTGCTCGTACGCTTCCAGGCTGCCCCGGTTGCTCCGCGCCAGCCGGTCCCGCACGTCCGTGTGCCGCGCGACAAAGTGCCGCAGCAGGTGGAACAGGTGCGGCTGCACGGCCACGAGATTGGGCGACGTGACGTGCTGCTTCTTCTTGCCGCCGCTGCCGCCGTCGTGATCCCTCTTGCGCCGCTTGCGGTCCGGCTGCTCTGCCTCGGCCTCGTCGTGCTCGTCCAGCCACGCCGTGTCGTCGCCGGGCACGAATAGCGGCCTGCGGGCGGGCGGGGCTTCGTCCGCGGCGTATTGGTGTAGAATGTCCAGGTAGCGACGCATGACAGCATCGACACGCCAGCCTCCCCTGCCGTCCTTGCCGCGCCAGTATTCTCGGCCCTCCTGGCCTATTTCCGGCGCGGGAGCGAATAGGCCGGGGTCGCTTAGATTTCCCTCTGCGCTCATGACGCCGTCCGCACCCGTGGCGTCTAGGCATCTCTGAAGATCGCCCGGCTGGAGGATGTTACCGTTGGCAAAGAGCACCGTCTCTGGCGGCAGGTTGTCCCTGAGGAATTTTATCATCTTCCAGTCGGCCAGCCCCGTAAGGTGGCCCTTCTGCTCTCTCCTCCGCCCGTGTACCGTCAATATGCTTGCGCCCGCCTTGAGAACATTCTGCGCGTATGCCAGCGTCGCCTCCTTGGTCTCCAGTATCCTGATCTTGGCCGTGACGGGGACGTCGAGGTTCTTATGCAGGTTGTTGATAAGATTGAAGACGAGCTCCTGGTCCTCCTGCAGGAAAGCACCATAGTGCCCCTTTCGCGCAATGCCTTGGGGGCAGCCGAAGTTTATGTCGACGGCATCGCAGTACGGCGCCGCCAGCTTGGCAGCCGCGAGCAGGTGATCGGGGTCGTTGGCGCAGAACTGGACAAACAGCGGCCGGTCTATCTTGGGGTTGCCGTCGAGATGAGGCTCGAGGCTCGCGGGCGTGTCGGCAGCGGACGCAGACCAGGGCGACGGGCGTGTAGGTTCGAGATGACCCTCCCGATATTTCTGCGTCTCGGCAAAGAGTCGGGCGTGAAACATGGGAGAGTACGCAAGTATACTTGATCGTTGCGATTCCGGTAGGAAGGATCTAGTCAACATTCGCCATGCCTTTGAAGATATCAGTCTCTGGCGCGACGGTGCTCGATCAAGATAGATGCCTGGGGGAGAGTTACATACGAATTCCGACTGATCCACCATGGGAGCGACAATGAACTTGGGGCTTCCAATGCTCTTGTAGAATTCCCTCCCATGCAACTTTTTCGCCTTTGCGGGAACGCTTCCGGCATCACCATTGGCAGCGGCGCCATCCACTACCGCAGCAGGAATGGGCGCAATGGTCACGGACGCCATCACAGAGTAGGATCGCCCACGCCAGATAGAAAGCCAAGTCGAAGACCGGCGCAGGGCACTGGGAACAAACAGGACCGCCAGTCTGCCGAAGTTGCACAGAACATTCGCCTGAACAGCGCCTGGGTATGATTGTGGTGATTCTGGTGGTTCTCGCGACTATGAACAAATTTCCGGCGCTCGCGCCAATATTTAGTGTACCAAGAAAATGCTGGAGGCGTTGCCCATGCGCTAACAAAATTTCTACTTATATGTTCAGGGGTCTTCTCGCCAGCCCGGCTAGCCGCTGCAAGGCTGAAAATGAGCTCGGGTGGGGACCTAGAGCTGTGATTGGCTTGGCATCCTGCAACCCCACAATGACGTTGCTTCCCAGATTCGAGTTCGATGCTTTTCGTGGGGTAGCAACGGATGAGGCGGTCTGTCATGGCAGAACTGGGTACAGCTCCCCCCTGCCGCTTTGACAAGCAACCACCACGATCTTGAATCTAAACTCGTTTAAATAGCCTTGGTAGAGCTCTAGTCAGGAACGGTCCGGACGCCTCAGCCGTGACGCCACCAACAGCACTTCACGTTACGCTGCCAACTGATCGGACTTTTCTGCTCGGCAGAATTTGGTTCAATAGCCGATGTACGAGGCTTTCACACTTCATTGCTAAACCCGAGCTATGCCTATGGACAGGAGAGCGCATAAACAGAAAAGTACACACAGACAAGGAAAAGAAAGATCCTGAAACAGTTCGCTCCCCTGCCTTCCATCACACTGCACGAGCCTGTCTTGAACGACATGCTGGACGCGTGAGCCTTCGTCTTCGACATATCCTGCTCTAGAATACTTGCAACATGCATGCATTGCTTGTCTTGCAATAGCGAATCGAATAGATGCCGCTCCAAATGCTTTTCTTTTTGGAGGGGTCATGCGCGTGGTCCTCCCACCAGCCGCCATGCCGCCTCGTCGTCCATTCTTTCCGTCACCACCGCGGGCCAGTCGTTCGATCCGCAACCAATTCAGCCATTGACGTGGCTATCGTGGGAAGAGCAGGGCAATATCAACTCGGAGTGAGAGAAGCAAAAAGAAACAAACTCCTCAGTATTGCCCTCTCAAGATTAAGAAATGCGCTTTAAGTCCTGGACGCTTAACAGAAATGCTAAAAACGCCGTGACACCAAACTATGCTGTCCTGAAAACGCCCATTGAAAGAATTGCGAAAACACTCTAGGATACCGGGACAGACCCCTCCCAGAAACGAGGCGATTGTTGCAGAAGATGCTGTCTTGAACATCGTGGTCATCAGAAAAAGTGCGTATAGATCTTCGAGTTTTCGTGAACCTCCATTTCCTGTGCAAATGTACGTTAGCAATTGCACGCTTGTGAACAAGCCCATGCTTAAATGTCTGAGTACGAACCATTTTGAAAGTGTTCAGTTCTTCTTTGATCTGCTGAGCCAGCATCGGTGTAAGACGGTTGCACGTGGCAACTTCACCGCGACGATCATATTCCTGGCTAGGCCAGGTGTCGTAAAAGACAAGGCGGGGGCTGAATGTGGCATTGCGCTTCAGTGTGCCCTGAGGAGTAGTCGGGGCACTCTTAGTGTCCTGTCGGAGGCGGAGAGCCGACATGAAGTAGTCCTCGCTTCCGATCGAGATAGACCCTGTACGCTTGTGGCCCTGAATGTCATCGTTGGGGGTGCTGGGGGCACTCGACATGGGTGAATCGGAGATATGGGGCACCTGCGGCAGTTCGAAAGCAGGGTTCTTGGTGTCGGTTGGACCACGAGTGGGAGTTGAGGACCCACTGCCATCCGTCTTCTTGAGGATGCCCTTCCGGACAGCAGCCAGAACCTCGGCCCGCTCCTTCTCGCCACCGACAATGCTCTTTCTTGCGGCAGAGGTATCGGTGCCAGAGCTTCCCAGTCGTTCTGACACAGTGCTGGGAGCCTTGGAAGCGTCAATCGAGTTGCGCTCCAGGCGAGGGAAGCCAGTGCCACCTCCGCTCTGAACGTGGAGGTCAGCGTTGACATTGACCCGTTCACGCTCAGCCTCGACGGTGATCATGGAGACCTCAGCCTGTCCGGGCTCCGGCGAGTGAGCATCAGCAGCAGGGATGCCAATGACTGATTTCGGGCGGAACAGGCCAACCAACGAGCGCCCACCCTTCTTCATACCGCGGCCCATTTTCCGAATCATAATCGAGGCTGATGATGCCGTGGACGAGATGGACAGGTTATCCGTGGACCCAGCAAAGATCTTGGCGCCAGCATAGATGCTGTTGCCAATCCCAGCCTCTTCTTGGGCCTGAGCGATACGTGCCTGTTCATTCTCATAAAGTTCCTCGGCGGTGGGCTGCTTGTGTAGCTTTGCCGGGCTATTGGCTGAGGAGGCGGGTGTCTCTTCCTCCTCGGTGCCCGTGACCTTGCGGAACTCAGCAGCACTGCCAAACGAAAACGCTCGACGCAGTCTCGACGTCTTGCTCTTCAGCTTGGTGCCTTTCTGGTTGATCGCTGCGAGCTGCTTGACGGCTGGGCTGTCCACATGGCTCGCCTGAGAAGGCGATGGAGACACCTTGGATTTCGATGCAGCCGCCTCGTTGGCAGTCGTACCAGCGACGTCGAGGTCGGCATCCATCGTCATCGGTCTGGAAAGAGGCGAGGGATGAACAACCCTCTTGCCGACATCTGCAGACGAGGAACCGCGAGGTGGAATGTTCACCAATTTTGGATGGTCTTGGTTGCTGCCATTCTGGTCAGGGACTGAAGAGGACAAGGCGGGGTTGCTGGTGGAGATCGACAGATTGGCGTTTCTGTTGGTGGCCTGAAAGGGAAAGTGTGTATTAGCAATGGCGAATGGCACAAGATAAAGATGATTTGATTGGCCAAGCTCGCACAAAAGATGATACAATGAGATGTGCGTTTGAGCAAAAAAAAAATCTACCAGTGAAGATGACTTACCGACGATGGGCGAGAGTGGCTGCTGCGACTCGAAACGACACTCTCAGAACTACCGGTCCTGGAGTGCACCATCTTTTCGCTGGTACCATTAGTTCCAGCGACGCGGGTGGACTTGTGCTCCTTATCAGCACTCATGGGCCGGGATGGGTCCTCCGCCCGCCTGATTATGGGTGGCGTCAGGGGTTTGGGATAATCGGCAGAATCCAAAGCGGGCATACTCAGTCGCCGAACCCTCCTCGAGTCCTGCTCGGTCCCGCGATAGAGCTGGATCTCCTCGAAACCAGACGTGGGTGTGGATGCATGCGAACTATTGGGCCGCCCTGTAAACGCCGGATCATGGAGTTGTGGTAACGACTGCCGGGAGGTTAGGGAAGGATCATTTGCCCGGGCAGCAGGTCTCCTGTATCTATCGGGAGCCGCCTTGGCCGGGCCCGACAATTGCATCATGGGCGCCTGGGCTGTGGCACCGGGCAGCACGACGGAATGCGGTCGTTGGGCTGATGTTCGTCGGCCAGTAGCAGAGATAGCCGAGTCATCACGAACCCCTGGAGCTCCATACCCTAGCGAGCCCATTGTCGGCAGGTTCGTCATCGAGGCACTGGCAGGATAGCGAGACCTGGGCATGCTGTTGCTGTTGTAGTCGAGGCTCTGCATTGTCGGGACGGTCGGAGAAGACGAGGTCCGAAAGTTGCCGTACTGTTGCCATTGAGGCATGGTGTTCAGATTGGGTGTTGCCGTGAAGGCATATGGCTGGATCGGGGCCGGCCCGCTTCGGTAGACCGAAGGACCGCCTGGGTTGCCATAAAAGCTGTTCCGGTGCTGCTGGGAGCCACCGTACTGAGGACCTGCGTTTCCTTGCGTTCCAGACATCATTCCGGAAGCGGAAGATGGTCGGGCCTGAAGCATGGTTGCAGTACTTGTCTGTTGGGGAAGGGTCTGGACCATGGCAGCCATGATCGGACTGGATTTGACCGAAGCTGAAAATGGCGAGCCGCAATCAGACGTCGAAATGGGGTTGAGCCGTGTGTGGATCGAAGGTGAATCCAAAGGAACGTGCGGGTTGGCGACTAGCTATAACAAACGCTTTAGGGGACTCTATGGGGTAACAATGTTAGTCAAGTCTTGTTTCTCGGACGTCTTGAGTTGCAGTGCGTCAAGCAGTGGTAGTGAGTCGAGGGTCAGTCAAGCCTGAGGAGTGGTGAGGGAGAGATTGAGAAGGAGCAAACAGTGAGATAGCAGTGAGGGTCTGACTGATGGACGATGTGACAAGGGACTGGCATACTTTGGGGACAGATCTGAATTCAGACAAAAGATTGTGGCGAGGCTAGAAGTGAATGTCGGAATGAGGAATCGATGGACGCCTGCGACCGAAGAGATGGGACCAAAAACGAGTGGTGTTGTCTTTTTTATTTTTGGGAGAAAAGAAAAGCCCGCTGTTACCACGAGCAAAGAACGGAAAATCGTACCAAGCCCAGGACGAGTCGGTCGATCAAGACGGTGAGCAAAGGCGACAATTCTCGAGTACCACAGAGAGGCACCGGATGTCTGTTATTGGCTGCTATACATCTGATGGCCGAGTCACAGATGGGTTGTGATGCTTTCCGTGATCCCGTAAGCCGCCGTGTTCGATCTTGCTTTTTCTTGTGTATTTTTCTCCCTGGACGCTGTGGCAGGGGGCGAGGGCGGTTATTCGGTCGATAGGGGGGGAAAGAGCCGGATAGAATTGGGAGAGTCGAGGTCGACCGTATACGACAGACGGAGAGAAAGTGTCGAATTCGAGGGATGGCAGTACCGGTGGTGATGCAAAAAGGGGAAGAGGGCCTTCTAGGACACCGGAAAAGGCCAGCAGGCAAAGGGGTCAGAATGGCCGAGGGTAATGCAGTGATCAGATTAGGAGGCACGACGAAGGAAGACAATAAGAGAAAGATGAAGTGATTCAACAACAGACGAGGGGACACTAAGGGATGGGGAAAACGAAGGAGAAGGTATGATAGGGGAAGTTTTGGGTGTGTGTGCTGTGTGTGTATGGGGAGAGAGAGAAGCAGAGATGAAGGTCAAGGGATCGAGTGTTGCAAAGCAATTCTGTATCAAGGATGGTGGTGGTGGTGCCTGCTGCTGCTCAGTGGACTGTGGACTGGACTGGACTGGGCTGTGATTGTGCCCCAGGTGGTGGCATTGGCGAGCATCTGGCGTGTCTTAGTGCGATTTGTGGTGCTATCAGTGGTGGGAGAATGGATCCTCTGGGAGCACAGCATGCCCAGGTGGTGGTGGTCTGGTACCGAAATGCGGTGCGCTTCCCGCCCGTGGGTACAGGCCGGCCAGATCCAAAAATGGTAGGTACCTGTAGGTGAGGAGACAGACCCAGCAGGAACACGCAGGGCCTAGGAGGGGGCGGTTTCTAGAAGGTGCAGTCGCTAGAACCGTGCAGTCACCCAGGGTTGTTATTACCTAGCGTTGTACACCAGCTGGCACTTGCGTGTTCAAGTGCTCTCCGCCCATCAATCATCTCACCCATCAAATCTGACGCTCCCCCTTCTATTGTACCTAGTTATTTCCCTCGCCTTTCCCACCCCTCTCTCGCCCTTCCCTCCCTCCCTCCCGGTAGCAGTAGCACTAGCTTGAGGTACGAAAGTACAGGAACACGCTAACACGCTAGGCACGTCCTAGCCGGCTCAGATCGAGACACAAAGTTGCAGGAACACGGGTGGGCAGAAACATTGCGATGGGGACACAAGGCGAGCACAGGCCAATACAGCGCTGGGATTCTTGGTGAGGCGACCGTTAGTGGAGAAATCAAAACATTTGATGACCGCGTTACTGAGACGGAGAGTTTACGCCATTCAACATTCCTCTCAGGAACACCCGTGGGTTCCGTAGCTAATCTTTTCTCCTTTGCGCACAGTCCAGTCATTCACCTTTTGTTGCTGTAGAATCCCCTTATCAAGACAGCCACCTGCCAGAGCCCAACAAAGACCAAGCAAGGTTTCCCCAAAAAAACTCGTCAATTTTTCCCTCCCCCCTTTTGGGTCCCTGTCTGATGGCGCAGCGCCGAGCTGGCCGCGTTGATTGGCCACGCAGCCCTGGGTGGCATTGATCCAGGTCGCGCTAGACAAGGGGAGCATCCCCGCCTGCAGGCCCCAAAATGCACCCGTCCAGCACCGTCTGCATGCATGGCGAAATGCATGTATTGTACCTACCACGGTTTTTCTTTACATATCCACATTACACAGTACGGAGCACGCAAGTACGAATACTCGTTCTGCTCACTACCCGTACGCGTAGGTACAAGCTACACCGACAAGGTACACGCGCCGTCGCCGCCGGCTGAGTGCGTGTAGCTCCAATTCACCCATAACGATCTCGCAGTCGATGTCTGCTTGCTTCGTCATTCATTCTGTTTGAGTATCCTACGTGTCTGGCAAAGATTGAACGCATCCCTTCCCAAGAAAGTACCGATTGGACAATCCCACACACAGCAGGGGCGACGAGTCGACTTCTGCTTGGAAAACTGTGGAATCGACTTGGATCATCATGCGTCTTGCCTAGCCAGATACAGGGTAGGGAATCTCTTGGTTTTCCTCGACACAGTACCTAGGTAGGTAATTAGGTGCATGTCTACATGCCTACATGCATCACTAATGCGGTCTGTTGGCGGCGATTGCATGTAGGAAATGGGTAGTGTAAAGCCCTAGCAGCGCGCCCCGATGCCCGTCGCTCACCACGGATGGACCAGCTAATTCGTGACCCTCTCTTTATTTTCCGTAGCCTCCGTGCCTCCATTTCTCGGATCAGGGCGGTCCAGCCTTGACGTATGCACTTGCACAACTCCATCGCCCGCCAGATCTATCCGGACAAGGTAATATCGTCAGACGGGGGGAGAGAGGCGAAATGGCTCGTTGGACCCTCAGGCCGGGGACCATGCTCAAGATGAACACTGGGGGCGGCCGGGGCCGGGGTAAATTGTCCATTTGAAGGTATTGTACCTCGTATTGAAATGGGTGCGCGCCCGGATACCTTTCAATGTAGTATTGCAAGGTGCGAGTGCTCCTGCGAACCAGCACTCATCATTCGCCGGATTCAGACAGTAATATGAGAAGGCCTGCCCCCTCTCACCTCACCGTGCATTAGCGAACGCAGGTCAACACAGCGAACAAACCAAAAGCCACGTCGGTTGACTACGAGTACGGAGTACATTGGAGATGTTTCCGCCGCCCGGTGATTGTTGCCCTTCCGAGTGTCCTGCATCGCCCTGAGCAGCTTGACATCTCCTTGATCCACACGAGCGCCTGTGGCTCTCCTCTCGACTTGATCTGGTAAGCATACGGATCGAGGACCTGAAGACCCAGCTCGATCGATCTCGAGTCCCATGGACCAATCGCTCATGGTGACACACGCAAGAGGGCACTGCACAGTACTTCAACTTTGTAGACCTAGGTCACTAAGTAGTTGAGGGTTTGCTGTACAAATGCAGTATGAGCACACAATAGAGTACTGGACCAAAGAACTACATACCGAGGCTATGTTACCTTGATTGTTTATTGCAACTCTGTGCCATTAGGAGCGATCGACATCCATCAGGAGGTTCAGTAGAGAGACGTGCGTTCCTGGAGCCAAGGGCGAGATGATCCAGGGGTCCGTATTGTGGATTCGTCTCTCTCGTCATCCGCGGTGAGGTATCTACACACCTCCAGTCGGTGAATCCATGCAAATAAAAGGGACCTAACGGAGGAAACGGAGTACCATGGAGTATCTCCCACTGATCGGCCCCTACCTTCTCAAACAGGCCGGGTGTGAATAATTACGGGTAAGGGCCCCACTGTTAACGGCAGCAAGCTTTTGGCGTCCACATCTCTTGCGAGGGTTTCGCGGGAGAGGCGCTTTTGCACTGTGCTTACGAGGCTGCTATAGCCAGGTACACCGTTATTGATCCCTCAAAATGTGTCCCATCCGTTTGGTACAATGCAAAAGGGAGGATGGCAACCACTTGTACAAGTTAGATGCTGCGTTGTCCGTTGGTGGTTGATGGCTTGGTGATGCCAGCTGTGAACGCCTCACTCAGCTCGGCATTGCTCCGTCCGCTTCATTTCGTTTTTGAGTAATTATGTGCTGTCACACACAATACCAGCCCAAAAAGAAAGGTTTCGTGCGCTGCCGCACGTGTCCCGGCTGGATTCAACATCAATTCCACCAACAGGCGAGCTTTGAATCCCGTCCGCCATTACCTAGTTGCCCTAAACAAAGTCTCCAGCCCATGGGGATGTGTCTGCCGACGTGGGACGCGTCATGCGCCGTCGATTGCCGGCTTCCATCATACTAAGTTGGATGGGCATCCCATTGAAGATGCTTACTTCCAAGCATAGGTAGACTTGTCTTCAGGAGCCCATCCCCTTACAACTAACTACCTTACCTACCTACTCTGTACTTCGTATCCCATCCATCTGTATCCATGGTACCCATCTCTGCTCTGTTCTGCTCTACAAACGGGAACCAAGCCCCTTCCAGCATGTCGTCCCTTCGTAGCAGTGCTTGATGGGCCACCCCCGACGGAGTGGTCCACAAACATTACGACAGCATTGTGGACCCTGTTTTGCCTGTCCAATCTGGGGAAACTACCTAGCTCCATAGGCGAGCGCGAGATCGAAATCGCTTCGTATGTCTTTGTCTCGTGGAGATGTGTCAAGCCTGATCCCCCAATGTCACATGCCGACAACTGACGAGGTTGGTAATGGGGAAGTGCACATGTTTTGTTTCAAAAAAGTCAGTGTCTCCCCAACGCTTTCTCTCAGCACGCCAGGTATCGAGTTTCAAAGGTCTTCTCTTCCCGCGGGAGTACAATTTGTCAAGGTCACTGGGCCAATCATCAGTCAATTGGTGATTCTTTAGGTTAAGACCGGCCTTGCACTGCGAGGACCCGGCCAGCGCGATCCCGTCTTTTGTGTGATACTGCTGCCTGCCTCGGAGCAAACAGCATGCTGTGGCACGGTAAACAAAGCTCGCAGTCTCAGCCTGCACATTACCGTCCCGCCCACTCATGGCCACCGGGTGTGGCCACGATGGGCGCTCTCGGGAACCCATCCAAGCCATTGGAAGGATCGCTGCACGGCAGGCCGGGACCCCGTTGGAGGTAGGTTTCCCGGGCGATCCCGCCGCCGAAGCTCTCTAACCGAAGCGCTCTAATTGAGGCCCGGACAAGGATGCTGCAGTAAGGGCCCGAATGCATGGCCAAATAATAAGTCACAGGCACCGTCAAATAGTGATGGCGCGGAGCGAGATCCTAGACTTGCTAGACTGCATTCACAACCTCTTGATCCGAAGCCTCGGCGGCAATGCATGAACGGGCGACATGCTGCACTACCATATGCATGTTTTGTGCTCGTCACGTCGACAGAGTACACACCAGATCGGCTAAAAGTGCTCTCCGTCACAGCTAATTCGTACTGGATTTAAACCCTACCCGCAAACCGATTTGGCACAAGTATAAAAAAGTAAAACAATAAATGTCTTATTTCTGCTACAAGTATATGTTATTCACTTATCCCTTCGTTCCTTTACTTACCAAAAAAAAAAAAGGAACGAAAAAAAAAATTGACAAGAGCGAGATTCGAACTCGCGTCTCTTTCGAGACTGCAATGCGAAGCGAGTAATCGCTTAAGATAATTCTTGACTGGATAGGGGGTCAGTTTGGTTCAGTTCACCTGTGTCTGAACGGCATTTACTCACGTGCAGCGCCTTAGACCTAAAGAGGGGGTTAGCTCGGTGACTAGGGTGTTGCAGAAGATCGGGTCTAGCTGCTTACCACTCGGCCATCTTGCCATTCTGTGGCGAATAAATGGCCCCTTTAGATATTATATACCTAGGTACCTTGGAGGGTCCAAGCTGGGAATTTACGCACCCTCTTATCAAGACCCCGCAAGAAAGCTACAGTGCTCAACTTAGACCTGCATCATGCCGGCAGAACCTGCTTGCCTGCGCTGCTTCAGTTCTGGATGTTTCCGTCGTTTCCATGCTGGCAGGAATTATCCCAGTTGCCCCAATCTGCTTGTAATGGCTGGGGCGTTTTATACCCCCTCCCGACCATAATGGGCCCCCTCAGGTAAAGTGCAAACAAATCGGAGGAGCGACATATATGCCGTACACACTATGTACAAGAAATCAAGTTTGGAAGTTTCCAGACTACGCATGGCTCCTCCTGCAAGAGCCAGTCATATCCTTTGCGCTCGATAATATCAAGGGTCCTATTCCCCTGCCTCGGTCAACGCAGGCGGAGGTGGACGCCATTCCGCCGGCCGATACGAGAACGACCCAGAAATACCGGCGATCAACTCGGGAATCTGGGCTCGCTTGCGCAACGGTAAGCGGCCTTGGCTGGTGCATCCAGGCACGGGTCACGATCCGTGTGGCTGGCGGCTCCGGCGGCAGTTCTGGGTCTTCCTGGTCGACTGACGTCTCACCAGGCCTGTTGGGCCACTTCAACGCCACTCGGTTTGTGCAATTCAGGTTCAAGAGCAATGCAAATCGTTGGCATTGCATGAATATTCTCACTCATGTCCTCGGTCTTTTCTATTATCATTGGGCCTTTGTTATCATACACAGGGAATCCCTTGTCAAACACAGACGCCGATACGGCTGCAAGCGCAGGCATTGTCCCCATAACTTCTATTTTTGGTCTACCAGGGTGTTGTTCGCTGGCCTGGGGATCTGTATGACACGCGCCTTGTCAGGGAGCTTGTTCAAGATGAACTGCAGGGCCTGCTGGCCGTTTCTCTCGCCGTAGCCCTGATGAAACGCGGCGTCGGTGCCATTCGAGCAAAAGGGATCCGGCGAATCGCAGTACGATTGCATCCTGTCTTGATATACGGGACAAGAAAAGTTGGCCGGGCGTGCCGCAAACTGTTTTCCCCCAATGAGTCAACGAAACACAAGTCCACAAACAGGCTGGGCCGCATCACTACTCACCCCTGGACCGGTCGCGTTTCCCACGTTGAAAGGCTGCCCGGACCGGTGCCGTGGGTTGCCCATCATGATGATAGCAGCGACCTTGGATCCTGTTTCGACTGGCACGAGGGAGCCTGTCGTCCGCAGGCTCCTGCCGTCGGGCCCGCCACAGAAGGAATCATCGATGATCTGGCCTCCCTAGAGGGGAAAACAAGCCGGTTCGTCAGCAAGGCACCCTCGCGTACGCCCGAGCGGTTCTCGTGGCAATCCTTACCTGTGAGTAGCCGTGCATGATGAGCACTGTATCGGGGCACAAGAGCGTAAACATGGCCAGCTGGCTGATGACGCCCACGATCCCCATCCTGACGCTCTTGGCGTAGTCGTCGCCGCCGATGGCCGGGTACTGGATCTCTTCGGACGTGGCGCCGGGGAAGTTGTCGAGCACGAGGTCCACCAGCGTCTTGGCCGAGCCGAAGCCCGGCGGCGCGGTCGTCTCCCGGGCTGCCATGATGTGAAGCTGCGGACACACGACCGCGACTGCCCGGTCCAGCACGGCAGCCGCGGCGCAGCCGAGGAGCCATGCCAGCGCTAGTATCGAGCGCATCATCGTCTCACTTCGTGGTCGAGAATACGAGGGACGAGTTGAGTCAGTCCATGCCTCTCTGAGCGCCGTCGACAACAATGAATAAAGAAGGAAACGTTCGTCGGTCGGTCGCCTCTTTTGGTGGTATATGAGGGAAAGGGGGGAAGAAGATGCTACCACGGGACAGAGATGCGTGGGACAGCAGGGCGTATCCTTGGCGATGTGCAAGTTGATCAGATGAAATAAGGCCGAGGAAACGAGGACGGCATTGGCAATGTGTTATTCCTGCTGCTGGCTGAGCTTACTTGGACGACGCGGATCAGAGGAAACGCATGCCGCTCGGGCGGAGGGGATGCGCATGGAAGCCTCCTGAGCCATTCTCCCACATGATCGCCGTTTCTCGTGTGGTCTCAGACACGAGGCTCTGCCGGACCGCATGCATCTTCATTTTGCGGCGGAAAGCTTGTATTTTGACATGGATCACATAAACATCGGGGCTGCGTCTTCTAGTAGAACGGAGCAAATGTCCTGAGTCAATACTGAATCTTCCTATGCTGTAAATACTATATAGTTGGAATGTCGAGTTTGATTCTCACGATCGAAGCCGAGTTGAATTGATGTACAAGTATGTTTGAACCCCTGCAGGTCCCGGCCGTCGATACCTGCGACAGGGATCCTCACCACGAAACGTAACGGGCAGCCCGCGGCACGCATAACGCATCATAATCGACGAAACCGCCGCTCGAAGAAAGTCAAAATGTGTTCTTGTAGAAACATCTAAGGGCATCAAAGGGCTATAGATGGCCGGCCAAGCCAGTAGGCCAAGGAATAGCAGGGGGCATGATGTGCTGCCCGTTTCTCGGGCAGTTATCCGTATAGATTTGTCACCAAGTTGCCTTCCTTCTTACCAAGAGCTCAATAGGATTTTTGGTAATGCGTTTGATGCTGGCCGGGAAATTCAGCCTGATCGGTTGTCCGTTCTGCCTGTCTCGCCTCGGATAAGGGCATGGCGTCTTGAATGGCAAGTCTGGACACCACCTGTGGCCACCATGTTTAGTCTACACGACCAGATAAAGAGAATGAAAGGCACCGGATGTGCGCCCGGAGAATTTCAATGATAATCGTCCGTGAGTTCTGGAAATCTGCAGACTTGAAACGGCTGGCGCTGCTGATCCAACTTGTGGCCTCGAGATTCCAAAAGGGGTCCCTTACTGTCTCTTACTCGGCCGATATTATCACACGCCGGACCCGGCTTAGATTTCATCAACATTCGTGATTGCGACCTCTCAGAAGTAAAGACAAGATTCAATTGGACAAGCTTTACTGTAGACGTTGGAGGATGCAACTCGTTTCGTACAGGAAGCTCCCATACATAACCCTTACCCTCTGTACTTGGGCAACCCTGTGGAGCCAGTCAATACAGGCTTATCGATAACGACACTCTCAGGTCACCGCGCTAAAATCTCCTTTCGCAGTAGCCGCAAGATTCTCATGAGACAATCGACGCGCATATCCTCAACTGCCGGAAAGCGATGCAGATATGAGTGCGCCGTCAGTAATACGGCCGGTACGGCATGTCATCCAATGGAAGCCGGTACGGATTCCCATATTGTCTCCCACGGATGACAGGTGTCAATGGCTAATCTTCGCGCAGCAATCCGCGGTCCTCCGGCCAATCCAGGCCACCTCCATTCCTTCGTTATCCCGGCCAAAGAGCTCAGTGTACGTCCAATTAGGCTCCGAGTCGATATTGATGTAAGGGAGCGTGCGGTTCTGACTAAATTTCACAGAGCATCCAAGGCCGCGAGACCAGCGTCTACCACAGCAGCTGAGTACGACGAACGAATCCTCCCCCAACGACAAAACGACCTCCGGGCTACGCTGAGCTGACACGCTGCCAAATCTAGATCTAAAGATTCCAAGCCCGATCCTAGACTCCCCCGATCCGTCCAGTCCCTATACCTCCAGCCGCTGCGCCACGAAGTCGAGTACGGCGTGCCCTCGGCCGATCTGCAGCTGCGGTCCTTCAACGTCCGCAGCCTCGAGTTCTTCTGCGACTTTGCGCTGCGGGCCGCCTACTACCTCAAGCTGCCCGCCTTTGGACCCGTACCGCTGCCCAAGATCACGGAGCGCTGGACTGTGCCCAAGAGTCACTTCATCTTCAAGAAGTCGCAGGAGAACTTTGAGCGTGTGACGCTGCGGCGCCTCATCCAGATCCGCGACGGCAACCCGGAGACGGTGCAGATATGGCTCGCCTTCCTGCAGAAGCATGCCTACCCCGGCGTCGGTATGAAGGCCAATATGTGGGAGTTTAGCAAGCTGGGTAAGTGTGGCTTATGACTCATGGTTCTCGGGGTATAGAGCAATCTTCGCTGACAACGGACACCTGCAGACGTCGGCAAGTTGATGGACGAGGGTGCGAAGGATGCTGCTGGTGTGATCGAACCCAAGTGGGCGCATTTGGGAGAGAGCAAGACGATCGGCACGGTTGAGAAGGTGGAGGAGCTGTTGACAAAGGAGAGAGTCAACCTCAGCGGAGGCCTGTAAAGACAAAGGGTACGATGAGTGCATGTACTTGTATAGCCGAGTTGTGCCTTGGTATGGCCTCCAAAGATGAGCCTACTGTGTAAAACCACAATCTAAATACAATATCTTTCAAGTTGATGATTCTAGAGACATTCTGCCCAACCTACGCTTAACCGCAGCAGCAGCACAGAGCCCAATGATTTATCTCCATGCTGAAAAGACATTATGAAAACAACAGAAATCCCAGTTTAATCAATTGAGTGGTACATCGTGTTTTCTATGTGTATGTGGTTGTTTCTGCCCCGTGGAGTTTGGCTGGGAGACAATCGAACTTGATCGGAAGCATCCATAACCCAAATTTTTTGTAACACTTGGGCCACTCACTTATTAGTCCGCAACAACCAACTGTCAGGCCATATCTCAAGTCGACTCTTCTACAAGCAAGCAGGGGGCACAACTCCCAGCACATTCGCATGCTCGAGCGAATATAGAGATGAAAATGAGGTGGTGCAGGGGTCCCGCGACAGCCCAGTCGCTGAGGAGCCTCGCCCGCAACCCGCGCGCCTCACTCGCAACAGCGCCGGGGCCGCCGTGGCTCTCATCTCAATGCCACCAGAGCAGCCGGCGGCGCCTAGCCTCCTCCTCATCCACCTCCGCCACGGGTGCGCCCGCCGCCGCCGCGGCGCCGGCCGTCGTCTTCTCGGGCATCCAGCCGACGGGCGTGCCGCACCTGGGCAACTACCTGGGCGCGCTGAGCCAGTGGGTCCGGCTGCAGCGCGAGGCCGCGCCGGCGGACCGGCTGCTGTTCTCGATCGTCGACCTGCACGCCATCACGGTGCCGCAGGAGGCCGAGGCGCTGCGCCGGCGGAGGCGGGAGATGATGGCCGCGCTGCTGGCCATCGGGATCGACCCGGAGCGGTGCATCGTGTTCTATCAGTCGTCGGTGAGTCCTCCCCGGGTGGGAGACGGTTGAAATCAGGGGGAAGGCTAACGACATTGTTTTGTGATGTTAGGTGCCCGCGCATTCGGAACTCATGTGGATTCTCAGCTGCACGGCGTCTATGGGTTATCTCTCGAGGATGACGCAGTGGAAGGTTGGTTCTGGCCCTCCGCTAGAATATAGTCCTGCCCCTTTTCAACGAGGGACTTCATGACTGACAGGGGCCGATGGCAGAGCAAAATGCATCTATCCAACGATGCCTCGTTCCTGGATGAGAAGGCCAAGACGTCCTTGAAGCTGGGTCTGTTCTCATACCCCGTGCTACAGGCCGCTGATATCCTTGTCCACCGGTACGTTCACAAAGCTGGCCCAATGCAATCTCCACGTCAATATGTTAACTTTCTCCTGAAAACAGAGCTACACACGTCCCCGTCGGCGAAGACCAGCGGCAACACCTCGAGTTCGCCCGCGACTGCGCCCTCGGCTTCAACCACGTCTACGGCGGGCAGCACCTCGTCGCCCCCGAGACCATCCTCTGTAAGTTTGAGAAACGACTTTATCCCCCCCCCCCGTCCATTTAGAAAAAAACACACCTCTCTTTCCCTCTTCACCACTTTGTGCGTCTCCTAAGCCCTGACAAACCACAAGCCAAATCCGCCCGCCGCGTCATGTCCCTCCAGCAGCCGACGCAAAAGATGTCCAAGTCCCACGCCGACCCCCGCTCGCGCATCCTCCTCACCGACTCGCCGGCCGAGGTCCGCAAGAAGCTCATGTCCGCCCTCACCGACTCGACCAACGCCGTCAGCTACGACCCGGCCGCGCGCCCCGGCGTGGCCAACCTGCTCGAGCTGCTCTCCATCTTCGAGGGGGAGACGGAGGCGACGCCCACGCCCGAGGAGCTCGCCGCCGAGATGGCGGCCGCCGGGGCCACGCTCAAGACGCTCAAGGAGCGCGTCGGCGACGCCGTTGTTGACGGCATTGGGGGCATCCGCGAGCGGTACCTCGAGCTGCTCAACCGCGACGGCGGGAGGTACCTGGACGAGGTGGAGGCCAAGGGGGCAGAGAAGGCCCGGGCCAGTGCCGAGGAGACGATGAAGGATGTGCGGTCTGTCGTGGGGCTTTGAACCGTTGTTGTATTGCAAATGTAGCTAGCATCTCGAGCCATGCGTGTATTCTATTATGTACTACTAGAAATAGAAACGATTTCAGGTGACGTGGTGTTCTCATTCCTTCTCCCTTCATGTGATAGAATAACGGTACCTGAAGGGCGTTGGAAATGCTGTCCATCTCATTGCTTTATGCTCGATCGCCACAGGAATGCTGCTCAGGAGTGCAAAAGGACTATCTGTTAAGCTCAATCTAATGCCGTACAATAACGCCACGGCCTCTTGACCTCGTCGTCACACAATAACGTGCAAATCAAGAGGCATATGCAAAGCTGGATCCTCTGCACGCCAGCCAAAACTCCCTCACGACCTGGTTCGTCTGCCGCGCTCCTCTGAGGCTATATGCCCTCGTTAGCCTTTTCTGCTATTTGCAAACGATTTCTGTCATGTATATATATAGAAGGGAGGTATAGGGATAGATGAGAAAACTTACTTGACAATCCGCTTGAGGAAGACGCTCTTGTCCTGCGCCGACACCTTGTCGCTGGGGAACGACGGGTCGGCGAGCGCGCGCTCGAGCCACGACTGTGCCCGGACGTGCGAGACGACGAGCTTCTTAAGCGGGTCGCTGAGGCGGTCGAGCTCGCTGCGCGAGGCGCCGCCGCCGATGTTCTGCACCAGGGCCTGCGCGAGCAAAGGGCCCAGGTGCTCCATGGCGCCGTCGATGGACGACTGGAGGCCGGCGTCGGCGGACCGGAGGGTGATGAAGCTCGTCTGCGAGAGGGAGGGAGAAGAGGAGATGTTAGTCACCAAGTTCTCTGAATGGGAATAGAGCTGAATGAGAAAAGAGGAGGGTGCTCTTACCCAAAAGTCGGCCGAAGAAGCTTTCGGCAACGGTTCATGGCCGTTCAGCACCTTGAGGGTGAACATGAAGAAGAACTCGAGCATCGAGGTCGGCTGGATCTGGAACAGCACCTCGGGGTGTTTGGTCATCAGTCGAGAGACAAAGTCGATGCCGTTCTGGGCCAATTCTGTATCTGCATCCGGTTCTGATCTGGGAGTTAGAAAAAGAGGCCCAAGTCAGGCTTCGCGTGAACAGTTACAGTTACGTACCTGGCAGCGAATGGAGCAGTGAGACCACCCATGGGAGAAGAGTAGTCAGATTCTGCTTCACCTGCTCCTTGGGATAGGTGCTCAAGGCGCTCACAAAACAGCACGCAGTGCTGACTAGAACGCCTATCCTTGGTGTCTCGAATCTCTGCCGTGTGAAGAACTCCGAAACCATCTCGGGCTGGAATACAAATGGTCCAGGCTCAGTCTCGGAGAAGCCCGCTTTCATGGCGTTACAGATTGTATCAACGACCTCGCCGCTCTTGGGAAAGGCCGACTGCACTTCCACCATCAATGCCATCACCTGGCTCTGGACATGGAGGAGATGCTGGCTTGGAGATGCCTTCTTGTCGGGAGAGTCTGCTTCCAGATCCACAGGCCCGTCAGAGGTGGCCTGCATTCCCTTGGCCATACTAGCCAAACATCGCATCGAGAGATGGACTATCTGCAGCAACACCTCGTTTACCCCCGGTGCCTGGCCATCTTTGGGCTGGCACTGGGTAAAGCCTTTCTGAAGCAACGGCTCTTCAGTATTGGCCGTGCCTGGCTTGTGCAGAAGCTGTATACATCTGTTGATATCAGTCCTGAGCAAGCCGAAGAGTTGCTCAAAAGCCTGGAGCCTTCGAGTCTCTTCTGGAATAGCCTGTATGATAGAAGCAATAGCAGCGACAATCCTCTCCTCAGCCAAGGGGTCCAAATTTTGCATCGTGTGCAAAGTTTGGTAGTGACCCAGAAAAGCTCCAGCCTCACTTGTCAAGGTCGACCTGCACGATGAGCAAAGAGTGGCGATAGACTTGGACGAAGGCCCAGCAAGATTCGCCACCCCGACAGCATCGAATAAGAGACTCAGAGCAGCAGGTAGATACTCTGAGCGCCTCTCAAAGTACTCAGAGTACCTCTCAATCAGCGATAATGCTGTCTGCCTCAGCTTTACCGGGATCGGGCCCTGGTTCTGGCTCAGAAGGTCAAAGAGGGGCGCTGAGAACACGCGGCTCAGGAGGTCGTCACAGTTGCCCTCGTCAGAGATGCAGTCACTCAGAGAAGAAAGACAAAACGCAGCCGCCTCAATCTCTGCCCAAGATTTAGTAGGGAGCGACTGAAGGAGTAAGTCGACAAAGAGGGAGATCAGATCTTGGCCAGAGATGGAGTATGTGGTCTGCAGAAGATCAGCAACGTCTTTGCGCGCATCACCAAAGCCGGCCCTCTCAGACGAGTCCCAAGACAAGAACGTGTCCATGGACGGATACTGAATTTTCTTCCAGCAGGCCCCAACCACTTGCATGACATGGGCGAGTGCTGTGTGTCTCCAGACTTTCGCCGCGTCCTCGTCGGAATATAGGGAATCGGTCATGGTCTCGATGAAAGTCGACCAGAATTCGAGCGCGGGTACAAAGATCTTGTCTTCCGCCACTGGATATCCGCGTGTCCCCAAGAGGCCGCAGAGACCTGAAAGAAACTGCTGAGAACGCTGGTCTGGGGATTGCATGAGCTCCAAGACCTTCGCGTCGCCGTACGCAATCATGAAGAGGCCAAACATCAACGGATGGACGTCGACATCATCGTAGTCTCCGGCTGTCAGCCTGTTGTATAGTTGTTGAGCCCACTGGCTCTCAAAGATGGATGCAAGCATCGCATATTGGTCTTCGGTGAAGAATCTCGAGTAATTGGACAGGACTTCTGTCAGAAGCTCGACAGCGGCTTGATACGATGACTCGTTTGCTAGACAATTGATGGTTGGCTCGACAAGGGTCCGCAAAGGAGTGACAAGCTCTTCGGTATTTGAGGATACACGTTGGGCATAAAATATCCAAGACTGGTCTTGATTAGATGAGCCTATTCCGGAAGAAGGGCGGGGGTATTGCTTACCTGTATACAGTCAAGAGTCTCTTTCTTGATTGCCTCTACATGGTCTTGGTTAGATAGGGGAGGTGCCAAACAAACACTAAGTAGCGCCGTAGCATCTTGGGCATTTTCGATGAGCCGGCGATGTGTGCTCGTACTTTGCTTTGTCAATGCTTCTCTCACTGCATAGTAGGAGCCGGGGGGAACTTACTGCTTGATGGCGTTCATATCAGTCTTGCCAACATCTTCGACGAGCTTAGCTAGGAACGATGGTATGGCACGGAGCAACTCCCAGGGCAGTGCCCTGGCAAGCTGCGGAACTTCTGACGGCTGGGGGACCAGTTCAAGAGGAACGTTGCGCTTCTCGTTGAGACAGACGAGCACATGGCGGACACAGTTTGGCCAGAGGTGGGAGAACTGGACGAAGAAAGATACCAGGGCATGACAAAGCTTCTGAACAACAAGGGCACCCGAGCCTCCGGTGGCGGCGGAGATCAGCCACTGTAAAAGGCTCTGTAGAAGTTCCTGGGCATCGTCGTCGGTGAGGCTAGAGCTGTAGGTCTGTTAGTACGTTGACTGTGGGGAAATAAAAAAAAAATGGGCGTCGACTGTGGGACATGCCTCTCGGTGTTGAGCTTGATGATAATGGTCAAGGCACCAAAGAATCTGATCTGGTCGTCCTGGTTGCCCCGGGAGGGTTGGTCGAGAAGCTGTTTGGCAACTTGCCATCCCTGTGGAGATTTCTGCAGACACTGCAAAACATCTTGAATGTTGGCAATAGCTGCTGGCGTATTTTGCGGTTGATATAGTGCCAAGATGAGCTGGTAAATCAGTCAGTGCGCGAGATAAGAAAATGAAAAGAACATCCTGCGACCAACCTGTTCCACCTCAGGAATGGTGGTCGGCAAGGGGGTTTGTTCCATCGTCAGACTTAAGCCGTATCATTACGACCTCAAGATGTCGATGTTGCGTGAGTTGTTCGTTGTATCCTAAGGAGAGGATTGGGGCCAGCTTCTGATGAGCGTGGGTTGGGCCCGTGGCGATGAGCAGTGGACGACGAAATTTGGTTGCAATGCAGGCTAAGGCTGACAAGAAGTGAAAAGAGTGTCCATGGAGGCTTGGTCCTTTGATCCTCGCCAAATAAGGCAGCTATTCATTTTGCGCAGCCGAGGGCCTTTGACGGACAAACAAAACTGGAAGAAAGGTGCCTCGAAAATTGATGTAGCTAGGCCCGCCGTCGCCGCCTTGGTGATGGTGTCCCGAAGAAGCGGACCCGCCTTTCAAAGTCGCCTAATTCACCAACGTCACGACCTCTCTCGTCAGGAGCCCCCATCCAATGCTTTTGAAAAATGCAGCCTGGGGATTCCTATGTCGTCAATATACAAGCTGTGTTTGATAGGGCAGTGTAACATGAGGTAGGTGACAAGCTCTGGACGAGGGAAAGTCACCGTACACATAGATGATGTTGGTAGGAGAACTTGTGCTTGGTGTACAAACCACCTCTTATTTGGGTCAGGCATACATGCGGACGTGGGGTGGGAGATAGCAGATGTGTATTGCATGAGCAGATCTGGCTCGGAACCGCTCGACGACAAGGAACAAAGCATACTCCCTCGAGGGAGGACATATGCACGTCTGCATGTCGAGGAAAGCGGCCAGTCCCTGCCGGCCACGGTTCTGGAGGAGTCAAACATGGATCGGCTTCTGAGTTGGGAAAGTACCCGGAGCTACATGTCGCTGATCTCGACATCAGAGAGCACGAAGCTTCAATTCGCATTGTGATGTATCCCAGAGTTCAAGCTCGAGTCGAGCAGGCGATCAAGACCCTTACCTAGGTACCGGACGGAAAGGCCAACCGGCATCAAGTCTCCCATTTAAACCACCCGGCACAAGAACCTGCGATATTGTTCCCCGAGGAAGACAAAAGAGCTTCGACAGCACAGTCTCCCTCTCGAGGCCATGGAGGGGTCATTCGTACTCTAAATTGGGGCGGGTAGCGGGGATGACACCGGTGGCTGCCGGGGGTCTGTCGGGTGGGCATTCACTATCGCCGCTGGTACGCGGGCCTACAAACAGCTTGAACTCATTTCCAGATTGTGCTGCTCTAGCGTGAACCGTCAACTTCCACCTTCCGTCATTGGCGCCTCCCCTCCACCCACCCTACCTTACCTAGGTACCCTGCCGACGTAAAGCGCGCTGCCAACAGACCAAACCTGAAGCTAGACTTGGGTAGACTGGCTCGACTGGCTGGCTCGTAGCTCTGGTCTCGATCGACCTTCCTTATATTGCCTCCTGTCCAACCCTTTGTCCCTCGCGTGACACTCCCTTCCATACCGGCCTCATGCGAGTCATATATTCTTTCACGTCTCTTCCACCTTCTCTCCGTTCTTCACAACCTCTTCTCGTGCAGTGTTTTCGGCCTGCCGCTCGGTCGCCGTCAAAGCTATCTTTTCCTTGCTCTCCTCCCAAGAGCTTCCCTACCCCACGATTCTTCTCCACCCGCCCACCATCCGCTTCAGATATGGAGACCGTCAACACAAGTGATCGATTGGCGCAGCTGCGACAGCTGATGAAGGAGCATAAAGTAGACATATACGGTGAGTTGCTGATATTTTCGTTCGGACCAGGGACACACTGACACATCGCTCTCCTTGATCAGTTGTACCGTCTGAAGATAGCCATTCCTCCGAATACATCGCCGCGTGCGATGGCAGGCGCGAGTTCATATCTGGTTTCAGCGGTTCCGCGGGCTGCGCAGTGATCACCCACGACAAGGCGACGCTCGCGACAGACGGCAGATACTTCAACCAGGCTTCTCGGCAGCTCGACAAGAACTGGCATCTCCTCAAGCAGGGCATCCAGGACGTCCCGACATGGCAAGAGTGGTCCGCGGACGAGTCGGCGGGAGGCAAGGTCGTCGGCATAGACCCAACCCTGATCTCAGGGTCGGCCGCTAAGAAGCTTCAGGAGAAAGTCCAGAAAGCTGGCGGCTCGGACTTCGTCGCCGTGGCCGAGAACCTGGTGGACAAGGTCTGGGGCAGTGATCGACCTGCGCGGCCTTCCGAGCCGGTCGTTGTCTTGGCGGAGGAGCATGCTGGGAAGGATACCAAGACCAAGCTTTCCGAGCTACGGAAGGAGCTGGAGAAGAAGAAGTCGGCTGGTTTCGTCGCTTCTGTGCTCGACGAGATTGCTTGGCTCTACAACCTCCGCGGAAGCGACATTCCCTATAACCCAGTCTTCTTCTCCTACAGCATCATCACACCTGACTCAGCGACCCTGTATGTGGACGAGTCCAAGCTCAGCAAGGAGTGCCAAAGCTACTTGTCTGAGAATAGCATCGCGATCAAGCCTTATGACAAGATCTTTGAGGATGCCAAGTCGCTCAGCCAGTCGGTGGAGACCAAGGGTGAAGGCGAGGAGGTCACGGCTGTCCAGAAGTTCTTCATCTCTAACAAGACATCCTGGGCGCTGAAGCTGGCACTGGGAGGTGACAAGTTCGTCGAGGAAATCCGGAGCCCGATTGGTGATGCCAAAGCGATCAAGAACGACACCGAGCTGGAAGGGATGAGGCAGTGCCACATCAGAGATGGTGCAGCGCTGACCGAGTACTTTGCATGGCTGGAGGATCAACTAGTCAACAAGAAGGTCACAATGGACGAGGTCACAGCGGCTGACAAGCTCGAGGCGCTGCGGGCAAAACAGGACAAGTTTGTCGGGCTCTCGTTTGACACTATCTCTGCTACGGGACCAAATGGTGCTGTCATCCACTACAGCCCCGAGAGAGGCAATTGCGCCGTCATCGATCCCAACGCCACTTATCTGTGCGACTCGGGCGCACAGTATCTAGACGGCACCACGGATACGACTCGCACGCTACACTTTGGAACACCGACAGAGGAGCAGCGACACACCTTTACGTTGGTGCTCAAGGGCCATATTGCCCTGGGAACGGCCGTCTTCCCGAAAGGCACGACTGGATTCGCGCTGGACTGCTTGGCGAGGCAATTTCTCTGGGTAAGTTCCCCCTGATGATCTGAGCTTTTGTGCTCTGAGCTTTTCCGTCTGACCGTCGATATAGCAAGAGGGTCTCGACTATCGACATGGCACTGGTCATGGTGTCGGTTCCTATCTCAACGTGCACGAGGGTCCGATTGGCATTGGCACTCGCAAACAATACTCGGAGGTCGCTCTCAGCGCTGGAAATGTGCTTTCCAATGAGCCTGGCTACTACGTGGACGGTTCGTACGGTATCCGGACTGAGAACATGGTGCTGGTCAAGGAGGTCAAGACGAAGAACTCGTTTGGCGATAAGCCGTACCTCGGCTTCGAGAACGTCACGATGGTGCCGTACTGCCGCAAGCTCATCGACGTGAGCATGCTGACGGAGAGTGAGAAGAAGTGGCTCAACAATCACCACGCTGACGTGCTGGCCAAGCTCAAGGGTTTCTTCGAGGGTGACGAGCTCACAATGGCGTGGCTGAAGAGAGAGACGGAGCCGTTCTGATGGATTTGTATATCATTATACCCGGTCGTCCTGGCACTGAGGAGCAGGTCTGGAAATATCTCCCAAGGTACATGTTTGTAAACTAGAATTGCATGAAGGACGCCATGGCAAAGGTAACACCAAAGGAGGTCTTGAAGGGAGTGTTTTCCGACAGGGCGGATAAGATCTTAGAGGACTTCGCCCGCTCTTTGAGCTTGAGTGTGTGTACCAGGTCAATGCCATATCTGGATGCAATCTGGGGAGGACAGTCAGTATATTGTTTTTCTTCCCCTAGGAGGAGACATCTAGCAGTCTCTGGCATTTGGAACGATCTGCACTTTACCTGTACCGTAACAATGGCCACACCAATGAGGAAGACGAGAGTCTTTGAGAAGACGGCGACTACCAAGCCGCTGAGGAAACCTGTCGTTGTCGTGTCAGATCCTCTGTTCAAAGTCTATATGCAGAAAAAGAACATGAAAGCTATCTGGACTCACCGGCGATACTGCCGCTGGAGAGCTGCTTGATCATGTCCGGGTTGAGGCGTTCGTGGACCTCGGGCGGCTCTTGACGGCTGCTCGGCGTCACCCGAGCCGGCAGGGCGTCGAGGCGCATCGGCTTCTGTCGGGCGATGAGGTAGACGCCGGATGACAGGCCCAATGTGACAGGGACGATGCGCTGGGCGAGGGCCCTGCGGCAGATGAATGCGGCGCTGGCCATATTGTGGTTCCGAGACGGCGGAGGCCTGGGAGGGCTGGAAGAAGGGAGCTTGGTTCGACTAACAACAGAGGCAGGTGCTCGAGCTTGCTCTCTTGGCTTCCTTGCTTGCTCTGTAGTCTTATTACCTACTTTTGAGGGACAGTGGATGGCCTGCTCTGTGTTGGAATCCTTCACCGCTGAGGAAACTGTTTACATGGATTCTATTTCCCAGGCACGAGTTCGCCGAGCCCACGTGGGGTAGGTAGCTCTTATTTACACTGGGGTAATGATGAGCGGCATGCTGGCTGTACCTCGTAGCCCCAAGTCTCGTCAGCTCCCTGTCTTGACGTAATCACCACGATGGAGCTGGAGCTAGGTATCTCAATAGAGATCGCCGCAATTGAGACTCCACCAAAACCGACGGTACCATCCAGTGGCCTCAGCGTGTCCGCCCGCTAATCCTTGGGGCCGAGGTGGTGGTCCAAGCGGGCCTCGATCCCACCACAATTCAGACGCGTCAATACGCGCTTTTGGCCCTCTTCGCAGCCAAACCTTATTGTTTTCCCTCCTCGACAATCCTCCACCTACCTACCACCCATATCAATATCCCCAATTCCGGTGGTTGACTTGCTCCGACAGATATTCTCCCGGTGGAAGCACTGCAGCTTGTCAATCTCGAAGGAGAATTCACAATTTCAACCGCAACTCCGCGAACCAAAAACGGACAATCCAGCTGTCGCACCACCACAACAAGAAACAAACAAACAGAATGCCACGGCCCGCCCGCACCAAAGGCGTGTCAGGGCGCCTGGCCGCCAGGCACGCCGCCTCGACCTCCGAGTCCGAATCCCTACCTGCGCCCGCTCCCCAAGCAGCAAAGGACGTAGATGCTCCCAGCAGCGACATCTACGGCGTCAGCGATCGCGAGCTCGAGAGGCGCAGGTCCACGCGCAGATCCTCCCGCGCCGCTGCGTCAACCACGACGACTACCCAGCAACAAGCCGGCGCTCTAGAGGGCGCCAAGCGCAGACGCGACGAGGCCATGGACAGGCTCGGCGACATCACTTCCACGACCAGTGCGGACGACGCGGCCGGCCACACGTCAGACAAGGCTGCGAGCCCCGCGGTCGAGGTCGGGCGCAGGGAGCAGTCGGTGGCTTCGGCGGCCAGGACGACGCGCCGCAGGATACCCGACGCCTCGGGCCTGGACGTCCTGGACGACGACGAGATGTTTGGTGATATGGACACCAGCTTCGACGAGCAGGACCTCGACTCCCCCGGCGGCGCCGACGCGCACAAGTCGCACAACTCTACAAACAACACGTCTTCCTTCAACGTCGCCCTGTTCAAGCGCGGCCGCCCCCGCACGTCCAGCATCGTCGGCAGGGACGACGGTCCCATCCGGCCGAGCAGCCGCGGCCCCAACACGCCGAGTATCAGCTCGACGCTCAACCTGGGCATCTTCAAGAGACGAGCGCGGGAGCCGAGCATCCTCGGTACGGCGCGGAAGCAACGCGCTCGGAGTCAGAGCGTCACCTCTGCGGCTCAGAGCTCAGCTGCCCAGAGCGAGGACGAGGGTGCCTTTGCCCCCGATGACGCGGGCACGCCTCTGGACCGGTCCCGGATGCGCACCTCTGCCTCCGTGGCAAGGAGCGATGTGGACATGCCCTCGTCGCCTGCGGTCAGGTCTCGCAAGAGAAAGTCGACAGAGAGCCACGCGAGTTCTTCGAAAAGAAGAGCGGCTGAGTCGGAGGACGGTGAGGATGATGACATTCGCGACTCTATCGAACTGTCAAGCCCTCCGCCTTCAGATCAGATCGTCGAGCCACAGGCCGCTCCCGAAATCGACGACAGCATAATGGCACCGCCCGCCAGCAGCGACTCTGAGGCCGACAGTCCGTCTCTGTGGCCGTCGCTCAAGTCGCTGGCCAAGGGATACAAGGTCAGGAGACCTCCCTCCCGGACACAGAGGACACCCGCTCCGGAAGACGACAATGCCTCGGATATCTCTTCCCCGCCGTCGCTGACGCACTCCCCCAATTACGCCCACGCTAGGAGGAACCCGAGAGCTGCCGCTAGGGGCAGGCACGCCTCGGACAGGCGGGAGCCCTCGCCCGTCACCACGGCCGACCTGGCGGCCATGCTGCCGCGCCGGAATAGGAGACTGAGAGGCGAAGAGGACGACGCCTGGGACTTGGACTCGGACTCCGAGGCCGGCGATGCCGCCGTCGCCGCCCCGGCCCACGACGACGACGAGCTGTCCTACATGGACGCTCGGCGGGCGAGGCAGCACCACCACCACCAACAGCAGAAGAAGCAGGTCCGGCCGCTGGGCCCCTCGGCGTCCGGTGCGGGCCAGTCACACGCCGCCAAGACCGGCCGGCCCGCGAGGCGCAAGTACGGCTCGGCGTGCAACGCCTCTGACAAGGAGAACAACGGCGACGGCGCCGACGCCGACGCCGACGCCGACGACTCGATCGAGGTGGCGGCCGCGAGCCCGCTGCCCGACGACACCTTTGACAGCCCCGAGGACGCGGACGAGACGACGCAGGCCGAGCTGGCCGAGGAGCTGGTCAGGGCGGCCAGGAAGTTCAAGGAGGTGGACAAGTGGGAGCTCGACTTTGAGGAGGTCACCGAGGTCGAGGTCTCGTCGCCGAGCAACGCCCGCTAGGAGAGCAGTCCCATGGTGCAATGCCGGCCGTTTGGGGCGGGCGGGGCTTGGCTTGCTGCAGTGTGAATGATTTACGCTTTTCTTGTTCATGTGGATTGCCAGATGGAGGCGTTGTTGGGTTTGTGATGGTTTGGGCAACTCTTGATATCATTCCTTTGGGTGGAACACAGCGGTTGAAGTTTTGGCTGATTGCAAACAAAAAGTACCATTGAATACTTTTTTTTATGGAGTATATCCATGTGGCTTTTGGAAGGTGGCAGAGAGCTGAGGTCTTTCTGGCCTCCCTATATATGCTACATCCCGTTCCTGAACGCCGGTGACTGATCCCGTTATCATAAATCATCAGAAAAAAACATCTCTTTTTGACCCTATTGAACGCCGCGCAGAACCAATGTCTAGTAAGTTTTTCTTTCTTTCATGAGCGCTCATGAGGACAACTTGGCATACTCGATCGTCTGCTCTCGGATAGGTAGTAGGTTCACGACCTGGTTGGCGTCCCTCATGGCCACCGTGATCGCATCCGGCAGGAGTCCCGTCATGAGCAAACCCTGGCAACACCCCCACGATGTTAGTACTGTCATCATCAAAGACATACATACACCACCAATCAGCGTTTCGATACGAAATAAACTCACCCTTTTCACGTTGTCAAACGAGTCCTCCCTGGCCGTGTACTCGCGAATCACCTCGTCCGTCTCAAAGTCGACGTAGACGCGCGTGTCGCGCACGCGCACCAGCACGCCGTCGAGGCGCATGTACAGGCGCGCCAGCAGCAGCATGCGCTGCGGCATGACGCGGAACTTGACGCTGTACATGCTGACGCCGTTGTCGTCGAGCTCGCTCTCGTACAGGATGACCTCGTCGTTGAACAGGATGGGGTCGCGCCGGCGCAGGAGCTCGAGCGGGATCGCCTTGACGACGCCTTGCGGCCCCCTGCTGCTGCTGCCGAGGTCCTGCGGCGCCAGGGGCCCCGCGCCGGGCGTCTCGGTCGCGGGGACGCCGCCGGCGTTGGTGGCGGGCAGGCCGCGGCGCACGGTGCCCGCGTACGCCGAGCTGTAGGTCCAGTCGAAGGGGCGCACGACCTCGCGGATGCCGGCGCTCGTCCTCTCGCGGCTCTGGCCCCACTCGCGCGCGTGCGCGACCTGCAGCATGTTGTCGGCCGTCTTGCCGACGGCGTCGAGGGCCGGCTCGGCGGCGAAGCAGACGGTCCAGCCCGTGGGCAGGTGCGTGACGGCGACGAGGTTGTCGCCAAAGATCATCTCGGGGATGGGGATGCCGACGCGCGCCGACATGGCGTCGATGGGCGCCGCCTTGGAGATGGGCAGCTTGCGCGACAGGATGCGGAAGCGGCCCTGCGTGTGCGACGAGGTCGCCGAGGCGAGGTCGTCCGGGGACGGGTAGTGCGTGTCTGGGGGCGCGAAGGCGGTCATCGTCTTGGGCGGGGGCGTATGTCGGGTGATGGGGTTGTTCTGCGAGGGTGGGGAGAGGGTTCGGGGCTGGGTAGCGGTGGTGTCGAGGCTGCCTGTCCTGGTCGTGATGTCTGTCCACGGAGCTGCCAGCTCAGCTCGGGCGCGAGACGTTCGGTGCTACCGTGTGGTGGAAGGGATCCCGAGAAGCGGAGAGAGGAAGTCTAACGCCCATGAATTGGTCCTTCGAGGGGACTGAGCTCGTAAATCTGACCCTGGTCGCTGAGGATCTCGAGATGGGAGGGTGTGAGGTTGGAGGTGTTGATAATTGTTGGCGGGGAAAGAGAAGAGGCGGGAGCTCCGATAAGATAGCGAATGAGCCAAGGTGGTGGTGGGGGGGGAGCTCCGTGTAAGTCAGATGCAAGGAACTGGAGGAGTGTTGCACATATAAAAGTCTGAGAGTAAAAACGTGTTGAATATTACCTGGATATGTTGGCATGATTGGATAAATAGATGAATCTCATACTACACAAAGAGAAATTATAAGGAAAAGGTGCACACATCGAGACTAAAGCATCGTGACAATCCGCAAATGGGTCTCGTGAAAGCTTCATGAGCAATCTGCCACTTTTTTTACTTCCTCCAATCCTGCGCTTTGTGCATCTGTAGATCTGTTTCCACACACATCGATATCGATGTTGTAGACTATGTTCTGTAATTCTGTCCAGGTCAACAACTAACCAAAGGGATCCAAGGTAGAGATATCCATAGGACCTGAAAGTGCCCTGTGATGCGCGGTTGCGTCAAGCTGAAGGATCATTGGGCCACTGGGTCAACTAACTACGACCACCAAAGCGAACCTGGTTCATGAACCAGCCCCTTTTCCTTTCACAAGTCTAGAGTATCCAGTCATCTTACTTCGTACACATCGGATCTACAAGTAGCTATGAGTTAATACTAGGTGGGTCGCGTTAATTGAGTCGCCGATTGCCCCATCGAATGATAAATGATGCCACCACCAGAGTTAGTCGCCGACCGCCGCTAACTCTGCTTGCTCAGTCAATCGGCGTTTGTGGGCACGTTCTAGTATAAGTCGAGCATACCACTCATGACTTGGGGGCTATCACTCGTTGCCAAACCGTCACAATTATCACCTCAAGACCCCAGTCTCTGACACAGCATCTTACATTCAAGCAAGATGAACTCAATACTCTCCCCGATCTCTGTTCCCTCGGTACCCGGCTGCGACGTTCGGCAGAGCCAAGCGGCAACACCAGCCCCATACACCCTGGCCCAGCTCGTGGCCGATATCAAGCTACACCTGGGGAAAGAAGGAGGAATCGACTCGAGCGACGTGGATGAGGCATACCTAGTGTCTCTTGCGCGGAAGTACAACTCGAATCCCAGTGATTGGGCACAATACTATTACAGCCAGCCGGGCAAGCATTACACGCGGAACTCGATAGAAGACATCAACCATAAAGCCAATATTGTGAGTGCAGGCCCCCTTAACCTTCCCCACCTAGTATACAGTCTAACGATAGTTTCACTTACAGCTTCTGCTGGTCTGGAGTCCCGGAAAGGGATCTCTGATCCACGACCACGCTGGTGCTCACTGCATCATGAAGGTCTTGGCGGGCAAGCTGACCGAGACTGTCTACTACAACAACAACAATAATGGTGCAGTAGACAAGGAGGACGCTGATACTACCCCCCTCCGGGTCAAGAGCGAGAGGACTCACAGCTTGAACGAGGTTGCTTACATCTCGGACACCATCGGGCTCCATCGCGTGCACAATCCGGACCCCGACAACGTCGCCGTGTCCCTGCATCTGTATACGCCGCCCCATGCGGCTGACATCGGCTACCACGTCTTCGATGAGACCACCGGTTCGTCGACCTTTGTGCGGCAGGCCAAGGCGCTGTCGATGGCGGAAAAGATGGGCATTAAGGCGTGATTGGGCGAACTCAATAGACTGTAGTATATTTTTTATTTAGCGAACTGCGACATACTATTTAGCATCTCAACTATAATACCAATACTTAGACTACAATGGAAGAGCAACTCTCCTTGACCTTTGCGGTAAAGACCCAACTAGGTTCTAAAAATATTGGCCAGTCACAATTCCATATCTTATAGTGCCCTGACCGGGTGTAATTCAAGATCTCCAGATATCACAAGCTAAAGACACCAGCCTCACTCAAAGCGCCTCGCCCAGTCCAACTTCCGCGATCCGAGGCTGCGGTCATCGCTCAGGGCAATTCTACCATTGGCTTCATCCGGCTGCACGTCTTGAATCCGAACCCACTTCTCCCTGAGAAGCCTGGTTTGCGTCTTGCCATCGCGGGCGCTGCTCCCGGCCGCCGCACTGTCCACATAGGGCGAGTCCCTCGACAGAGCAGAGATGCTCCCGAGGAAATCCGGCGCCCGGACGACCCAGCGGAGGGCGATGTTGCCCACGGCCGCCAGGAGCACGACGCCCACGGAGACAAAGTACACGGCCAGCCACGCCCCGGACAGCTCGTAGGTCGGGGCCGAGAAAGACTGCAGCCGGCCGCCCGTGGCGTTGCTGTACATCGACCCGGGGCGGCTCCACGTAAACGGCTGGTCCCAGGGTATGCTCTGCGGGCCGCTGATGCCGTCGTGGCCCATGATGGCGCTGGTGTCGAGCGACGCCATCCAGTACGAGTTGAGCAGCATGCCCATGCGCGCCTCGTACGCGGCCCCATGCGCGCCTCGTACGCGGCCCCGGGCACCATGCCGAACTCGCCCTCGCCGTCCTGGTTCGTGAGCCCCCTGATCGGGTCCTGCAGGTACATGGCCACGGCACCGAGGTTCGCCGGGTGCTGGGTGACCCCGACCGAGGCTAGGTTCTCTAGGTACCGGTTCATGTACAGCCAGTCCGGGTTGCCGGCCGCGTCGCTGAACATGGTGATGTTGGACGCCGTGTCCTGGCCCGGGGCGGCGCGCACGCGGGCCGAGCGACAGGATACCACGGTGTCCACGGAGGCCTTGACGCAGCGCACCTCGACGTCTACGACGGCCGAGTGCACGTCGCAGGTGGTGGCCGTCGTGTGCGCAAAGTGGACCAGCGTGCCCCAGAATCCCTCGACCAGGGAAGAGCCGTCGACGGGCCGTGGGAGGGTGCCGCGGTAGGCGTTGGTGTAGTAGTTGAGGTTGATCGCATACGGCTGCTTTATGATGTCGTCGCTGTACGGCAGCTTAAGAGGCGACTTGAAAGTCCTGCTCTGGCCGGGGGCCGGGTTCGTGGTATTGGCCGAGCTGAAATCCGCAGAGGTCTTATTGTGGTTCGCTACCCATGTCGTGCGGTTTTCCCACCTACCACTGCACTGAGAAGCGTTAGTCAGTATTATTCTGCCGACGGCATGCAAGGTAGAGAGATCGATCCTCACTTTCAAGTACAAGTATGTCGACCCAACAGTGGCCGTTGCATTGCCGACCGTCTCTGGTATTCTTCGGATGGCGACACCAAGAAGTGACTGGTAAGGAGCAACTTGATCGTCTGGTACATCCACCCATTGCTCGGGATGAGAGGCGTCATAGTTGGCCAAGAGATGGAGAAACGGCACACGGGGGTTTCCCCAATGGTCCTTCTGTGTGGTCACGGATGCTGCAATGTTGCTTCCCAGCGTGCGGACATACTGGGAGTAAAGGCTGTTATTACTGCTGGAGCCATTGGAATGAATCAGGGCGGTGCTGCTATCGTACAGCGAGCTGAGAAGGACCGCGTTGATGGTGGCCAAGTACGTGGCCGAGTCCGACGAGGAGGTCAGAATGGAGCCAAACGAGAGCTCGCTAATATTCGGCGTCGGGAAGTACACGAGTTCGAGCGGGGTGTTCTCGTTGAACAAACGTAGGTGCACCGATCGGACGACGGCTTGACCTCCGATAGGGCTGAAAGCCCACGCAGCAAGGAGGAGAATTATGGACAGGCTGATCAACGACGGTTCCGAGAGGGTCAGGGCTGTGCTTCCAAGCGTTTGGCTGGCCAGGAGAGACTCCAGCGTCTTTATAAACAATGACGTGAGTTTTCTTTGTGTAATGACTTTCGAATCTTGTTACTTACTGACAACTTGGTGCCTCTTTCAGCTTTGTACAGGGCATAGCTTCGCACCATCGCTCCCAAAACCATGGCAAACGTGATAGGCCAGGTGGTAGCAGCGACAGTAGCTAGCTGCATAATGGCCTCTGTCGATGAAGACTTATTTCTTCCGTCAAGCGAGACAAGAAGTCCTCCCAAGACTAGAAATCAAGTCAGCACAACCCTGTGAAAGGGCACGACTAGGGCATTACCTAGATACACGGCGGGTATCAGCAGCAACAAGATTGGAGAACCTAGTCTGGTCAAGAGCGAAGGACTTGCTTCTCGAAGCGAGAGTGTCTGTCCCTGGTCCGATATCTGAAACAGACCGTGTTCGTGCCGTCGTTTTTCGTCTCCTCCGTTGGGTATTTCCGGATGTTCCAATCCAGGGCCGCGATGCTCGTCATCGAGCAGAGGATATGAGTTGCCGATTTGATATCTATCGAGAGCCATAGCCGAATCAAACCCGATTTTCTTGGTTGTGTTTAGTTTCAGTCATGAGTTTCTACAATACAAGTCGGTTGGATGAGCTGCGCACGAGCATCAACTGGCCGGCAACCCAACGGCGCTGGAGTTGTTATCATATACGTGACCAGCCTTCAAACACGGCATCACTGGCCCGCAAGATTTATTCTTCGCTCTCAGCCAAGCATGGGAAGGAAATTGGGCACGGGGCTGTAATAGACCACCGAGACGAGGAACTCGTGCATTTGGCCCCCAATCGGAGCTCAAGCAACCCAATCAGGACCCTCGACATTGCACACACCTGGCCCCATGCTATCGAAGCCCAGGGCATTCATGCATACAAATTGCTCACTGTCATAAGTGAGTCTAAACATAAACGGAGCTGACTAGGGTCAAGTTCTGCACAAGCTCGATACTGAACGGCGCTTTCGCGGTGAATACAGAGGGGCCGAGTCGCGAGCCTTGTCTTGGCCCCCAACCGAACCTGAGTAATGGCTTAAGTAACAATTGCTATTTTGGGCAAACCTTACAGACTCGTATAAGGTCCTGTATGTGTCAACGCGTTCTTCTCAGTCAACTTTGAAAACAATGAAACCAGAATCTGTGAAAGGATAATCTTTTTGGGTTCGGCACTGGATGTCCTCGACAGCTCTGGCGCTGCGCCTCATCCCGGGCACGGCCTACTTGTCTGCGGCCGTCGCTTCCTACAAGGAATCGATGGCACATTGTGTAATGCTCTGATTTGTCGTTATTCTATTTGCGAGTGTATTATGGAGGATAGAAAGGGGCCAGGTGAAGAAACATGGTCAGACTCCCAGCCGATTTTCCATATGCACTTTCCCACAAATATATTGTAGAACTTGGATAAGCCATTTTCCATGTCAAGCTCATCCAGTATTAGAGAGACACTTGAGGTTAGAAGTAGAAGCTTACCCCCGCCAGAGCAAGGAGTATCCTTGGATTGATGACATCTTTAAGACTATAATACTATCTAGGTAGTCAGATATCGTGGGATATGAGGCTCTCCCAAAAAGTGGGGATGGTCGTTGTGCCGTTGTTGCTGGGACAACCCCGCCACTACCCCTGGTAAATACTCGGCCAACCGATCGCAGGTAACCAGACATAGGCCCATTCTTAGCCTGAGCCGGGTTCTCCCACACCGACAAACTTATTGAACAATACAGACCGTCAGATCCTCGAGATATTGTGTCGCTGTGTCCTCCACAGAACTCTCTCCTCTCGCCTTCGCCCTCGCCCTCGCCCTCTCTTCCCCTCTTCGCTCCTCTGCCGCGGAGAAAGACACACAGACACACCATGGCGACCAGGACGTTAGAAGCCCGCTTTGAGCGCATGTCGGTCAACGACGAGAACGACTCGGGCGAGGCCAGGCTCTACCAGAAATCAAAGGTTCGTGGCGTCTAACTATGCATAGATGAAAAACAAGAGCATTTGGGACACCGCGCAATTGACACTTGCCATCTTCGCAGGGCGTCGTTACGACCACATCGCAGCTGGCCCACAGCTCCAGCCGGCCGAACCTGTTCAAAATCGCCCTCCAGACCCAGAATGCCAACACGGTAACCACGACCGTCACACTGCCGTCGCAGGCCGCGCAGTGGAAGCAGTCGACAATGGCCGCCGGCGCCAACCCGGGCTCCCCAGGCCGCAAGGGGCAAGCCTCCTCGGCCCGCGACCCGGACGAGGCCGCCGAGCGCAAGTCGGGCTCCGCGTCGGCCCTGACGGCCGCGGTGCCCTCGACGCCCAAGCAGTGGCACCTGGGCATGTTCGAGATCGGCCGGCCGCTGGGCAAGGGCAAGTTTGGGCGCGTGTACCTGGCGCGCGAGCGCAGCAGCGGCTTCATCTGCGCGCTCAAGGTGCAGTACAAGTCGGAGCTGCAGCACGGGTCGGGCGTCGAGAAGCAGGTGCGCCGCGAGATCGAGATCCAGAGCAACCTGCGGCACCCCAACATCCTCAAGCTCTACGGCCACTTCCACGACAGCAAGCGCATCTTCTTCATCCTCGAGTTCGCCGGCAAGGGCGAGCTGTACAAGCACCTGCGCCGCGAGAACCGCTTCCCCGAGTGGAAGGCCGCGCAGTACATCGCCCAGATGGCCTCGGCCCTGCGCTACCTGCACCGCAAGCACGTCATCCACCGGGACATCAAGCCCGAGAACATCCTCATGGGCATCCACGGCGAGATCAAGCTGTCCGACTTTGGCTGGAGCGTCCACGCGCCCAACCACCGCCGCGCCACCCTGTGCGGCACCCTCGACTACCTGCCGCCCGAGATGATCAAGTCCGGGAACAAGGACAACTCGTACGATGAGAAGGTGGACCTGTGGAGCCTGGGCGTCCTGACGTACGAATTCCTCGTCGGTGAGGCGCCGTTCGAGGATACGCCGGTCATGACCCAGAGGAGGATCGCCCGGGCGGACATGACGATCCCCTCGTTTGTCAGCCCCGAGGCGCGGGATCTGATCAAGAAGGTGAGGACTGCCATCTACCCCAACTCCAGACACAAGTACCCAACACAAGTCTAACCAATGTCTACTAGCTCCTCGTCCTGGACCCCAACAAGAGATTGCCGCTCGAGTCGGTCCAGCAACACCCCTGGATCCTGAAGCACTGCGTCAAGGGGGAGCGGGCTGCGAATCGGGAAAAGTCGTCGGGCCGCGACAGCGAATGACATCTGGACCACGATTAATGACTCATTCACACCATTCTATGTATGATTATTCTCTTCGGCGTTGGATTACTACTCGGAAGGGGAGGAGTTGGGATTGCATTGCACATAAGGCTCGAGCGAAAGAGGGCTTTTCATAATGCTTTTTTTGTTGTTACATGTCTACTACACATTGGCCGAGGACAGACGCTGGTCCAGAATAAAATCTCATGATATAATCATACAGGCCTCGTCTCTTGTGCGCGCGAGGGAGAGAAAGAGAGAGAGAGAGAGAGGCAAGAGAGGGGTATCATTTGTATACTTCATCAAACGGCCGGGTATCGGCGAAACACGAGTCCCAGACCTCGTTGACCACCTTGGTCGCCTGCACGTCGTCCTTGCAGTGCGGGCGCGCCATGACGGACTGGATGGCCCGCATGCGCACGCAGTTTTGGAACTGCTGCGTCAGCGTCCAGTGCCCCCTTGTGATGGCCTCCCTGGTCCACCTGCACTCGCCGCTCAACATGGATGCTCGGATCTGTGGGAGCAGGATTAGCAATCTCCGTTATTCTACCAACGGGCCATGAGAAAGAAAAAAAGCAAAAGCGTCGTACCTCCATGCAGGCCGCGTGCCTCAGGTTCTTGCCGCTGTAGTCGACCTTCCACCTCAGGTGGTCGTAGGCGTGCACCATCTCGTGCGCCAGCGTGTCCTCGAGGTGCTTGCGGTTGCGCACCTCGTTGGCGCAGATGAGGATGCCGTAGTTGGGGTCGAAGCCGCCGCCCTTGCGCACGACGGTGCCGTCCTCGGTGATGATGCCCGGGCAGCGGCGGCACAGCACGTTGGAGGCGTCGAGCTTGCCGTTGAGCGCGTCGACTTTCTCGGCCATGAAGCGGATGATGGGGCTGTAGCGGAAGAGGTAGTCGCGGTGGCGCTCGCAGGCGGCGCAGTCGCGGGCCTCGTGCTCCCTGTAGCGCCACTCGCGGTAGTGGTGCATGCCCTCCTTGGTCATCTGGCCCGACAGGATGCGGAAGTAGTTCATCCACCAGCTCGTCTGCGGGTCGAAGCCCGTGCGCTGGGGGTCGTTGACGAGGTAGGCCTTGGCATGGTCGCTGGGCTCGAAGGAGGCGGACTGCGGCGATGGCAGGGAGGGGTCGGCGGATGCGGTGGTCGCCGTCGTCGGCTGTGGCGGTGGTGGTGATTGTGAAGATGTTGAAGCCATCGTGGGCAGCTATATGGGAGGGAAGACGGCGGCGGCCTCAGTCAAGGCGCTGTCTGCCGAATAGAACGTCTGAGGGTAGAAGGTCCAAGACCAGTCGAAGAAATTGCTTCTTCCGTGTAGAGCGGTCAATCAAGCTCTTGCCTTGGGCTCGAAGAATTGCACAGTAATCAATGTCCCTCCTGCTTCTCGACTTGGAGGTCTGCAGTGGATTCGGATAGATATCACAGCTGAGCTAACTAACTAGGTAAGGTATTCCCACTGTCGGCTGGAGCAGACCCCAGGGCGGTGAGAATCAACGCCTTGGGAGACGGGCGCTCCTCCAGCAAAAGACGGCCCCGGTTTTTTTTTCTTTTTTTTCTGCCGGTGGCCCGAAACCGGGCGATTCTGGGGCCAATGGGGCATTTGGCGATGCTGTCATTGGAGGGGCGCGCCTTTCAAACCATGTGCTTTGACAAACGAGAACTACACACGCCGGGCGACACAGCTTGCTTGTGACTCGATGCGCCCTGTCTGATCTGGCTCAAAGGGCTTCGGCTGGGGGGGCACCTTGCATCTTTCCACATCCATCCATGTATATCTGCAGATTAAATGGATCCGAAAGGCGCCGTGAGACCCTGTAAGAGAGACCACCACGCCTGCGCTGCTGTCGATTTTTCCCGAATCCTTGCATTGCGTGCTTTCATTTGCACTTCATGACTTATCTGTCTTTGCTGTTCTTCGTCGTTTGGAAAAGAGGTTTGAAAGACCAAGTCTGTATTTACTAATGCTATCCTCCTCCAACGCTCAGTCATGAAGGGGCATAGGCATCTCACCATCGTCATCAAGCTCGGTACGTTGCGACGGCTTGCACCCCCCGGACGAGTCATAACGTCTACGAGTGCCCAACTAAACCCAACGCCACAGGAACGAGCTCGATCGTGGATGAGAAGACCCATGAGCCTCTCCTATCCATCCTCACCCTCATCGTAGAGACTGCCGTCAAGCTGCGGAAAGATGGCCACAAGGTCGTCATCGTCTCGTCCGGCGCCATTGGCGTCGGTCTCCGCCGCATGGACGTCGAGAGGAGACCAAAGCATCTGTCAAAGCTGCAGGTGAGGATCCATGCTCTTCTTCTGGAAAATGAGTTACTGACTGGAACCCAAATACAGGCGTTAGCAGCCATCGGTCAATGCCAGCTCATGACCATGTGGGACACTCTCTTTACACATCTGCGGCAGCCCATCGCCCAGGTCCTGATCACACGCAATGATATAGGAGACGTAAGTCTTGTTCACTCATCACATGGTATCAGACATGCTAAGAACCCATCTCAGCGTACGAGATACCTCAATGCTCAAAACACGGTCATGGAGCTTCTCGACATGGGCGTCATCCCCATCGTCAATGAGAACGACACTCTGGCTGTCGCCGAGATCAAGTTTGGCGACAACGACACCCTCTCCGCCATTACGGGCGCCATGGTCCACGCCGACATGCTCTTCCTCATGACCGACGTGGACTGCCTGTACGACAAGAACCCGCGGGCACACCCAGACGCCCAACCCATCGAGGTAGTGGAGGACATCGGCGCGCTGCAGGCCGACGGTAAGACTTTCTTTTCGCCCTCTGAGCCCATGTTATTCCGCTTTCAGCGCAAGACCTTGCTGACTCTTTTGACAGTGTCGACCGCCGGCTCCTCCCTCGGCACGGGCGGCATGTCGACCAAGATCGTCGCCGCCCGCCTCGCCACCTCGGCCGGCGTCACCACCGTCATCACCCGCGCCTCCAACCCGGGCAACATCCTCAAGATCGTCCGGCACATCCAGGCCACCCGCACCCCGCCCATCACCCGCAACAGCTCTCGGGACCACCTCCACCACCACAACCATAACCATCATCATCACCCCCACCACCAAAACCAAAACGCCGCCGCCGCCGCCGCCGCCGATTCCAACAGCAGCGGCGAAGACCCCTTGTCCCGCTCCACCGCCTCCCTCGACATCACCGGCACCAGCACCACCCCACCCCCTTTGCACACCCGCTTCCTCCCGTCCACCGACCCCATCCGCGACCGCTCGTTCTGGATCCTCCACGGCCTCCGCCCCCACGGCACCATCTACGTCGACGCGGGCTGCCACCGCGCCCTCGCCGACAAGGCAGGGCTCCTGCCCGTCGGCGTCGTCGACGTCGAGGGCTCCTTCGCCCAGCAGGAGGCCGTGCGCATCTGCGTCGTCGAGAAACGTGTCCCCAACCCCGCTCCTCCCGGCACGGGCACGGGCACGGGCCCGCTGTGGGAAGGCTCCTGCCTCGAGGTCGGCCGCGCCCTGGTCAACTACTCGTCGGCCGAGATCGCGCGCATCAAGGGCCGCCAGAGCACCGAGATCGGGCGCCTGCTCGGCTACGCCGACAGCGAGTACGTCGCGCAGCGCGAGTACATCAGCCTCTTTAGGAGGGAGAGCCGGCCCGCGACGCCGAGCCGGGAGCTCGAGGAGCGCATCCTCGGTGCTGGCGCCGGCGGCGGCGTCGCGGGGTACGAGTCCAACGCCGTGGTGCCGCCGCAGGACGGGGCATAGCTTTTTTGTCTTTGGTTCAGGCGTGTTTGTGACTTGGTAAGAGATGCTGTTGCGTGGCCGGGGGGCGGGGAAAGGGGGTAGAGTCAAGGGGGAGGGAGTCCGACGTTGGTCGATACGGTGGAGCACAGGTTTGAGGTTGGGAACGAAGCCTGGAAAGAAGAAAAAGGAAAGAAGCCCAATAGGGGCTGGCGGTTTGAATCGGTTAGAATACACAGCGTATATCTGATCATGGCTCTTCTAATGCCATTGTTTTTGCTCCACGATAACAAAACACGTTTCTCTTCATCCCTGAGCTCTGGTTAACTGGAGAGGAACAATGTCATTCTCTCAAGTTCCCAATTCTCAATAAGTTCGTAGACTCAGTCCTCATCACTAGCACATGGCAACATGATATATGGAGGGCCATTTTATGCATATTACAAAATATTGGGTATTGATATCTCAAGGATAGTAGAGAAGACATGGTCATTGTATATATATACATGAAGTTGCCGCCATGAAAAAGCTCAGAGGCAAAAAAATTAAAAAAAGAAGAGTTGCGCCAACCATCATCACCCATCCATCTATCACACCATTTCCCCCTCCCGCAGCCCTTCCTTTATTTAGTAAAACCCACCGCCAAAGACATTGCACTTGTTCCAAACATTGACGTTGGCGTTCTCCGACAGGCAGTCTTGGTATTGCACCTGGCACTTGTTGGACGCCTGGCTCCACGTGTCGGTCCAGCCAAAGGTGCGCTTGTTGGGCGCGTTGACATAGTCAAAGTAGGTCCGCTTGACCGTGGTGGCCGGGGCGGCATCGCGCTTCCACCAGCCGCTGAACCAGCTGCCCCAGCCGCCGTTGTTGTTCCCGTTGCCGTTGTCGTTGTTCCCATCGTTGCCACCGTTGCCCCAGCCATTGTTTCCTCCGTTGCCCCATCCGTTGTTTCCTCCGTTGCCCCATCCGTTGTTGCCGCCATTGTTGCCGCCGTTGCCCCAGCCTCCGCCGCTACCCCAGCCTCCGCCGTTGCCCCAGCCGCCTCCGTTGCCGCCTCCGTTGCCGCCGTTGCCGTTGTCCTTGCAGCCCTGGACGTAGGTCGCCTGGCACTGGTCGTACTGGGACTTGCAGGCGTCGGCGCAGGCGCTGGAGCAGCGCCAGCGCGGGTAGCTGCCGCACTGGGACGAGTCCTTGTTGGTGTAGAGCTTGAACTGGTTGCCGGCGTTGAAGTCGCCCTTGAGGTCGTTGCAGGTGACGATGGGCAGCTCGATGCCGCCGACGGGGTTGCCGGGCCCGTAGCCGTACTGCCACGACGAGGGCTGCTTGCAGATGTTGGTCGGCGTGGGGATGGGGCACTGCGTCGTCGGCTTGGTGCTCGTCGACGACGAGACAGACGTGACCTTGCAGGGGACGACGGTGGTGGTCGTGACGACGGGGTGGCCGCCGTGAGGAGGCTTGCGGCCGAAGCAGTCCGACTTGGAGCACCTGTTGGAGGGGGTAGAGCCGCAGTAGCCGTTGATGTCCGAGCACCACGACGCGAAGTCGAAGCACTTGAGCGAATCAGGCCAGCCGGCGTTCTTGAAGCAGTCGGCGACCTGCAGCTTGCAGCGAGAGTAGCCGTTCTTGCAGCCATCAGTGTTGCTCCAGTCGGGCAGGTTGCCCGAGCACCATCGACCGCAGCCATACTCGCACTTGGACGGGATAGTGACGGTCGAAGTGCAGAGGGCGCTCGTGGATGTAGTGCTCAGAGTCGGCTTGGAAGTGGTGGGCGCACTAGTGGTCGGGATGGAGGTTGCCGGCGTAGTGCTGGGGACTCCAGCACTGGTTGTGGTGGATGAGATCGAGCTGGAGCTGCTGGAAGACGAGCTTGACGAAGAGGAGCTCGTCGAAGTTGAAGACACGACGCTCGAGGTGGACGAGCTGCTGCTCGAGCTGCTCGACGAGGATGTGGACGTAGTCGAGGTAGCCGAAGATGAAGTCGAGCTAGAGCTGGAGCTGGAGGAAGAGCTGGAGCTGGAGCTGGAGCTAGAGGTGGATGACGAAGTGCTCGCCGTGGAAGAAGTGCTCGAGGCAGTGGAGCTCGTAGACGAAGTTGTTGATACCGTCGACGAGGGCGGGCCAGGAGGGTTGGAGCCACCGCATGGCTCGATCGACTCGAGCTCCTTGGCCACGTAGACGCTGAGAAGGCTGCGGCCACCGCAGATCTGCGCGCTGTTGCCCTTGCAAGGCATGTTGCAAGCGCTGTCAGCCGCTTGGGTGGTAAAGTTGCCCATCACGGCGCCACACCAGCACTCGCCCCCGTACTCGGTACCGGCAAAGGGGAAGCCCTGAGATCGGCAGCCCTGCAGGCAGGTCTCGGTGGTCATCGCGGAGGCGTTGGTCTTGGCGAGCGGGTAGCCGAGGGTACGCCCGATGTTGGAGTTGTCGGTGAAGCAGCCGAGCTTGACGTAGTTGGCAATGGTGACATCCTTGGCATCCGGGAAGGTCGGGTCTTGCCAGACGGAGACGATGTTGTTGCCACCGCAGGTCTGCGTCTTGTTGCCGGTGCAGGGAAAGGTGCACTTGGACTCGGAGAGGAGGGCGCCGTTGACGGTCTGGCCACAGAAGCACTCGCCGTAGTACTCGAGGCCGGCATATCTGTAGCCGTTGCCCTTGCACTCGGCCATGCACTTCTCGACGGTCATGGACTGGGTGTTGAGACTGGTCCGGAAGCTGAGAGCATCCGGGTTGCCCGCGTCGGAGAAGCATCCGGCATAGACAAAGGGCCGGAAGGGCTGAGTGCAAGGAGGGAGCTCAACGTTCCATGCCTGGGCCTGCTGGACGAAGGAGATAGCCGCAACGGCTAGGGCCGAGAGACGGAGAGCAGCCATGTCTGAACCTGTGCTGGTATTGGGGGGATACAAACCCAATGCCAAAAAGAGCTGTCAAGGAAAGAATGACAAGAAATTACCCGACTGGGGAACGAATGGCAGACAGACTCAAAGCCTGGCGAAGCTCAAAGATCTGAGGTTGGGGCTTCAACCATCATGACCAGGGGGGGGAAAGGAGCACTTGCATCCCTCTTATACCAGACTAGACAACGGCATTGGGATAGAGAATCCCCATGTCCACACAAACCAAACGGCCTCGTCCGACCAGGTTCGGGGTGGCCCAGGCGTCGGATAAAAAAAAAAGACTAGACTTGGAGAGGTCCATTTCGCGAGCAAAGCCCATGTGAATACGACAAGGCCATAGCGGCAAGTCTTCACGATGACACCCACCCGCAAAACTTGTGGCTACGGTAACACCGATGAGACATCCAGCCGTTAGCCGCGCAGAAAAAACGTTGCCGTATGGAGTAGCGGCCTTACGGAGGCAGATGGCGTTGCTCTAGTACGGACCGGGGCCCAGGTCAACCGTCAAGGTGGTACTGGCGCGTGGGTTTGGCAGGCGATAGTCGGCGTCTGGGGGGGGCGAGGGCCAGCCTTGAGAGACAGACGGGCGCCTCCGCCAACTGGAACATTGGCCATGTGGGTGCAGCTAAAAGGAAGAGGACGGTCTGGTTCCGTCATGGCTTGGTGTCTGCTCTGGTGTCTGCTCTGGTGCCTGTGAGAGGCGTGAAGAGGCGGCACTGGCAGGTATGCGGCTCGGTTGGGGGATCTGCAGCATGGAGCCAGCCAGCTGGAAAGCTTGAAAGTCGACCTACGGAGGAGATTAGCGCAGGGCAGGCCAGGGCCACTACCCAAATCGGGAAGGCCACAGACCACCAACGGACGCGAACTATCGAAAAAGTCGGTGGAGCAGGGGTCCCCAATCCAATAGTCTGCTTTCAGGTCGCGCAGTACCTGCATTAGGCTCTGCAGGGTTGCAGGGTGCAGGGTTGACACTGGCCTCCAGCGCTCCAAGCGACCGCTACGCAGTGCTAGGTATCAGGCTGGCCTACCCGTGCCCTTCCAAGCTGATCGGAAATTATCAGTCACCCCCCAACGGCACGGCGCAGGGTGACAGCACACCCCCTTGCTCGCTGCAGAATTGCCTAAGAACGCCATCGACGTGCCTTGAGCCTACCTAGGTAGTTATTGCTACTTCGTACTCTCTAAAAGCCTGGGCTGCAGCTTCAGGACGACGGTCGACCGACGCAAAGCAACCCTGCAATTTCCCTCCTTTCGCCTTTTTCGTCCGTGCTTTCCGGTCGGCTCTCAACCCTGCGAGAGGCCACAATCGAACGACTTTTGTGAAGTGGTGAGGTCATTGTGTAGCCATTTGCTATCTCCTGCGTCTTCATGTTTCTGCCCGGTATCGCTCTTCTCTCGGCCACCGCCGGAAGGTCACTAGGTAAATCTGGAGTTGAGGCTTCGAGTCTAGAACTCTCTCCCAAAGTCGCCTATTGAAGTATCCAAACAGGCCGTTCAGCCTAAGGGCGAGGCTAGCGCTGGAGCAGCAGCGTTGCGGCCACTTGCCTAAAGTACCTAGTCAAGAGTTCAAGTTTCCTTAGCCCTAGAGGCGCCTATTCTGCAAAAAGACCGCGCACAGCCGCGCTCTGACCTAGTCGTCGCATCTCCAGCTCCTCCTGCGTGCACAATGGACATCGAGCCTCCACATTACGACGCACAAACCTTGCTGTTTTGACTTTCAAATCCTGTGCAAATTCGTATTCCTGCCTTGGCGAGATCCACGTGCATAGGTATGCAGCAGTTGCAGTAGGCAATCCCACTCTGCGTACGAGAGTCGCCAGGAATCCCAACCCACGGAGCAGTGAGACTGACTCGAGGCCGGCCGGCCTGCCTTGGTCCCAGAGAAAGCCGCTGAACGGCGACGGCCAACCTCAGACCACTTTCTCAACGCCACCGTGCTAAGCGTCCCCGGTGGTCTGGGACATGCTAGTCCAGCTGAGAAAACCCAAACCACCGCGTGGGCTTCCCGCCGTTCTTGGTCTTGGCTCTGCCGAAACTGCCGAAAGTCCCCTTTTCCACTCAGGCAATGATCTCATGGAGTTTGCCGTCCAGAAATTTCCCATGTTCAACATTCCCACATGCTCGCTTGGATTTCAAACCACTTCTTTAGGGCGCATGCAGAGCGCTGCTCCTATTTTGAGCGCCCCGGTCCCGGAGTTGCCCCCGGCCTGGGCCCGATCATCATCCTGACACAAACGGATTCCCATCGGCCAGCACCATATCGTCTCCAGACCAATGAAGCACAAACAGGAAGATTACTGGACATAACTACTAGGTAGGCCATCTTACTCCGTAAAAGTCAGGAATGTGGGAGGTCGGCGTGGTGTCTCACCCCCGTGGAGCTGCGGCAGTGACCGCATATTGACTCAGGCCTGTACCAGATCCCCGGAATGGCCGTGTTGCTGATAAGGTCGGTATACCCTCAACTCATGGCCACCTGGGGGCTAAATACCTATCAAGAACGTGTCAGTAGGTATGCAAAAGTGTCTTCCCGTAACGTTTCTTACCCGTCAGCGAGTAAGTTCTATGCATACATTCGGCATCAAACATGGTACTCTCACCTATCCCCCTAATTTGAATAGGGGGCCATGCATGCTCGAGACATCTACTAGTACACCAGCCTCAGCGCAACCGAGAGAATATAACCCACGGTACTATTATTCTGTTGTGGCTACCTACGCATTGGGACTTACACGCCGCCAGTCCCCACCTAATGAGGTGGGGCATGTGGCTCTCTCGTCGGCTCCGGGTCGACGATGATCACTCAGCGTATCGACTCCACTGTCTATCTAGACACTTCAATGTTGTGCACGGAGTGGATATCCATGTGTCGACATGTAACAGCAAATCAATTATTCACCTGGCCATTCTGCCTTGATATGAAAAGAACACCCTTCCGTGGAAACTACAGCAAAGCATGGCACCGTCTGTCGCCGGGTGAGGCAAGATGAAACTGTACTGCAAGTGGATTGTTCTATCTGATCATTGGAGAACCCCCATGTGTTCCCTGGGGTTGAATGAGCCCATGAGTGCATGTCCGCTTCCCTTGGGAATGTAAACTCAGCGTCTTTACCTGAATACCCGGAGCATGAACAATGTGAAATCGCCTTTTGATTTTTCATTCTGACCAGCCACTCGATACCAGGACTTCCTGGCGGTCACTCCAATGCTAAAATACAAACTGTCCAGCCATTAAACTATGAGACGATTTGCCCGAACGCCGATACGGAGAGGAAGACCCGGGGTCTCTAGTTGCCACCTTCGGCTCTGCGGAACCGCGGCACATACTTGCCGGGAGCACCACTGGACTGAAGGCTGTCCCGGGGCGGCGCCGCCGCCGGTGACTCATCGCGGCCGTTCTCACCCCGGTTGGAGTCTGTACGGGCCATGGGAGGTCCCCGTCCGGAGGCGGACCTGGACGAGAAATCCCTCTCGGGCGCGGACCCGCTGGCGGCCTTGGCAGCCTCCCTGTCACGCCACGACGGCTTGCTGCCTCCTTGGCCAACGAGGTTGAGACGGGGAGGACCACCAGCTCTGTCGTTGGAGTCGGTGCGCTCCATAGGAGGTCCACCACGAGTCGGGAGGGACGCAGGAGGCACGTCGTTGGTGCGCGAGGCTTCCCGGTCGCGCCACTTGCCTGCACCGGGGAGGTTGAGAGGTCTGCGCTCTCCGGCAGATTCCGTCCGCTCCATGGGCACGTCGCGGCGAGCTGGTGGAGCAGCCGGGCGCTCCCGCTCGGCCTTCCGCCTCGCCAGGGCCTCCTCCTCCCGTCTCGCCTGCAGCGCAGCCTTCTCCAGTGCCTCTTGGCGCTCCTGGTCGCGTTGCGCCTTGAGCTTGGCCATCTCCTCTCTCCTTGCCTCGTCGCGCTGGCGCTGCTCCTCCTTCTCCCTCGCGGCACGCTCCTCGGCCTCGCGAAGCTGGCGCTCCTCCTCCTCTCTCTGTCTCTTCTCGCGGATCTTGCGGTCGCGATACTCCTTCTTGCGGGCCGCAATCTGCTTCTCCAGCTCCCTCTCCGCATCGCGGCGACGCTTCTCGAACTCGTCACGGCGACGCTCTTGGAGGCCGGACCGGAATTTCTCGTAGAAGGGCATGAGACGACTGAGGCGGTGCTTGAGCTCGACACTTTGCTCGTGCTTCTCCTTGGCCTCCTTGAGTGTCTCGGCCTTGACTTGCTCGTAGATAGCCTGGTCTCGCTTCTGCTGCTCGGCATAGTCCTCAGCAAGCTTCTTAACTTCCTCCTTTCTGTAGGCACGCTCGAGATGGTCGATGCGCTTGCCAGTGATGCGGAGCTTCTCGTTGACATCGTTCTTCTCCCGCTCAAGCTGGGCAAGCTTGATGGCTCGGAGTTTGTTGGTGTCAAGGTTGGCAAGGTCCTCGGTGTCAATGTCAAGTGCCTTGGGTCCTATCTTCAGCTCCTTGATCATGTTCTCGACCTCGGCCTGGCGAATCTGCTCGCGCTCCTTCTCCATGCGCTTCTGCTCGCGTTCCTTCTGTTCTTGCAGCTGGCGTTGTGCCTCGGCCTCGGCCAGTTGCTGCTCACGAATCTTCTTAATCTTCGCGTTCTCCTTCTCCTTCTTTGCCTGGAGCTCGGAGGCCTCCTCCTTGCGCTTCTGGATGACCTCCTTCCTTGCCAGGATCTCGCGGTGCTCCTTCTCTGCACCGACCTTGGCCCGGGCCAGGGCGGCCTGGCGAGCCTTATTGTGAGCCTCGTTGAACGACGGGTCAATGTAGTAGCAGGTAGTGTAAAGAGACTTGGCAAGACGAGTGATCTGGGAGCGGATGATCTCGGAGGGGGTACTCTGCAAGCGCTGGACAGTGCCAGTCTCGCTCTCAGCAGAGCCAGCGCCAGAGCCGGTGTGGACGGCCTTGGCAGAGGAGAAGATGTCGGTGTCAAAGCTAAGAACACCGGTTCCGTGGTCCATACGAATAGAGAGATCGCCCTTCTTGTTGCCGTTCATGATGAACTTCTCAATGGTGGACCGCGTGACCTGGAAGGGCTCGGGGAACTTGGCCAGGCTCTCCACAAACTCGAGATCGACAGTCTCATAGACTTGCGACAGCTGTTGGAAAAGTCTGGTCAAAATGACTTGCTGGAGAGGAGCAATGTACTTTTGCATCTCTTCGTCCGCACCAATCTGGGCAAGGATGGGAGAGATCTTCTTGCAGATGGAGAGGGGGTGGAAGTCAACCTCGAGGATGTTGTACAGGTCCCGGATCTCCGGGCGAGCGCGGCGGAGCAGAGACTTGGCCAGAGCATCGCGGAATAGGCCGGCACGGGTAGGTGCCTGGGACATGCCCAGGAGATGGGTCAAGCGAGAGTTCTTATTCTTCTTGGCCTCATCAAAGTCCACCATCGCACCACGAGAGCGGGTGGTGCTGATGACCGGGATGGAGAGAGCAGAGAGAACGACGAAGGAGGCAGCCTTCTGAAGATCAGCCTCGGTAGCGGGCGGGTTGTCAGCCTTCTTGCTCTGACCAGTGGCGACGAGGGCCGCGGACTGGCGGAGCAGGTTGTAGTACCGAGACCAGGCGGCGGCATGGAACAGATAGTTCTCGCCAACGAGGAAGATTCTAGTGAGCTTCTCATAGTAGTTGGCCATCATGATGTTCTTGGGCGGCCGCTTGCTGAGGTTGAGCAGGGTGTGAATATCCTCAACGCTACGGAAGGCCTCCTGCCACAGTTCCAGCTCGACGGCAACATTGAGCTGCTGGAAGCGGGTCTCAAGATGCCGCTGCAGAGTATCGGGGTCGTTCAGGTTGATGGCATGCATCTGAGTTGAATACTTGGCAGCGGTCTGAACGTGGTTGCGGAGAAGCTCGCAAAGACGACGGAACTCGGTCTTGCGGGTGTACTTGAGGCAGAAGTCGAAGGCCTGCATGGCCGTGCTCTGGTACAGCAGCTCGAGGCGGGCATTGTTGCGCAGGATATCGAGAACGGTGCGGTAAGCCTCCCAGAGGAACTTGAGCCAGGGGGTGACGATGGCGCGGTCGGTACGGTCTCGGGATTGCTCGCCGGAGACGGTGGCCAGGAGAATAGACTCGGGGGTCTCGCTGGCCTCCAGATCCTCGACGTTGGTGTCACCAGTGGTAGCCTCGAGGCTCGACTGAACCTCATCGGCCTTCTGCTGGGCAGCAGTGACCTTGTTGGCGGCCAACTCGATGAACTTCTTCAAGACCAGCTCGATGGTTCCGACGTTGGTGTTCTGGGCGATATTCTTGTACTGGTAAAGGGCATCCTTGGCGAGCTTGCCCTTCTTCTGCTCGACGGAAAGCTCCACTAGGAGGAGCATAACCGGCTCCAGCGACACGATGGGGACATTGCGAGACCTCTTGGAAGTGATGTGCTCGTGGAGGAGGGTGAGGGCGGCCGGGGCCTGGTTCACGCCGATGAGCTCGTGGGCGCGTTTCAAGACATTTTCGGGTTTCTGATGCGGCGGAGGCGGCTGCGGAGACGGTCAGTCTTGTCATACAAAGACGGGAATGAGGTTCGAAGGTCGTCCCGCGAGGAGGGGCAACCTCATGATGCAGTCTAAAAATTGCATCGGACGGAGGGGTAATGGGACAAGGCCAGTAGACCACGATTGCCCGTGGCGACCGCAAGACGGCTTCGAAGAGGACAAAAAACGTACCATGATGGGCAACCTCCTCTGCGGGATGCAAAGACTCGACGAGGTTGCTTTGCGATGGGTTGAAGCACAAGTCCAAAAGCGGTGATGCTGGCGACTTGGCTGGATGCCTTGGGGAAAATTCAGATCCTCAGCCAGGAGTGCGAAATTCTGAGCAACCGCGATTTTTGGGAGGGTTTGTGGGCTGTCTGGGCTGTAACGAAACCCGCTAGTCCCGATTCGGTAGGTCTATGTCACGTGAGCCCGACACGGGCCCCTCCATCCCGCGATCAAGCGATGTCAGAGTGATGAGATAAGCCCCTCAGGTCAGATCAGAGAGAGAATTTTCCCCTGCTTCCTAAACTTGGTTGCAGAATCCAGTCTGCCAACCTCCAGTGCATATATTCAAGCTGCGCATTCTCAAGATACGGGTGTCATATCGCTGGCAGCTCCCACAGCACCGTATATGTGCCCTCTTGTGGTCTTTGGTCCTTCTATGTTACCTCTGAAATGAAGTCCCACTTGACATCCAGTCTTCCGAGTAGCGGGATCTCCCGAGAAGCTATGCCTAGTAGCTACCTATATGTCCAGTCCAGAACGGGCAGAACGGGATTGTTCCTGTAGCTCAGACACTTGACAGCGACGCAAGAGTTCCCTTGTCACGGGTTACAGGGAAAAGAACGGGTTGCCTATCTGACGGTTAGACACTGTTCAAAATGCATGAGGCTGTGGCCTTCTGCGTGGTCCGGCGAGATCAATCTCATTTGTTCACCGCCGGTGCCAGGATAACTGCATATAACCTCAAAAGATGTCCCATCCACTCCCATACAACTAATACTCTTGGCTGATCTGAGCATCATCCGGATATTCTTCATCATGACCAAACTTCTAGATGTGAGTAAATCAGGTCAGATATGTTGATTAGAACCATGGCCCATCGTTTCTTTTCATATCAATGCCCCACTGTTGGCTGCTAGGAAAGGGGTTGAGGAAACCTCTTGCTGCAAAGAACGATAACCAAACATCTACTCCCTCAATACCATGCTTGAAGCTCTCGTTTGAACCATAAGACAACCCCCCAAGTACCTATGCTCAACAACATTGACAAGAGGCGCTACTCTCTGCCTTGAAGCCTCCGGGAACCCAGTCGTGGGGAGAGTTGTGCCATAATAAACGATGGATGAATCCATCCGCGATGAAGGTCTGAGCACCAGGCCAGGTCAGCCCCTGGTCTACGCCGTTTTTGGGGGGGGGGACAAGCCTAGGACCCGCAATTACCTCCCTAACGTTAATTTGCAGCACCACCTCGCCTTTCCTACCCTGGCCTGCGCGTCCGCTGCTAATAAGAAACAGGCTTGCAGAGGGGACCAGCGCCCCATAAATGTGCCTGTGAGGAAGCTGGAAAGGCTTGGTAAGCCCTGTAAGCTCCCCCTCCGTAGAGGTGCACCCCCGGCTAGACGAGGTTACCTTGACCCTGGACTGTCTCTCTCACACACTCACACTCTCGCTACCCGCGCCGCCCCAAAGAGACGAACACCTCCCCCCAGTGGCCCCCCCCAAATCGCTCCCCAGTCCGTCCGTCCCAAAGTCTGGTGTGTGCCAATTTCTCCCTCCCTCCTCCTCTCTTCCCACCCCCCGTCCAAGTCTGTTTCAAAAATTCCAGCTGTTCGAAAATTCCCAATTGCTTGCACGCAACCCCATTCCAGCCAAGTCGACCGTGTGCATCGCCGGCTTCGTTGTGTGACGTTGACTGCGTTCTAGAGGAGAAGGCGTCCAATTGAACCCCATCTGTAAGTTCCAACAGCTGCACTCTAGCTTGGTTTTCCCACCTGCCCTGCCCCCTCTCCCAACTCCCGAAGTTTAGGTTGTTTGCGCGGCGCGGATCGGAAATCGCCCTCCCCTTCGCTCCAGCGAAACCTGTCTCAGAGCACTTTCGATCCGTCCAGTCAGCCCAGACGCAGACGCAAGACAAGGGAGAGTCCGAGTCCGAAGCCAGAAAAAAAAACAAGAGCGTGAGAAGACAGCCGGCGTCAGAAATAGGCACACAGGCATCATCGGGAGGACGAGCACCCAATCGGCGCCCGTTGGATTCGGACTTTATTTCTCTCACTCGACCACCATCTTGACTGCTGCTGTCAGAGGCGAGCTTGGGCTAACGCGAGAAACTATGAGCGAATTGCAGGAGCCACAACCACCAAACCACTCGCACGACGAGCCACTCCCGAATTCATCTCACCAGCCTCAGGAAGGCTCGTCATCAGCGCACGCTGCCAATTCACTCCTCGACGGCGCCCCCTCATCATCCAAAATGCCCGCCTACACCTCCCGCGACGTCGGCGACCCGTCGCAGATCAAGAAGACCAAGCAGAGCATGGCCGACCTGAAGCTGCGTCGCTTGACCGAGCTCAACAGCAGACTGAGGGAGGACCTCGAGCGCGAGAGGATCCCCGTGAGCCAGGCGTCTAAGAGGTGAGAGGACCCATCCGTCATCACGGGCTACGAGAATGCATGCGCTGACTGGCGACTTGTAGCATCATTGCCTACTGCAACAGCACCAGGGACTACATGGTCCCGTCAACCTGGGGCGTCGTTCCCAAGGGCGAGGACCCGTACGCTCCCCAACAGAGCGGCGGCTGCTGCGTGGTCATGTAAAACCTGAGCTTCCCAAACCAAAAAATAACGCCCGCGTTCGAGAAAGGGAAATGTGTTGAGAGTAGTGAGGGGAGGATATATCTCGTGCTTTAGGCGAACGGGTTTCGACTCTTTGGCGTTTTTTTAATGCACCGGTTTACGAAGAAGGACAAGGATACCACAACAACAACGCGCGAGAGAGGAAGGTCAACGATTCAGTCCTCATCGATGTCGTCTGGCTAGACGGCGCTCTGCAAAGATCAAAACGGCTCGAAGACGAGCCGGATGCCGGCGGCTTCAGTACGAAACTGAAGAACCGCGGTTTGTGTGGCTGGTGAGGAAACAGAGAGGATGCGCAACACGATGGCCTATTTTGGGTTCTCCCCCAGGATATGATCGCCTCGCTCAGGGGAGGGGACGCTTCGCAGGCAGACTTTGGGGGGGGGGGGGGGCTCTTCAGCATTGTACTAATTCTTTTCCTTGCGTCTCACTTTTGCCTTCTTCTACCTGGTCCTCTAGCTTACCTTGTTGCCTGCGAATACACTTTTGATGAAAGAAAGATCAAGGACCCCATGTCTTTCCCCTCCAAGTCCTCAATGCCTAGATCCGTCGCCCCTCTGACCATGGCGTCGCGATGGGCCAAAGCCAAGCTTTTCCAGGCTCGAACTTGCCCAAAACCACCATTGCTGAGCCGGAAGCGGCCACCAAGTCCAACTCTCAATAGATGACAGGGAATCGCATACGGGCGCGCCATTTGCGACGCTCGGGCGTTGCCAATTGTCTACCTACTCATATGTACATCCGGCCACGGACAGGAAGTCGAACGATGCATCTCCTCATTGGTTGCGCGGCATGGAATTGGCCGACACAACTGGCTCCCGCAACGGCTTCCCTCCAAACCGCTAACAGATACCTACATAATTACATATCCATAATTGCGGCAAGATCCATCCATCCATCCATGCATCACGTCAGCCAATCGACAACGCTCCAGATTTCCGACTTTGTCTTTTTGTATAATAATAAGGCCCTCTGATTCAACGACAACAACACATGTCAAACCCGCCTCACGGATCTGAGATTTCCCTTTCTCGATATACCCCGTAACAAGCACCACCAGCACGGCACTCTCCATACATAGGTAGACCACGATGCCTGAAGCCCCAGTGGTGGCCCCAATGGGCGCCCTCCCCCGTGTCACCATCAAGTACTGCACGCAGTGCAAATGGCTTCTCAGAGCAGCATATGTGAGTCCCCTCCATCCTGGTCCTCTCGACGCACTCCCATCCCTCCCGTCACCCCGTCCGCCACTCTCACGTTCCTCTTGCACTGCATGCAGCTGCCTTCCTTTTGCTTTTTTTTCTTTCTTCCTTCCCTGTGCGTCGTCGTCCTTCCTGCATGACATGACGCCGCTAGCAAAAGAGGGAAAAAGAAGACCCTTGCATGCATCTCCCACACCTCGCACAAGCTGCATCCAGAAGAAGCAGTGTGCCCTCACCTCACTCCCGCACATCCCATTGTGCGTCAAGTGTATCACAACACCACCACCACCACCACCACCACCACCACCTACACTATGCCCCCCTCCATCCACAAACCCTCCACCTCTGGCCCTAGATCTATCTCCAAAGCACCGGGCATTGCTGACGCTGAAGTGTCTCCCAAACCCCAAAAAATAAGTTCGCCCAAGAGCTGCTCTCCACGTTCTCCACCTCCCTGGGCGAAGTCGCCCTGCAGCCCGCGACAGGCGGCGTCTTCACCGTCACCATCGTCACCGCCCCCGCTTCCCCTCCTTCTTCTTCTTCTCCCTCTTCGGGAGCCGCCGCAGCAGCAGCAGCGACGACGACGTCGAGAGTCCTGTGGGACCGCAAGGCCGACGGCGGCTTCCCCGAGACCAAGGAGCTCAAGCGGCGCGTGCGGGACGTCATCGACCCCGGCCGGGACCTGGGTCACGTAGACCGGGACCACAGGAAGGACAAGGCCGAGGGGCGGGTTGGGACGGAGGCTGACGCGGAAGCGCCGGCGCCGGTGCCGGTGCCGACTGCGTGTGCGGTCGAGAGGGGTGGTGGCGGTGGTGGTGGTGACGAGTGCGAGGATTGCCAGTGAGAGCCTCGCTCCTCCTTTGGCGGCTTTGGCTCCTGTTCGAGGACCCGGTTGAGGAAGTAGAGCCTACGAATGGTTCGGCCCATGAAGAGTCCGATCCGGAGAGATAGGCCCAGACGGGATGTTGATGCCATGACGGACGGGTAGAGAGGGTTAATCAGAATAGACACAACGTCTGGGGGGATGGGGAGATCTGAAGAGAATCAAAGGTTAATTCTCTCAGGCATGAGAAATATATATATATATATATATAGGAGAGAACGGTCCTCCCTTCCATCGTGTGTTCCGAGCCTGCTTGAAATACCTGGTCAAGGAAGAAAGTCAGTTGGTGAATCGGCATATGCCGACAGGATTATGGTGCAGCTTCACCGATACTTGTTTGTTATTCATATCCTCTCTTCAAAGCTTCAAGGGAAGTGGTTTCAGGAGGAAATATTCATTAGAGATGTATCTCATTTCAATCGTAAACCGTGTTCTCTCGAAACAATCCCTTGTGAGCTCTCTGAGCACTTCACTCCCACATCAAATAGCACAGCATGCATGTGGACAGAAGCAGACAATAAAAGGGACCAGATGTTGCAATGAGCCCAGCTAGAAACGTCCCATACAATCCCGAACCCAAACAAACAAAACCCCCTGATGTAAGATACTTGAAAGCAAAGGCGAGCTCGATTCACCCCTTGAAAGACACATCCCCAAGCCGCATGCATGTTCAAGGCCACGCTTGTCCAGCCGTCCTAGACCTCCTCCCGTCCCTAGAGAAACGACGATTCCCCAAACTTCCATGTACAAAGTTGCTCGTACATCCAGGCCCCCGGTACGAACCAACTTCAGCAGAGAGAAGGCGACAAGGGCCGTGCCGAGACCCAATCGCCAGTGACATATCACTCTGTACCAAGCCCACGTAGTCATTTGCGTCTCACCGAGCACTTCCATATCACATACAGGCACGTTGGAACGCGCAACACAGCCAGCCAGTAACAATGGGTCACCTCGTTTGGCCCGCCCTGGAAGACCTGGCAATGTGGTTTCGGTCCCAAGGCAGACCAGCGGGCGCGGGGATGGACATGGGCAGGGATTCCAGTGTCTGGGCAAGTCCGGATGGTCGATAGTCGCGCACTCCGAAAGATGAGAAACCACCAAGATGCGCCATGGCGTTCAAGCAGACAAACTGTATCTTTATCTATAATCCCCCGCTCAAGATGTATCATTTGAAAGCGGCGCTCGAGGAAGCCAGCACAGTGTAGGTCCACACAAAACGAGGTTTTTCATTGTCAACTTCTCCATCAGACGACTAAACGAACAACGGTTGAACAACTAAGCTGGGTGATAAAAATCGGTGTCGCGTGAGGTAAACGAAGACCGGCCCGGAAGGAAGCGGTCGAGGACGCGAGATTATTGTGACAAAATTTGTGAGGGCATGTGGCGATGGGTGTGCCCTTTGGCAGTCGAGAGAGGCAGGCCCCAGGTGGAGACAAATTATCGACGGCCGAACCTAGAAGGCGACAAGGGTTGGTAGGAATTCAATGATTAGGGTTTGGATGGATGGTTCCTGGGGGGAGTCATGGTTCTCCTGCCACCGAGGCCTGTGACGTACTTTTGTTTCTTCTCAGCGGGCTTGAGAATCTGCGGCAGAGCGTTGTTAGCGGACGAGACGGAAGTGGGAAGCTGTCGAGAACTGAGGACCAACCTGGAACGAGCAGAGTAGACTCTCATCTACACTCATCATAGCACCAGCATTGTCGAACTCGCCACAGTAGTTTGGTGCACTGAACAGGGTGACCAATTGACGTTTGGAGAAGAATTCGTAGCCGTCTTCCACAACCTGGTGAGCGCGGCATATCAGGTCCATATCGTGCTTCTGGAGGAAGCGGCTGACAACATCAGGACCGAACGTGAAGGAGACACCACGATCGTTCTCGCTCCAGCCAGTAATATCCTTGTCGGGGTCAGACCACAGCAGATCGCACAGCAGACCACAGTCGGGGATCTAGAAGGGCATACCCAGTCAGCACACGGTCTACTACAGCCACGAACTCGGAACGACAACGGGACTGGGCAGACAATCCCCAAACCGAGCCACAACTTACATCTGTAGGGCGCATCACACGGCGGATCTGCTCCATGGAGTTCAGATCGGGGCTCAGGCCACCGTGCATGGTGAAGATCTTCTCGTCAATGATGGCAGCAATGGGCAAGCAGTTGAAGCAGTCCGTAAATGTCTTCCACAGCTTGATGTTGTAACGACGCTTGCACTCGTCGTAGAAGCCATAGATGCGGTTGATGGAGGCACACTCGTGGTTGCCCCGCAGGATGAAGAAGTTTTCGGGGTACTTGATCTTGTAGGCCAGGAGCAGGCAGATGGTCTCGAGAGACTGCTTGCCACGGTCGACGTAATCACCGAGGAAGAGGTAGTTGGCCTCTGGCGGGAACCCGCCGTATTCGAAAAGGCGGAGGAGGTCGTAATACTGGCCGTGGATATCACCACAAATCTGTCGGGTGGAGGTGGGGTAAGCACAAGTGGACGGGCGTGACTCGGCCAGAGAGGATGGGGGGGAATGAACTCTGGCAGCTCTAGACCGGGATGGAGCACGACCAGCATGAAAGAAAAAAAATACGACATACCTTGATGGGAGCTTCTAGCTCTAGCAGGATGGGTTGGGAGATGAAGATCTCACGGGCCTTTGTGCACAGGTATCGAATCTCGGCCTCGAGCAGCTGGACCTGCTTGCCGGGCCGGCTTCCTCGCACCTCGAGCAGCCGATCGATGATGGAGTCGAGATCGACTTCATGTTGATCCGCCATTTCCAAGAGTTTCTCACCTTCTGAGAGGTGGCGGTCGGTGACGCGTGGAGGAGTGTTAGGTGGTGGAGGTTCCTCGATTGGGAGGGAGACCTGGAATCAGGGATGGAGAGAAGGAACGGTGGATCTGCTGTAGGACACGATGCACTGGCGGACTGTCGAAACTGTGTTGCCCATTAGAACATGATCTTCAGTGCACAAGAGAAAAAGGCCAGGAGTCGAAGCGCGCATCAGGTGCAATAATGATGCAGTGTCGGGGACAACGTACAGTTCCTTGAGTGATCTTCAGCTATGAGCGGCTTTCGAGGCGAAAAGCCGGTGATCTGATGATGCGCACTTGCAACCGATGCGTACCAAAAAGGCCCAGAGCACCTTTGACGCGTGGATGAAGCGGTCGTCAATTAGGGAGACACCGGGGGAGGCCGGTATGTCGGCGTGTCGGCGAGCAAGGCGGGCTGAGCAGCTGCGGTGGCCGACGGGAATTGTGGAAGTGGCAGCTCACAACAAAATTCGGCTATGTTGTTTACTGGGTTGGTCGCGTTTAGGAAAGCAGGGCAGCAGAATGCCTCAAAAGTCGCCTGGATCGAGTTGAAAAATGGCTATTCGCGATTGATCGTCTGTAGGAGAGGGCAGATATCGATATCTAGTAAGGCTCGTCGAGGTATTGAGAGTTAGGTTTGTCGCCGGGTCCTCGTGGTCGCGAGGGGTGGGCACTTTCGTCGAGGATGGGGAAGCGGATTTGGCGAGATCGCAGGAAAGGCCGGAACGAATCGAAGCAAACGGGATCGCGTTCTTTCTTTCGTTCTTTCGCAAAATCGCAGTCTTGGAAATCCACTCCTTGTCGCTTTTATTGTGAGACCAGGTCAGGAGTGTCTGATCGGGGTCTTCAGGTCGCCGTTGGATGAAGAAATGGAAGAGGTTTTTCTCGGGGGTGTGGGAGAAAAGCAAAAAGGGATTTGTGGTGGGCAAAGGCGGACGAGACGTCAGAAAAAAATTGAGGGTGCTAAGAGTCGGCCGCCGCCCTTGGTGTTTCGCCTGGCGGGCCAGAGAGCGACTGAGACTGGAGTGGGAGGGAGGTGGCAGTGTAGCGCGTGTGCGTGCGTGCGTGTGTGCAGTGAGAGCAAGCAAGCAAGCAAGCTTCCCAGTCAAAGTCAAGTCCCAGCTTTGAGGCCTACAGGCTACCGCTGCCGGCAAGACTTCCAGGTTGAAGGGCCCCCCTGTACCACCTCCCTGTAGGCTGTACCGTACTGCAGCAGAGTGGACACCCGACCTGCCGACCTCGAAAGCTGCATTGGAAGGGCTAAACTCGCCCACCATTCACCACGCTTGCTCGGCTCTCTCCCACTGCCCAGGCTCCAGGCTCCACGTCCGCCGTCCCAAAGGAGTGTTGCATGTACGCCAAAAAATACAAAGATCCCAAAAAGTCGATACCGTCCATCGAGGCCTGCCCCTCCCTTCCTCTTCTTCGAGATTTCTTTTTTGGTGCCGCTTAGAAATTCCCCTCCACACCCCTCCATCCCTGCCCGTGCTCAAACCTCCTCCGCGCGCGGTGGTGGCACACCCTCCCCCTCCTTGCCCTCCCTTCTTCACCTGGAGGAGGCGGGAAAGGAGAAGGAAAATCAAAAAGATCTCTAGTGGCCTGGCCTGCCCTCCCTCTCGCCCCCCATGCATATGCGCCAACTCTCAAGCATCTCCAGTCTTTGTGAGGGTAGTTATGAGGGTATTGGGCCTGAGTAACCGCGAACAAAGCACCGCATCGATGATCTCAGCGACTGCTACCCCAAAAGCCTAGGTCTGGGTTGCGTGGCGTCTCCGTCTCCCCGACTCACAGGTGCCTCAAGGGAACAGCCAGTAGGTACTCTCCCCGAACTGGGCTGTCAGTCCGCTCCCCTTTGCCCCACAGCCTCGACAACGACAAGCTCCCGTTTCACACGAGACACAACCGTAATGATCACACCTATCCAAGAGCAAGGAGTACCTAGTTGGGACGTTGAAAGGGCCCGATCGGCTCTCTCGTTGATTGCATCTATACTGGATCTACCAGCACTAGTAACGCTTTTTTGATTTCATCGGAAATTTGCACTACCAAGACGAGGGTTGTAAGGTACGAGTACATAATTGCATGGTACTCGATCATTAACTACTGCTCGGGCACTGTGTACCATGCCACAGATATCGTCGCCATGTACATAAAAGTTGTGGCTTTTTCCGTTCTGGAGAACACCCAGGCATACAGCTATCCTTGCGATCCAAGGACTCACCCAACCAAATCACTCCAGTCTTTCCTGATTGAACGGGGTGCAGGGGGGGGAGAGCAGGCTGCGCTTGCTCATACATACAACATGCCGTTCTGGACTTTCGACTGTTCTCGACTCCCTTCTCATTCTGCCTAACCCACAAGTTCTCCATCCACCCATCAGGTCCCCTCACTTGTTTGCGCCAGCCAGTCAGAAGGCCGTCTTGGACCGCGCGCTCCTCCCTACGCGTACCTTGGCGCCGGCATCCCAGCACCAGAGTCGCGAATACAACGCCTAGGCCGTCTTGTGTGGGCTTCCTTGTGCTCTCAGTGGCTGGCGGCAGAACACCTCCCAGATTCACATACAGTACCAAAACGGGCTCCAGTTGGAAACAGGAACTCTCGTCACACCCTCTGGGTCCTGGGTCTATACAAAGAGCTACCTACCTAGGCCATGATGAAAAAAAAAAAAAAAAAAAAGTCGATTAGAATTGCTATAAATTCCCGGCCCCAAACCAACTCACCAGGGAACGGCGGGCTGCATTCCACAACTTGAAAAGTCCTTGATGGCTGGGAATTAACCATAAAATTCTATCAATACGCATTCCAGCAGCCTCGGGGACAGAAAGGAGACAAGTGCCTGCAAGAAAAGTAGACGGATTTCCATCAAGGAGTACTTCATACCTAACATCTCGATCAGTGGCAATACCACTCACTGGCTTTTATAGATCTAAAGTAAACAATAGCCATTCAGTGCATGTCTATCAATACCCTGAGGGGAAATTTAGAAGATCACAGAGTCATAACTGCCAGGGCCCCTGGTTACTATGTTAGGATCTGATGTATTTCTGTTAGCAATCCGTCTACTTTTCTTGCAGCCACTTGGGAGAGTACCTACCACCTACTCCGTCTCTCATGCTCTCTAATTTCTCCGGTTGCTCAACTTCTGAGACCAACAACACCAACACCAACACCAACACCAACAAACGCAACCACAATCTAAGAATATCATCCGTGACTGAAGCAATCCAATCCCCGGATCTCATGGGATGTGATTGGGGGGGTACACAAGCGCCCAAGTTAGCGATAAGTTACCGGCCAGCTGGAATCGGGGCCACTACAAAAACAGTACGGAGCCTCCAGCTTACAGTGCTGCCCGTCCCCTGACCCCTGCGCACCAGGCCCCCAACAAGGCGCTATGCTGTCATCAATCCCACCCCGTAGTTACAAGGGGGGGGACGGCTCTTGGAACCGTTCAGTGTCCACGTGATACCTCCTCATCTCACATATCGACAATGACCAGACACTTTTTTCCCCATCTATCCCGGAGATCCGATTCTTTTCGCCTTCCCTCTCCCACCAGCCCCTCACCAGGTGAGATGAATGCAGATCGGGCGTCAGCTATGACGGAAAGTTCCTGATCTAAAACGTCAATTACCCATCCCAATTGTCCAATTGTCGGATAGAAGCCCTTTATTGGAGCGGGAGGACTAAACTCGCCTCACTCGCCAAACCAACCACTTACGACGGCCAATTTTGACAATTCGGAATGAGACCTCCTCTCTGAAAGGACAATCCGGTCCCTGTCAAGATCATGATCACGATCGGTCTTGCTCCAGCCCAGGCCGAAACCGCCGGACTATGAACATCTTTCCGCAAACAGTGTATGTTGAACACGTCAGCAGCATCGTTCAGAGCATATACGCCTTGCCAACCTCGGCACACGGAGAAGGTCCAGTAATTTGTAATAGTGTCTTTCTTTCTTGACGACTTGCTCAGCTTCCGATGTACAAGCCTTTGCGGTCCGAAACCACAGCAGACTGCCCGTGCCATGGCGGCCTCCCCTGTTTCTGCGTGAACAAAACACCGTCCGTTCCACAAGTAGAGTAATTGAAATAAAACAGGCCGGTCCCCCCCGTATCTGATACCAACAAAACTCCGAGTCTTTCTCGGGGTCCAGAAATGCAAGAAGAAAAGCTCTCGCTCGCAATGGTGATGATGTGGAGGATTAAAACCGAGTCGAAGAATGGAAAAGGGAACACGCGGTGGTATATCGATAGAACCTGCTAAAAAGCGACCTCGGAAGGCCGGAATTGGGTAGAAGGGAAGAAATAGCACACTCAACGCTCTACTACTGGTACAAAGATGCAAAAACAAAAAGAATACTCCTCATCGTCCTTCTTGACCCGTTCATTACTTTCAAACAAAACAAGCACAAATCCCAACGGGGGTGTCAATGCAACAAAAAAAAATATCAAGAAAATCATCGCCTCCTGGCCGAGCTCCGGATCCCCTTCCTAAACTTGGTAGCTGCAGCCTTCTTCTTACTCGAGACCGGAGCGGCGGCCGTCGAGGACTCGTTGACGGGGGACGCCGTGATTGTGCTATCCTCCACGTCAAACTCGAGTCCGTTCAGTTCCTCGTCGTCCATGTCGGTGAGGTCCTCGCTAAGACTGCGAACCGCGTCGCGGCCCGTCCATTGCTCTTCTGCTGCGCTGGTGCCCTCGAGGTGGAAGCCTTTCATGTACCAAGGAATGCCACCGTCGTTCAAAGGGTCAGCAGGTCCGCGGCCCACACTACCATTAGATTGAGGAGGAGTCAGCGGCCCGGGAAGAGCAGGAGGAGCAACGGGGATGTAGCCGCTGTCTGCGGGAGGGGTGTCGGTAGATCCTACACCATTCGCCTCGGCGTCCTCGTCTTTGCCGTCATCCGCCTCCTTATCCAGCCCAGCAACAGACGCCGATGACGAGATCATGCCGTTGGCTTGCACGACTTTCTCGTCGCTTGGTTCATCAACAGCTTGTCCATCGACAGCAGCCTCGTCTAGATCCATTGGATCGCCTCCAGCCGTGTCACGCCCGACCAATACAGTCTCACTGACAGCGTCAGCCACGACGATTTCCCCCTCGTCGCCCACATCAGCCATGATCACGTCCTGAATCTGATCTCTCGCCGGTATGTCCACGTCCGGGAGCTCGGCAGTTGCTGGCAGCGGCTGAGCCTCTAGACTCGTGGCGATTCGGCGCTCGAGCTCCTGGAACTGGGTCTCGAATGACTTGTGGTTGATGTCTGCCTCGGCCTTCAGCGCGGCCTCCAGCTGAGGTTGCACAGCCTTGAGAATCCTCTTGCCGAGTCTCTTTCGATCCCTGGATTCAGAATAGTTGCTGATCTTGCTTGGCGACACGTCCACAGCATCGGATCCCGTGGCATCGGCACCACTAGTCTCATGCGTCGAGTTAATGCCTGCACGGATGACCTCGCAAAGATCGTGCGTGAATGTAAGAGTAGTCGTGTAGAAGCGCTCGTTCAAGCGGGTCTGCAATTGAACGAGGCCATCATTGAAAACATCTTTGTCAAGCCTAAAAGAAGTGGAGTGTTAGATATATGAGAGTGATGTATGAGGAGTCACGTCAAGACTCACGAGATGGCTTTCTCAACGACAGGGAGCAGTAGCTTGTGGATGGGAAAGTAGCAGGTGTCGACAAAGTCTTGCTCGAGTTCAGCACCCTCGAGCTTTTGCTCTTCGCGCTTCACAACATCGTCAGCGAGTGACTTCAACTGCTCCAGGTCGTTGATCAGGTTCTTCGCAAATTCGATTCTCCGTGCCAACCGGGCTTTTCCGGATGGTCCCATCGTAGCGAAGTTGCGGCGCGTCAGCTCCATGGAGGAGAAGGTCTCCATCTGCAACTGGAGTCGCTTCAGTAACGCCGCGCCGCGCCGCGCCTCGCGCTTCAACGTCCAGTACCGGCATGCGTCTGCCACAAACTCCTTTCGTTTGCGTAAAGTGAAACGCTGTAGCGAGCTCTCCACCAGGTCGAAGACGGCCTGAGGTATGATCGGTGCACCGGAGGGCAACTTCCACAGTGCTTTGCCCGGCTGGCCCTTCTTCTTGTCACCACTGAGCACTGCGTCGAGTTTTGCTCCCGTGACCTGGGACTCATCTGGGGGGTTCGGCATGATGAACTTTTGGTTCGCGAAAGTTGCTGCAAGCTCTCTTGCTGTGTCCTGGCTGTTGACCCATATGCGGCCCTTCATGGTCTTCTTGTAGAATCGGATGGCTGCCTTGGTCGCCTGCTTCACGTTGTGTTCCTTGGCGTAGTCTGGCGGACAGTGTCTGTGGCAGAACGCCTTCAGGATCATACTGCCGTCCAGGACAGCCAATGTGCCGTGGTTGTTCTTCATCTTGAGGTAAAGGTGGGCTCGTCTCGCACAGGTAACATGGAATGCTTCATAACATGCCTTGTTGCCGCATTGGATGCAAGCCCCCATGCTTTGGTTGCAGAGGTAGCACCTGAGCTTCCAGCGGTTCTTGGGCACCTTCTCCACCTCCATGACAGGCTCCATGAAGGTATGATTTCCCAGTGAGACCTCGGGAATCCACATAGCACAAAGCAGATGGGCCCATTTTGAGGAGTTCGTTTGCTTGAACGCCCCTTCAGTGTTCGGGCAGAATATGCACGTCTCGTGAAATGTCAGTATAATTGTGTCGATCAAGGATAGGAGGGACCGAGATGCACTTACCGGAATACCACGACCAATAAGTTGGCATTTCCGACAGAGCCACTGACCCTCCGGGATGAAGGGCACGCCGTAGCACTCTTGGTGGACAGCCAAATCGCAACCGTCACAGAAAACAATGGCGTTTGTGTTCTCACAGTCTCCATCGTCGCAGATGGCGCACTTGCTATCCTGCTCTTCTCCTGCCTGGGTCTCGCCGTTGACAGCCGCAGCAGAGCTCGATCTCGGCCTGTGGGTCTGCGGCGGTTTTGGATTGGGCTTTGGTATTCTCTTCTCGAGCGCGTGCCACTCCTTCTCAATCTTGGTGATGGCGATCTCGAAGATCTCGCGCGTGATCGGCTCGTTCTCTCCGACTTTCCGCTGGACATTGTACTTCTCCAGCCACATGTCGTCTTGCTCATCCATATCATACTCCACTCGCCCGACATTACTTGGCACATGATGTGAATCGCCGTCAGTCTTGGTAGCGCTTGCCTGTTCAGCCTCGTCCTCACCATTGGCATCACCCGCCTTGATGAGTCTCCGATCAGGCCTGAAATAATTGTCGCTCTCTTGGTAGCCAACATTCATCATGGCCTTGTCGACATAGCGCGCTTGCCCGAATGTCTTGCTCTCAAAGAGCAGTATTCGATCGGTCTTGCGATACGAAGGCTGCTTCAGATCGAGCTTCTCCTTGGGGGTTTGGTTGTGTATAGGGAGCGCCCGCGGAGTCTTTGGTGTTGTACCAACAGTGCCGTAGAAGATAGAATCCCTCGACGGCCTGCCAATCCTACGCCTTGTCGGCGTGCCAGGCGTAGCATTGTTAGAGATGGCGCCAAGGGCACCGTTGCTGGATGAAGCCGGCAGAAGCGCATCTTGTGTGCCACCACCGTTCATTGACAGTCCCTGCGACTGGGCAGAAGGCGTCGGTGGCGTAGATTTCGCAACCCCATCGACATCATCGGCAGAAAAGACCATGAAGGTCGCCTCGATATCGAGATTGGGATGGAACTCTTCCCAGCCTCGCTCCTCTCTAGGCTTATATCCCTCACTTTGTGCAACCGCTGCAGCAACAGCGGCAGCTGAGCTATATTGCTCCTCGTCGGGATCGTAGCGACTGACTGTTGATCTAGTCCTGGTGCTCCGTTCGCGACGGGGCAACAGGGGTGACGATGGCGCGGCGTTTGCCATAGGGGGGTTGGGTCTCGGGCGAGGAGCGCTTGCAGAGGCGGAAGCTTCGGCCTGGATCTCTGTACCATCCTCGTCCACGAACCTCCCGCCGCCACCGGGCCCTCCCGGGATGTACTTCCTCCGTTTAGGCGGGGGCTCGGTAGCTGAGGCGGCGAGGCGCGCCGCGCGAGCGGCATTCGTAGTGCCTGGGGGACGGCCGCGCCGGCGACCTGAGGCGCTGCGCCGCGGGGTGGAGGGCGCGGAAGGCATCGCTGCGAGCCTTATTCAAGCCTTGCCCAAGCTATTTCGGCGTGGTAGAGGTCGCAACCTGGGCGAGGCACCGCGTCGAGGTGGGAGGGGCGAGACACGACTCGATGGGACGAAACGTGCGGGTATAGCATCTGACTGCGAGATATCGAGTTGGATATAGAGATAGTAGAATATGCAGAGTCGAACAGGCCTAGTTTTGAGCTTGGCCGATCGGAAGAGGGAGGTAAGGTGATGGATTGCGATAGGTGAGTTCGGGCGAGGTGACTGCCAGATTGACGCGGTTCTGCGATGAGGTCGAGCGCACAATCGCGCTAGTCCTGAAGGGGTAGGAGCAGTGGGCATTCACCCCTGGCTGGCCCCATTTGTCACTTGACGCTAGGGCCCTGGTCTCCCCCCACGTGATGCAGCCTCACACCCTCGCCTCAGTAAGCCCACCCGAGATTTCGGGCAGAGGATCTGGCGTGAATCTGGGGGCAGCTTTGATGGTTTGCAGCAATTGGTCAATCAATTTATTGCGCGTCTTTGGTCCGATGGAAACTGACGCAGAGGACCGCTTCTACAGATCAGAGCCGCCCTGCGGGGAACCTTGGATCAATTCTGCGCCACTCATTGTTTCCTGTGCTTCTCTTGTCTGCCTCAATTGATGGCCCGTGTCTTGTGTTGTCATGCTTTGAAGCGGTCTTCTAGATATCACAACGAGTTGAGGGCTGGCTACCCTGCTTGCTAGAGGTACTTCCCAACAATCCATCCGTCACTGGCTCTTGGCAACTCACTACCTATTATCGAACAAATAATGAGTGCTGAGCCGCAACTGATGACTTAACCGGACCGACCACGACTTGTTGCAGCACGATCTCCAGGTCCATGTGTGTAGCAACCGCATCCAACTCCGCGATGTTAACACGAAACGATTGGAGCGCACGCAAGAACAGGCAAGAGATCTGCCACCCCAGGAGCCGCCCGAGGGTAAAAAAAAAAAAACAAAGCTTCATGTGTAAGGCTTAGTCCGCTCGGGCTGCTTTTGACGCACCCCACACTCGGACATGCCCACCATGACGGGGTCGGCCAGCGAGGCCGGCCCACACTAGGCTCTGTGCTCTGTCTAAGATGACCATGCCAGCGACCTGACTATTGCCCATGACGACATGGCAGGGTGTCCGGTAATCAGCTGCATCAGCGGGATCCCGTCATTTGTCGGTGCCTAGATGCGGCCATCCGTCCGTGTGGCACAGCTTGTCCAGTTAGCGGACGGATGTACCGTTCACATTTGCTGCTTGTGTCGGATCAACCTCGCCTGCGAAAATTATCCACGACTTAGCGATTTCCTTGTAATGCGTGTATCCGATACAGGGGCTGTGCGAACTGCGATGCAAAGCACCATCCCGTTACCCAGCTCTTCCTGTCCGTTCGACAACAAAATGAGGAGCCGACACTAGTTCCATTCGGCCTCTATCTTACTTTGCAATGGTAAAGCATGCTACCCGGAAGTGGCGCTGGACATGGGACAGCAACATACACTTTGCAATCAATTCACCATTTGAGGCACACTTGGACTGAGATGAGAAAATCTTCGGGCGTAAATACCACGATGCTTTCGAATTAAGCCGCCAACCACCAGGGCTTGACCATTGTACGCGCGGGAGGGAAAAGGCTGCTATCTACCAATCAACCATGATGCAAGCTCGCAAACTGAGCAAGCGCAGCAATGCGTTCGCCCCTCCACATTTTTCTCTCATGCCAGAATGCCAACAGAAGGACAGCAAAGGCGGGGAAAAAACCAACAACCCCAGAGGTCGACCGCAGGGGATACAGCTCCTCATCTCTTCCGTTCCATGACAAAGATGCGGACGTACAGTTGGGGAAACAAACAAGGACCACCGTATTCCGAGTCTACTTTTCTTTCTAGCCAATGGCCGTAGCCTGAAAGTGGTTCGAAGTCATCCCGAGGGACAAGTAATCATTGCCCGTCGCAAGTGATTTATGCAGATATGTCGAGACCAAGACAATGACAGATGACCAAGAGGAAATGAGCGCGCCAATAAGCAAAAGGAAAAAGACAAAAACGCCAGAACGCTATGCTCCATGATAAATATGAAAATACGTGAAATGATAAAACAATGCACCATAAACGCTCGAGGGGGGTATATCGAATGACACAAAGCCCAGTCGCAAACAAGGATACGGCAGTTCGAGTCGATCGTTCGTAAAAGATGGTTCAAGGTGCGGGTTGAACACGACGAGAGGGGTTTGTGGGAAAGCTCAACCCAAGGTGCGTCCAGAATGGATCATTTGGATGCTCGCAGCCCGAGGAGGAGCGGAGTTCGTGTGGATTGGAGGTGTTGGCGGGCTTCTGAATGGGGTATCGTGGAAATCTGCGGGATGCCGCCCACCCTCCCAACCTTCTTCGCTGAGGACGCTGAGATACCCGTTCCCCACCTGGTCTCTCAATGCCTCTATCTTTCGGCGGTACATCTCACCCCCGACGTCCCAATCTTGGGTTGCCTTCCATCGGGCCTCGTCCTCACTAGGGATGAACGATGGGGGCGTTTGAGGAGATCCCGTCAGGTTTGCGCCTCGCGACATATCAGACGACGGAACCTTGGGTATAGGGCTCTCAGCAAGCGCTACCGGCGTTGGTTCGACGAGCTCGGTGGAGGGCGAGACACCGTAGGTAACGGGAGTGGAAGGAGGTGCAGCATCGTCTACTAGGTTGATCGTCTTAGAAGTTGTTCGCCCCGGCGAGTCATGTGTTGCGAGATCAACGATTCTGCGCTTGGGGGCCCGACGTCGACGAGTGGAGCTGGTGTTTACCTCGCTTGCCATTGCCTGAGGCACAGGCCTCTCCTTGCGAAGGACGGAAGGCTCCTTGGGAGTTTCGTAGATGATCGCGGGTTTGACAACGTCAGCAGCGGGCATTGGTGGAGCAGGCGGCTTGACCACTGGTACCGCAGGGGGTACTGGAGCCCTCTCAACAAGATATTTTCTTTCAGAGTAGCTTGGCCCAGTCGCGTCGATTGTTATATCCTCAGTGTATCCAGGGGTCTTCCGGAAAAGATTGAAGATGGTAACGCGATAATCGCGATGCGTGCGGGTGAATGGATTGCCTTCAACCCAGATCTCGCGGATATCAGGAATGCCCGTCAGCCGCGCGAGCTCCATAGGATCAGTCAGCCGGTTGTCCCGCAAGTCCAGTCTCTCCAGCGGGTAAAGCTTCTCAATACCGGCCAGCGACTGGAGACGGTTGGCTCGTAGGTTCAATGCTGTGATGGCGGGGAGCGGGTTGCGGGTCAAAGAGTGCAGCGCGTCGATCATGCAGTGTGACAGGTTGAGTGCTCGCAAAGCGGTGAGCGTTGCCAGGCTGTCCGGAACCTGAGTGAAGAGATTCGAGGAGAGATCCAATGAGTGGAGGGTGTTGGACAAAGGTGCCAAGCTGTTGGCAGGAATAGAGGTGAGGGAATTGTCTGCCAAACTCAAATGCTTGAGGAACCGCCACTTCGACGCGGGAAGAATGCCCATGGCCAGCAGGTTTGATGCACTGCCTCGAGGGTTGTGCCAGGAATCCGACAGACTCGAATGTGAGCTGCCAGAGCCGGATCTGCGAACCTTGTACGATCCTCGTACGTGGGTTGAGTTGTGCCGGGAGCTTGACGGCCGACGTGGGGAATGGCTTCGGGGTCGCACATCCTTTGTGGAGTTCTGCCTTGCCTCATCGCTACCAGCCCTTGCCAGCGACGGTCTCCTTGCATTTCTCAGATGGGTCTCATCCTGTTCGGCGCTCGCTTCGCTGTTGAGCGAACCAACCGGGATGTCGCCTACAGATCTACGCGCTTCGGGAGATCCAGGGGCTGATGCGGATGTCTGCAGCTCAGCATGGCCCATGACGGGGCTTCTCCGCGGACTCGCATCTCCGGCCCAGGGCATTGTAGGGGATGATTGCGACTTCGAAGTGCGCCGACGTCTTTTATCCATATCGTCCAGTACAATGTCAATGAGGATGTCAGCAGGATCGTCAATGCTCGCACGCTTCAAGGTCAAGGATCTCAGCTGGTCGGCGAGTCGATCCCATCCAAAGAACTGACGGAAGTCAATGTCGCTGACTTCGAGGGCCTGGACGTTCTTGAAGACGTGCAAGGGAACAGCAGAATCGAAAGGGAACTCTTCGTAGCCACGGATCAGACGGGCCCGCCAGTCCGGCGCCAACCGCAAGCACGGAATCTTGGTGAAGGCCGAATAAAGATACTTCAGATCGGCTTGGAGAGCTGCCTTTTGGCGTTCTGTGCGTGATGCGGATATGCTCGACCCGATACCAAAGCTTGCCCACAAAGCAGACATGCCAGACATGACGCTTCTCACGCTTGACACCGAGCGGATGGAACCGACGTCCGAGGAGCGACTTTTGGAGCGCTGCGTCTGGCCGAGGAAGGAGACATAGTTGGCGGATGTAGTGCTGTCATGGATGTTCTCCAGCCGCACCTTCATCGGTCCCACAGGAATGCCCAGTTCCTCGAAGCGCGAGAGTAGGTAGAACAGATGGTGTGGAGTAAGAGCCAACTTGGCGGACTTGACGCTGGCAGAGGTGAAGCTCAAGGATCCGAGAGACAGTGCAGCTGCCAGACCGCTCGATGTAGACGAGGCAGTGGAAGGACGTTCTGGGACCGTCGGCGAGGTGGATAGCGAGGCAGTCGGGATGGAGGAAACGCTCTGGGAGGAGCCATGGCGCGGAGCCGTCTGTCGCTTGAACTGGAGAGCATTGGCAAGGGCCTTTTCGTGAGTCCGCACAAAGCTGGCCAGTTGCTGTACAGTACACCTTGTCAGCACGCCATCGGAAGGCTTCGATTCGAAACCGGGTCCAAACCTTTATGAAGAACTCCCCGTCTTCCGAATCCATAATTATGGGGAGGGATGCATTGGTCTATGTGTCAAATGTTGGTGTAGGGATGTGAAATGCGAAGCCGAAAACAAATCGAGATAGCACCCGTCGGCAGAGAATTCGGTCAAAGTCCTCGACTCTCGCAGTGCGCTGTGGCGTAGGCAACGAGAGGAGTATTGTGACTCGGCCTCGGTGACAGTCTGGACGGTGTCATATGTCAGCTACCAGTTGTGGCACACCAAAACTTCAAAGAAGCGTTGAACAAGAAAGACGCTGGGCTATGTCCATATGATTGTCGTGTGCAGTGTGCGCTTTTCAAGGAAACGGAGACGATAGAAACTGGCGATCTGCGGGGGGGCACAGCGTGCTGCCGCAAGAAAGGGCCAAGATCGACGGATGAGCGTGCCTTTGCAGTTGCCACAGGATTTTGGCCGGGAGAGGCGTCTTTCAGGTAGCAAGATGAAGTGGTAGTGGCTTGTCAGAGAAGAAGACTGCCTGGATGCAGCTCCAACCCTTTCGAATCTTGCGTGTTTGGTTGGTGCTGAAGCAGAAGGCCCAGGGCCCTGTCCCAGAAACCGGTCCTCACGGTGATCAAAAAAAACATGTTGCGCAACCAGAGCGGCCGGCTGCTGGTCACGGTGAGGAGGGGTGAGGCAATAGCCCGGAGCAACAACACACATCACGCGCGGGAAGCCAGCATACCAGACGATTCGCGGGGCAGACCAGCGGAGGATAGGCACACGGTCGGGGAATGTGAAGGAGTCACCGGATGGACTAGGGCGTTCCAGCAACGGGATCAGGCACAACGACAGCGATAACGACCACCACACCTCAACTGCTCAAGCAATCCGGGGAGGAGAACAGCCTTGAAATCACAGGACGATATCGCAAGCCGGCGAACATGCGCCAAAGAAAAGGAAATGATAGCAAAAGGGAAAGAGTGAGGGTGGCTTACCGGCTTGAAGATACCCTGAACTGTAAAGGCAGCCGTTTTTCTTATTTGCGCGTCGAGGAGCGATCGGTAACCACCAAAGTCCCGGCCGGATCGTGAAGAGAGGAACAATAAATAAATAACAAGAAAAAAGAAGAAGAAACAACCCAAGGTAATGTATTACAACAACGATGTGCAAGAAGGTACACAGCACGGTCGGTGAAGGCCTGTGACGTGAAGGAGGAAAGCGACAACTGCCTTGCCTCTTCTTCACCAGATAGCCTCTTTTGCTGGGTTGCACCACGACGACAGGGGGGATGACGACGGAGGAGAAGAGCGAGAAAGAAGGGGTCCTGTTGGCGATCGGGAGCGGGCGGAGGCTAGTTTAATAATAAGACTCGTTCGCTTGCACAAGACCTTTGCGGCGGCGGAGGGGGGCCTACTAGGAGGACGATGGGCGTTTTGTCGAGGTGTGTGGGCTGGAGGGGATGGTGGTTGGCTCAAGACGTCCATCTCGCCATGGGGGATGCGAGGGATGGATCTGATTGACCGTGCTAGCGATGCACTCGTGCAGTTCTCTAATCTCAAATGCTGGAAATGCGGCAGGGCGCTCGACCAGGGTGGGGGGAAGGTCTGCTCAGCGGGCTCCAGTGGGCTCGGTGGGGTGCGCAAGGGTTGGTTACTGCATCTGGTAGGAGGGGCACCCAAGCCTTGCTTCAGTGGGTAAGCCCAGTGTTCTTGCCCCAAGCTGGGGGCTCCATCACCATACGAGTCCCACCGCGGGTCCCTCTCATCGACCATCACGGGTTCGACTTGGATCTTAGTGCTTGTTGTATGTTCAAGTATAATACTTGGTACGGTGATGATGGCGGTGGATGGGCATATTACTCGAGTTTGTGGTGTCTGGCCTCCACGTTCTCTCGGCGCCGGCGTTGGAAGACGGTGTGTGCCCTTGCGTCCTGCTTCCCCATGCATGACTTTTACTCGAGAACAAAAGGATCCGTCGCGAGCTAAGAGTGCATCAGCGACTGCTGGCGGCAGAATGTGACATGCAAAGGCGGACGCCAGTGAAACAGAAGGGCTCCTTTGCCGCCGTCAGAAGAGCAGGTCATTCGACCAATAATTGCTTCTCAGCCAGGGTGCATTACACATGCAGGGCCGCACCGTTCCCTCATGCCGTGTGTAAGTGGCCGAGTTGCTCGATGCCGCTTGCGACGAGGTAGTGCCGTTGACCGACATGTTGACCTGGCACTATACACCCTTTCGCATCTAAAGTACGCGCGATCTCAAGTTCGGAAGATTCCAGGTGTGTTCTCTTTTTTTTTCTCTGTCAAACTGGACGGTTGACACCTCTATGAAGGATACAACGTTTTTGTCCTCGCTTGGGCGGACGGTGGGGTCATCGCTTCGTTGCAGAATCGGGGCTCGTGTACTGTCACTACGGACTAGAGGTTCTCGCAGCTGAACTGATCCTCGGCTCGACTTCCAAACATCCATCCTTATTGAGTCTTGTAAGAGATACATCCATGGTCATAGTACCGGGAGCTCAGTCTGCTGCACAATGGGAACTCGACTTCCAGCTTGGCTCCGAGCCTTCCCCGTCCTCCATATGCCCGCTCCTCTTTTTCTTTGGTGAGCCGTTGGTTGACTCGCGTTTGTTTACATCCAATTCCGTTGTCATTTGGCCGACCGGACATTATGGCTGACCCAACCTTGCTAACCGTGTCATTAGTGGCTAATCTCCTAAATTACAGGTGCCACCGGCTTTGATGGTGCCATGGCCTTAACGCTGGCGCTTTAAGACGGCCCCACGCAGATTGCCTGCGATACCTGGTAGCTAGCTCCAGATTTATCAACGACGCCAGAGTACAAGTACTGTAAACGGCTCAAGCGGCTCTAGAGAATAACAAGGGGATGCTAGCTGGGTCGCGATAATGATGCGGGCAGCCACAGATGTCTTCTCGAGTAGTATTGATACAAGCACGGACTCGCGGCAATTGCAGGCTTCCATTTCCGGCGCTCCTGCCATACCTAGGTAGATATTCCGTCTTTGACAGTGCCCATGCAGCTCCTGAACTGTCAGCTTAAGTGCCCGACCAAACAAATCATGGATTGCCAGGATTGGCAGGGTCTCTCGGTTCAGGGTTCTTCTCAGTTGTTCAAGTACCTAGGTAGGTACTTGTAGGTAAACGGCCCCGGTTGGCGTGCTGACCAGGCTGCCAGGGAAGAGCCCTGCCGTTCCCCATGTCTGTGCACCATCCGTCAAATTTTGGTGCGACAGAAACGAGGAGCCCACTAAACCCACCGGGATAACATGCTTTAGCGTGGGCAGCTGGCCCGAGCGATTTTACCCAAGCTGCGCCCAACTTCTGGCGATGGTTCAACTCCTCATACAGGAGGCTGGATCTCTATCAACACCATCTTCTTTTGCCCTGTTCTTGAGCTGTTAGGGTCTGCGGTTTTACCCTGGCCGCCTGGCCATCGTCCAGGCTCTAGGCCGTCTTAAGCCCCGGCACACCCTTGCTTTTTGCCTGACTCGCAGCCGGTGCGTCTACTCCGTATTACTCCGTACTTATTTGATGGACCCAGTCGCGATCTCAGCTGGCGGAGGGAGACTATGTTAGCGGCCGTCTCCCGACACCAGACATCTGTACCTATAAAGTTGTTCGCGAACAAGGGTCCAGTCGTGCGAATCTGGTCCGCGATTCCCCTTGCACACGAATCTCTAATCTCGACTGACATCCCTCCTCACATACGCACGTACGTACTTGCGACCTGAATGCCTCTCCTACACATCTGTTCGGGCGTCGTATTACATGCTCTCCACACGTTTGCCCATGGCTGAGAAATTATGTCATGGCTCCACTGCGACGAGAGCCGCTGCAGCTGTGATTGGGAATGCTCTATCCCACACCATGTCATTCTGCTTGCGCTCGGCATGCATGCCACTCTGATATCCTCATGTGAACCCCACCTTGGCCCCCCGGCGCCGGATCGCGCGCGTCGAAAGCAGAAGAAGCAGAATGGCGACATGAACCAAGGCATTGTTACCTGAACGATGCATGCGCGGTGTAATCATGTCACTTCCTTCGGCGCGGTAGCAGCCGAAACACCTGTGAGGTGTCCTGGCTGCCTGAGTTCCTTCGCCATCGATGCAGCATGGAAGCACCGAGAACGCTCTTGGCTTGACCGCCTCCGGGGCTTCGGAGGATTTGGCCTTGGGCTGTGTGATTGGCATGCCTGGCGGTGTCATCTGCTGGATATGCGCCCAAAACGTCGACACTAGCACAGAACCACAAGGTCATTGGGGAAATGATTGACGAACCCCGAATTGCGCTCCAGGTTTCATCGCCTCATCCAGAGTCATGTGCAAGGCGAGCCAGATTGACATGACCTGAGCAGGCTCGGGATGGGCGGGCGATCTGGTCTTGGTTGCACACCATCATCCCATGCAGTCGCCTTCGGGTGCGTGCAGGGAGGTACTGTGACTGGCTGTCCGTCTGCGATGATCGGGGTTGGCCCTACACTCCGCGTTGGCAATGGAACGCGAGCACTCGCTCGTGCGATTCCCCTCTGTCGTGTACCTCGCGACGGAGATGATGCCATGCTGGAGACTCACCGCCTATCAAGGTGAGGCTATTCACTCTTTTCCACGGCTCCGTTCTGAGCGACTCTAACGACAAAAACAGGACGAGCAGTGCTAAGTATAGAGCCACTACCATACCTAGAACTACCTGAGGATCGTCGTCCTTGGATAGGTCGTCCCACAAAACCCACTTGCCCGTTGTAGCGCCGCTGGCGGCTTGAGGCGGCGTCTTTGCTAACGCGCGAACGGCCTGATTGCTTCAGGTGGTTTCAACGCCTCGTGCCATCCAAAACATGGTTGTGACACAGACGGCGGTCGTCGGAAATATGGGCTCGGGGCCTTGAACATTCGACGATCACCCAGATCTTGGCAGTGTGAAGCCTGGCCTTGTACTAGGGCAAACCGATCTCCCTTCCAAGGCTACATGCCTGGAGCAAACCGCCTCGCATTCACAAGGTCCCTTCACCGCCGCATGTCCCTCTCGTGGGACTTCTGATGCAC